GTCTTATCTCGCCAATTATTGTTGGTATGTGCCTATATAGCCACTGTATCTATCTATTTATAACAGTAGAAAAACATATCTAGATCTCCCCTCTTGAACATTGTGCATAATGTTACCTAGTTATAATTGTGACATCTGTAATTCATTATTTTATCACCATAAATAACTTAAGAATATTACATTGTGAACACATTTGTTTAATTACAACTAGGTTAAACCCGTGTTTTTGTTATTCAGTAAACTGGCATATGCACTAGTATTTCTCTCCAATGTCTCTAGTATGTCCCCAAACTAGTCGATCATTCTCCATACATAATTCAATCCGGATATTCTGACATTAAAATGTTCGTGTATTTATTTTTTATTTTACTTGTAAGTATACGGCACATACATTACTAAAGCAAAAACAGTGGTTTTTAACTTTTTACTAGTTATTTAATAAGAACTATTTTGTTTAATTCTGCTATTTAGTTTTGTTTAGTATTAATTATTAGTATGTGTGTGACTGCCAACACATGAAGATTGACCACCACTACTACTACCAGAAGTTTAACAACCTTTCTTCAATCTCCAACTGACATTTCGTCCACGCACTTTTTTGCGACACATGTTTAAATTTTAAACAATTTCCAGCTAATTATTAGATCGACTCGAAATCTAATGTTAACCGTTTTTTTTCTGTTTGTGTAAAAGTTTGTTTATCGCTTTGCCTATTTGTCTATATGTGTGTTAGCGTTTCAGATAAAAAGTTGAACGGATTGTAACTAAATTTTATATAAGTACAATAAAATATAAGCCATATTTAGTTTACAAAATTACTTCCAAAAGAGTAAAAAAGTTGTTGTTTTTACCCACTTATCATCATCATCATTTCAGCTATTATCTCTCCACTGCTGGACATAGGCCTCCCCCATAGACTGTCATAAGGAACGTTCCTGAGCCACCTGCTTCCACTGACTCCCTGTCCCTCATTTAAGGTTGTCACTCCATTTAGTGGAGGGTCCTACACGTTTACCCGTACGAGGTCGCCACTCAAGAACCTCTCTTCCCCATTGATTTTTGGTTCTTCATCCTTCGGGTTATGTCGGTTACTTTGGTTCTTTTGCGGATATCCCCGTTTCGGATTCTATCACGCAAAGAAACTCTTATTAGAAATTTCTGCACAATAAATGACTTTAAAAATAAGTGCGAATAAATTAAGTTGCTGTAAATATAATTTTGATGGAATGTGAGATAAAGCGTTAAGTAAATGTGAACGAAGTCGCGACCACAGCTTGTAGTTATATAGTTCATACAGTTTATTACGTTGCTGCTAACCTGTTCACCTTTACTGATTGGAGTCCAGTGCGGCCAGCTGTCGGCACTCGACCAGACCTCGACAATAACGTGTGTTGTAATACAGTCCATCAGGCCAGCGCCGGCGCGCCGCCGACCTCGCCGCCAGCTTGCAAATAGCCAACCTTATAAGGCAGCAGTGGACCCTGAGTACGTTTCCATATGTACACCGCACTAGCCATTATTAACAGTATTCTTCCTTTATTTACTTACTTAGGAAACTTTTTAGTCATTACATAAGGTATTTTAATACACATGTTGAGATTTCAAATACAAGTTTATTTATAAGATGAAAATTAAATACTAAGCTCAGCTATACTCTAATTATAAACTGACGAGGTACAAATGAATGATGACAAGATTTTTTTATAACAGTCAGCAAACGAGCATGCGGCTCACCTGATGGTATCTGAACTACCGCCGCCCATGATCACCCGTAACACCAGAGGCATCGCAGGCGTGCTGCTAGCTTTTTAAAGGATAAGTAGATCAAATGGCTCGTTAATTCGGAAGACTTAATCTCGATGGTTTTCAGGGGAAACACGTAAAGATCGACCTGACGTAGTAGGTACCTATTCTTTTATTCGGATGAAGTCCCAGATGTTCATACAGTGAGAAGCAAAATTGGATTCAATGCCTACATTGAATCGTAGCCTACTGCGAGAGATAATTTCAGTACAATTCTTTTCTAATGAAAATCTTGCCCTTGAAATGTGGCCAATGGACGATGAAATCTTATAGTTATGAGTAAAACACCCATAGATAATTCTAATTAATAATTTAAAAGAAAACACGTAGATTTTCGATGGCATTAGTGAAAATACTCTGGATTTAGTGGAATATGGAGTGGAAGAAATCTCTTATTAGAGATAAGCTTGCCTTTGTACATTATGTTTCAAATTAATTTTTCTTAACAATGAGCTTGTGTACAATAAAGAATGGAATTTAATGGAAACACATGTAAAAGAATAAGCAGTAATGTGTAAAATTGTGAAGTAAATGTCCTCACGTAAAATAGAAAACAATCCTTATTCGCATCAATTACTTTTGTATGAATCGCCCAAGTTTTGGAGAATCTATTATTTTTAAATTACTTGTAAAAACGCATAATATTAAAATTACTGGCCTAATTGTTAATTTAACTGAACTAACAGTCGAATTGTGTAGTTTGTGGTTGGCGTGACGTAGTATGATAAAAACGTATAACGATTGAAACATTCCAGGTAATTTCATGAGTTATATAAAACAACAACATGTATAATTAACTTATAACTCTTTAATTATATTTAATAGAAATTATAATACGTAATTTTTATTTTTTAACAAAGTATAGAATACTTAAAATCTTCAAAATGCCAACTAAGTCTTTTTGGTCCAATTGCTTAAATGAATATTGTGAAAGGTCATTGTGAAATGCGAAATGTACTGCAAAGATACATAGTAGGCCGAAAAAACCGAGAAGTGATGGTGATAAAATTAAAGAAGTAATTTATTTTTAAGTATTTTTTTCAAGTGCCTAAAACCAACCCAGAGTTTATAAATCTTTAAAACTAAAAATACATCCGCTATAAACATAATTTTCTCATCCTGGATATAGTGCAGAAAAAGAAAAAAACATAACCTCAAAAAATTATAATTTATATAGTGTAAAAATAAAAAAGCGCATCCTTGATAGGAGAATATACGCAAGGAAAGAATCCTAATAATATTATAAATGCGAAAGTTTGTAACGATGCATGGATGAATTCTTGTTGCTACTGCACATAAAATACGTGATATACTCGTATTCACGCGGGTAAAACCATGGGATACAGCTAGTGTCAAATAAGATTGATGAAACAGATATTATATATTCATTATGTATTTTTTCTCCATAATTGTTTGAAAAGATTTATAATAAGTTTACATTGATTTTTTGTAATCTTTTCTTATAATTGTTTGTAGGTATTTATAATAAGTTTACTATTGTAATCTTATGGAGAAAACAATAAAGAATATCTATCTATGTATACATATGTAAGAAAATAAGATGCAGGTACCGAAAGAGTCCAAGACTACCCTGTAAAACGTTGTTTAAAAAAATTCTAGATACAAAATATATAAAATTTCAATTTATTATCACAGCGAATTCTTTATTCTAAGGTCTATTATGAACTAAATTTCTAATTGATTTTAATCAAAATTGTTTAAATTTAGTTTATGATGATCCATAAAATAGTATCTACTTTCGAAAAACATTTAAACTGAAAATACAAATATTAGAAAATAACACCACAAATCATACCTACTGTGGAGTTATTTAAAATTAATGGCGTGACGCAATGATTGGTATTGTTAGTAATTACCTACTCCATTATTACGAGCAAGTTAATCATGAACTCGCCGTATTTGAGCAATGACCAATGTGACCATATTGCCCATGTAGGGGGAATGATGTTTTTTGTGGCGAATAGTGCGTGAGTCAGCGCACCGCGATCTACACAGCTCAGTAGTTAAACAAATGACATTTATGGATGACGATTACTTGTATGATGCTATAATGTTACAGAGTGGAATTGACACGATTAGCATCCTTTTAAAGGAGTATTCTATTATTTATACTTAAGGGGGAAAGGGAGGGAGAGCGGGATTCCAGGATTGTCTGGTGCCCTAATGCGAGCAGAGCTTTCAGCTGAGCACAAAATACATGTCTAAATGTACATATGCAATGGAAAATACCTTAAATGCCAAAAGAAATATTCCTACGTGAAAAAAAGTAAAAAAAAAACCTTATTGACACGGCGAGTTAATAGTTACGCTCATGTTGGGGAAAAAGGGATTGTTAGTAATGGGGATTAGCAATCTTTTTACTAGCAATATACCCTATCAGGTCGACCTCCTCGCGGTTCCCTCTGGAAACCATCGTGATTGATTCATTGGTGAATTTGTCATGATGGGCTAAACTGACCTGTTTCATATTCACTTATCATCTCTGGTGCCTCGCCAGTGTATACTGATAACGCAGGCGGGTTTACCATTCCATTAAAAAAAATTCACTCATGTTTCATGGTCAAATTAATGTAATAATAGACCGACAGATTACTATGGTGGCAAATAAGAATACGGCTCGTCTAATGGTAAACAGAATTACTGTAGACGACTTCGTACGATATGAAAGTAGATATCTAATCAAAATCTTAAATGTATGACAATCTAACAATAAAATCTTAAATTGTTGTGGTGTTTATCCACTGAAGAAAAAGATTTTTAGTTCTTAAATTCGCACGGTACCAGGAGTAACAGTCCTACAGCAAACCCGTTACGGGTTTGCTGTAGGACTGTTTACAATAACGTGTTATTGTAATATATTTCACTTTCTCTTAGAAAAATGCTATTATATACAGTTATAGAATATTTAAATGACAAAACAATGTATGTAATAAAAGAAGATAATTTGACATAAAGAATATTGTAATTTGGAAAATGTTTGGATTTTATAATTGTAATGTAGAAACTAAATACAATTTAACATTTGCATACCTCTGCGGGGTGCTGCATGTTATGTACCTGTATATGTAACTTCTTATTGTACCATGTAGCAAGCGAATAAATATGATTCAAATATTATTTTCAACAATAAAACGTTATTGTTGTTATAACTATAATAAGAAAATAAAATTCAAATATAAAGACGCAGTCAGTTTATTCAGCAAATAATCATATATAATAAAACTTAACCTACTGTATAACCTATTATAACTAGTGTTCTTTTTACATGGCATATTTAGTAAACAATCTTGACAGATCTTTTTATAGTAACAGTTCATAGAATGAGCAAATCTCTATAATAAAAGGATAAATAATACATGGATAAAGTATAATAAAACATACCTATGTTTTTATCTAAGGTAGGCCCATCTGGTGTACCAAGTTCCTTTTAAATCCGTTTAAATATGATTCAATGACAGAAAAACTGTACAAATTTTCACATTTATTAAGTCAGTAGGATTATTATTTATTTTTTGTTAAAAAAATTTTAATAAATAGACACGTCCCTATCATTTTACTAAATACGCCAAGTAAAAAAAGCCATCAATACATTCTTGACCTACTGCACTTTTCTATGGTATTCAGGAGTTGCATTTCCGTAATCTTGCAGATTGAATAATGTAGATCTGTTAGTTACCATATATTTAAGGAAATCTTGTATGTGCGACAACACATGTTGCAATGATCGCTCATCGAGCGCCGTATATGCTAACATTGGGCCCATTTTGGCGAACAATCTTAATAGATGTATTGAACCATAGATTTGCGACATGGGCTTCTCTGGGTAGTCTTGCAAAATCTCGCTATATTGGGGCCTCTCGAACTTATATAGAAGCTGTGACCCTAATGTTGCATTGAAATACTCTTTTATACCTTCTGTGATGTCGACGAGGACCGATTCTTTCGCTTGATTGTGTGATTTACTTGACTTTTTAAATGCTAAATAATTGTCTACAATTTGTTCGACTGTCAATTTGGCCGGTAGGATGGCGAGTTTTTGCTGCCTGGTTATCACATCCCAATCATCCACCAACCATACCTTTAGTTCTTCGGGGATTTTAATTTTCACTTCAACCTTCGCTAGATATTGTTCCTCGGACTCGATTGACAAATCGAGTCGACCACGTTTTTTCCTGTAAAAAAAATATAATATATTACAATTAACTCATGAGAATTATTAATTATGGAATTATATAAGACACATACATACTCATATACATCACGCTTATGTTTCATTGGAGTGGACAGAAAAGATGAAATGCCAAATGCTCCAATTCAAACATACCTCTTTCGCATCCTTCACCTTCATCTATCTATTCATACAAGCTTACAAGTAACTATTTTGTTTTGTCTGTTTTTTTTGTGGATATTAATGGAGTGGTATCGCCGCCTGTGCTAACGGTATACGCTGGCGGGGTTCTTTCGATCGGATGAACGATGCTTGACTGTATGTATTAAGATAATCAATCAAAGTATAAGATGTACTTGATCTTCGGAACTTCACTATACTTATTATAAGAATCATGATATGTTTACAAGAAAATTTCTAAAGATGCACCCAACTCTAAATGAAACCCCACATCTGCTTAGAACTATTCCTTGAAGTAGTGTATAAAGTCCATGGGTTCAGTTGACAGTTGATATTTATTATGTTTATATTTATTTATTGCAATTTTAATTATTACAACGATGTCATTACAGGTTCTTGCCTAATGCTACAACGTTTAACATTTATAAGACTTGTATCCACGTCTATTTATATAATTTATTTATACTTTATTGCACATAAGGATTACATTGTTATAAATTATATATCATCATAATCTTTACCTTATATAACCTTGTCCATTCCCATTTATTTAAGAACAGCGCAGTGTATTTTTCTTTCAAAAATCCCTACCAACAATCATACCTGGGTTTACTACTCTTTTATGCACATCATCTTTCACACAGCCCATCCAAACCAAAAACGTGGCTACACAACTTCTCTGTTACTGGTGAACTTATTTACTTTCTCATACATAGTCATTTCTTATTCCATTACTATATATATATATATATATATATATATATATATATATATATATATATATATATATATATATATATATATATATATATATATATATATGTGTGTGTAGGTATGTAGAGTGGGTAGACTCAGATTTGAAGCTTGGCTAATAATATCGATTGGGGGAAGGGATTATTACTAATACCAATCCCAAAAAAGTCATCGATTCCACCGTCGTTTGTGACTGACCTGCTTTTTCATTATTCACCTATCATGCGCCACTGGTTAAATCCTGACCTAACGATATACGGGGTTACCAGTTCATTAATCATCTATAAAAAAAAGATAATGGCCCAACAAGATAAACATAATGGTAAGTGGTAACTGTCACCTATAAAGATGAACAGCACCACAGACAAAACACATACTGTGACGCTCATATTATAACCTTGTGCTGCCATACCTAAGAACTACAGCAAATGAATAAATAGATGAAAACTCTTTATGGTTCCCTTCAAAGAATGATACAGATTATAAAGATTAACAATATGTATGCAAACAAAATAAATACTTAATTACATAAAAGCAAAATAAAAAGGCAAGAATGGGCCTTATCGTTAAATAGCGATCTCTTCCAGCCAACCTTAACATTAGATAATGAAATCAACTTACTTAGGTTGATCAGATCCTGAATCAGCAGGTGTGTCCTTACTTTGAGTCTTCGATGCTTTAGCAGCAGTGGACGAACTCTCAGAGTCTTTACCTGAATACATAGATAATATTATTTCCTCATATCCAACTTAAAAAACAAAGAAATCAGTAATCCAACAGTGAACCTGTACTCATAAGTTTAAGAAGTTACAAGATATCATTATTTTCTTGCCTTTATATCTCAATTATATGGGGTCGGTGTAACATATTGTATTAACATTACACAAGGGTATATGTTTTAAAATAATTATCAACTATTATAAAATATCATACAATATCACTATTACAACATAGTATAAAACAAAGTCGCTTCTAGTCCTCCCCTATGTTCAACTGACAACTTGACCGGTAGGATGGCGAGTTTTTGCTGCCTGGTTATCACATCCCAATCATCCACCAACCACACCTTTAGTTCTTCAGGGATTTTAATTTTCAACCTTCGCTAAATATCTTTCCCTATGTATGCAGTTTTTTTTTAATAGATAGAATGATTCAAAAGGAAAGTTTATACATTTAATACATGCATAATATAGTAGAGAAACAATCATAATTTTAAAGATGTTTAATGTGATGTCGTAAACAAAAAAATTTTTAGCATTTCACCCATGCAAAGCCAGGTGGATCCCTAGTTTTCACATAAAATAATCACTTCTATTTACCTCCCTATTAATAACACAAAAGTGGGTGAGCTTTTATTCACATAAATACAAGAAATATTAAAATATATAATTAAAAAAAAATAAAGCCAAAATTTTATACCCATAGATGGTGAACAACCATCATCAATCCGCAACAGTGAACTGATGTTGTTTATTAAGTACTGAAGCTGAATATTGAATTATGTACACACAAAATATTTTGCCCCCATAACAAATTACTCATACATTTAATAAACAATTGAAATGTAGCAGAACACATAAAATTGTGGTGCCTTAATATTTAATGCCTTGACCATTTACATTTCAACTGAGATTAAGAGAAAAATTAACTGAAGCATTACAGCATTTTGCCGCTATTTTTACACTATGTTCTTATAAACTGTTGTTTATTTTTGTGATTGTATTTATGATGTTAGGGTTAAAGTTTAATGAGGAAAGATGTTTCCAGTACAGTACAATAAAATTAATAGAGAGTTGACACTATAAATATGATCAAAAAGTTAATTCACCAGGGTTCAAGACAAGCTGATTAGTCTTTATGGTAACTTTGTCACATACAAAACCAGTGTTCTTTCTGTGTCTGTTACAATCTTTGAATCAATATTGTGGTGAATAGAGGTGGTTATTTATTTATAAATAAATGTATTTATTTGCTCATCATGTATATCACTTTTAACACTTGTTTTTTTGTAAGAGAGTAAGTAATTAAATGTACAATATTATTTATTATAGTCACGTTTTATGATTATTTAGCTATTAGGCAAAAATAATAAATGAAAGCTAGACAAGGGTAAGGTATAATTCTTAATGCAAAAATTAATCATATGATTAATTTTAGAGATTATAATATCTCTATTATATATGATAATAAAATAAAATATAATAATGCAAGTTACCAATTCTGTATACATTCTGGTAAAGGTTTTAAGATTCATAACACTAAGGAAACCTAATGTAATGTAACTTGGAATTTAATTACCACATTCAGTCAAACCTTTACCCCAAACATATTTCTAACTACAACTATATTAATTACACATTTGCTGCAATAAAATATTATGTTTAAATATAAATATTTACCAGCTGGTGTGGAAGCTCTCTCCTCACGTGCAGGTGTTGAGCTAGCAGCCTCTGACTTTCGGCCTTTAGCTGTTGCTGAAAATAGTTTAAAAACATAATTTTATACTAAATTTAAACATCAACATTATTATATCATAGCTTTTTTCTGCAGCTTTTCTCATGTGAAATATACTATACAGTGTTTTATCTGTTGAGATATAATATACCAAGTTTCATTCAAATCCATTAAATATTTAAGCATGCTCAGTTGGTTAACATACCTGAAATATCTTTACAAATTTTCAGATGTAAAATAATATTATAAAGAGGAATTTTTTTTTGTTTGTAATAGATAACTCAAAAGATAATTAACCAATTTTAAAAATTCTTTCATCTATAGAAAGCTACATTATCAGTAACATTAAAAAAAATCTGTCTACCTGTGCAAAACAAGGGAATGTTAATACTTTATAATATTAGTATGATTTAGTTAATTTAAAACAATAGTTTGCTCTAGTATTTCCACAATTACAAGTGGCCCATTGTGTGGAATGGAATAGAATTCTCTTTCAGTATCTATGTTTCCAGACCAGTAAAATTAGAGTGAATAGGCATTATTTGAGTTTGCATGTAACATCTTAAAACCATCACAAGATCAGGTAAGATTGTAGTCAAACCTACTCAAATATATAAAAAAATTATAAATGAATGTGAGATTCTTGTTTTCTTATGTTCATATCTTTAGGGATTTTTGTTTAGCTTATATGAGCATCCCATTACTTCAAATATATTACCAAATTATTGATAAATATAACTTGATAACTGTTTTTGAAACTTACTTTTCTTGGTTTTAACAGGTTGTGCAGAATGTGCTCTTTGCACCTTCTTCTGTCGTTGTACATTAGCCTCATTGTATTTAAGCACACGACTCTCTGGCACCCACTCATCCCAACTGAAATATAAAAAAATCTTTATAACAACTAAGATTTCACTGTCTATAAGTTATCTGCTTTTTTATTATAAAAAATAAACTCTGTAGTGAACCAACAAATATTAATAAGACCTGCTGATATACCTATTTAAAAAGATGTAGATAAATTATAGCAAAGCTACAATGCATTTTAAGGTTATTACTGTATACATACTTTTTGTTCCATCCCGCGTAATGTATTAGGTAACGAACATGGTCATCCTTAGTTACAGAGCTTTTGAGGCATTTTGCTTCATAAATCAATGGTCCATGGAAGCATAAAACTTTTTCACCTAGAAACAGACAGTTATTCAAACTATATTACAATGCATTGTATATATGTTATTCTTCTGAATAATTTTATTCTAATAAACAATTTACCTTCAGCAAACTTTAATTTAGGTGGCATAATTTTATTAAAAACTAATAAATACTTAATACAAAACAAGTGATTGACAACAACAAATGGCGGAGAAACAACCAGAGCGACGGCAGCGGACTCACTGTCAACAATTATGCGTCAATTTCAATTTTTCAAGCTGTCAATGTCATTCGCAAATCTGATTCGCCCGAAATGTTTGGATTTGCAAAATGGAAAAAAATAAAATATATACCACAAATTAACTGAAAACAACGACTATATAGGCTTAGTTTTTTGCCTTCCCTGTTGTTAAAGAAAACAGAACCAAAAAGTGTCTTAAAATGCTTTAAGTCATAACATAGACCGTTTATGGACTTGTTAACGCTACCTTACTTACTCGGTAACCGAAACTTTATAAAAAAAAAATTCATACCAACATTATGCAGAGTTTAAGAAAAAGAAATATCTGTTATACCGTTTGGAAGATATGAAGAGATTATTATTAAAGATTGAAATTCTGCTGCTTCGTAAAAATAAGAAGCATATTATTAATAAATAATGAAATCTTGTTGTTTGTAGGTGATTGCAAAAGTTTATTTTCTAGTTGCGTCAATATTAGAAAATGCCAACTTTTAAATAACGGCTACTTATTTGTGATGAAAGGAGAGGGCTTATTAGTAATGGGAACGTTAATTCTCATTGCAAGCAATATACCCTGTGAAGTCAGTCTCTACTTCTAGTTGAATCCGTCACAACAGGTTAACTGACCTACTTAATTGTCAAGGGGGAAAGGGATTGTTAGTAATGGAGACTGAGAATCCCATTGCTAGCAATATACCCAACCAGGTCGACCTCCTCGCGGTTCCCCCTGGAAACTATCATGGTTAATTCCTGATGAATTCATCATGATGGGCTAACTGGCCTGTTTTCATTCTCATCTATCACCCTTCACTGGTGTTCCGCCAGCGTATCCCGTTAGCGCAGGCGAGGTTACCATACAATTTTCACCCATCATAAAAAAAAAGTAGGACAGTTTAGGCAACTCTAAAGCAGAAGGCGAGTACCAATATTTTTTAATGAAACATGAATTTGAGGAAGAGACCCATGGTGACGAATTTCATAAGAATAAATCACGATGGTTTCCAGGGGGAACCGCGTGGAGGTCGACCTGATAGGGTATATTGCTAGCAATGGGGTTGTTAAACCTCGTTACTAACAATACCTTCCCCCCAGAGCCATCAAGTTGTATGCCATTACAAATTACTTATTTTTTTTTTATTTTACTTATAAATTAAACCACATATTTTCAGGGTTAATGGGAGGAGGGATTGTTAGTAATATGGACTAAAACTAAAGTTCCAGTGCAAGCTGTTCGACTATGAAATAGTCTACCAACCTGTGTACTAACTATACAGAACCTAACAAGTTTTAAAATAAAAATACATAAGGACTTCTATTTGAGCAAGTTGTTATATTTGTAATTTGTGTCTGATTAGCATACTCAAACTCTTTTTATTTTTATTATTGTAACTACACATGTTTGTAAGATGTCTTAAACCGCGGATTATCATTAGGGTAACAGATAGGATCTATGAAATGATGGTATAAGGCAGGGGGAAGCACAAAAAAACTGTATGGGTCGACGTACATCGGCTTAGCTGACCCCATATGCGAAAAATAAGATAAGATGCATATGTTTGTATATGCATTTATGTATTTTTTATTTGTATATATGGATTTACTTAAGTATGTATCAGTAACTTAAAATGTATACTTATATATTTACATTATTGTATGTAGACATATCTATATATATGTATTTATAAACCGAGCAGAGTTTCGTGCCTTCCGTCAAATTGTTTATGGTTATTTCTATTTATAATAAGTTTACTATCGTAATTTTATGGAGGAAACAATAAAGAATAGATAGATGATATATTGTAAATGTGAGAGTTTGTAAAAACTCTGGGCATCACAGTGTATTCTGTGACTACTATGATGCTATTTATATCTATAGGCGACAGATACCAGTCTTCATCCATTGGCCGGTTGCCTTTTTTGTACAGTACCATCTTATAGCCCTACGTACTATATATTATTATATCAACCGTTACTTGCTCACTGCTGAACATAGGCCTTCTCCATAACCTTCTGCCAGTAGTTACCACGCTTGGCAGACGTGTTGGCAACCGCAGTTAAGTTTTTGGTGATGTTTTAATAGGTACGCTGCCGCCCATTCCTCGACCATTATGTTCCCTTAGTTGTCTTTTACGACACCCACGGTAAAGGAAGATGTGGCCTATTTTATGCCAAGATCTACACAGCTAATCATATTATCTTTGTACAAAAGTCGATTGCTTGTGTACCTCTGTCCCATTCGTGTTTCAACTGTGAAGCAGTTGTGTTTGCATGGCTGTGTTTCGGTTTGAAGGGTGGGATATGGCGTGAATTTACTGGGTACAGAGGAATAACACCTGAGTCCTCAGGAACGGCAACACATGGGAGGTATCATGGGCGAAACAGTATACTCTGTTATGTCCATAGTACTGCTCATGTCTATAGACGACGGTTACCACTTTCCATCAGGTGGGCCGTCAGCTTGTTTGCCATTCTAAGTTGTATAATATATATATATATATATATATATATATATATATATATATATATATATATATATATATATATATATATATATATATATATATATACTCTTAAATATAAAAATTTTTGTGAATTAAACTTTAAATAAAAAAAATTAAAATAGCTTATTAGCTAATTAACATTGATAATAAAATCATTATTTGACTAATTAAATAAAAGTGTAATTAGAATCAGGCCGTTATATGAGTGAAGGTCAACACACACTTGCTGTGACTATCACGGTGCTCTGTACATGCGCCAGTTGTTTTCATATTTCTTCAATAGATAATACAATAATCGTAAAAAAAAAAATAAATACGACCCCTTTTTAAATTGCAAATAAATTCATATTTACGACACACTCGTACGGCTGACTATCAGGAAAATTCCTAATTTTTTTGTTTACTTTTGACCTCTTGTTAGTTAGTTATCAATAATTAAAGAGACACAACAACATTGCTTCCAATTAACCTTTGAACAAACCCGGCAGTATCTAAGTCCATGATTGTATACCTGGTAAAAGTTTTATATCGTGGATGGACTCAATAAAATCGGTAAATATTTATTTAAACAAAAATTTAAATTAATTTTATCGCCATTCGGTAATCAATTGTACAATGTACATACAATGTACACACATTGTGTAAGACAGTGATAACGGTTTACATACCACTAGATAGTGAGGAGGTACAGTATAATTTAAAGCTCAACTTCAAATGAGACTAACGCACGAGTAATCCGTGTCGATGGCAAAAAGAATTCATCGGTTCAAGAATCAAAATCGGTTCAGATGTATACCGTATGTATATAATACACACAAAAATACTACTACTACTACTACTGAGAGTCTCAGCCTTTTCAAAAATCTTTACCATAAAGGCTCAAAGAGTAAGTCCAACAACCGACAAACGCAGTATTGCAAAGTATACATGGATGAGAATGATCTAGGATATCTAGAGGGAAGGCTTACGTTTCGCCTATGTTATTCTAGCAGTGAAATATAAATAGCGGAAATGATGATGATGATGATGAGAATTATCAATATAAATGAAAAATCCTAAAATGGATTTTGCTAAATATTGCAATTACAATAATACATAAATTAATTAATTAATAACATAAATTTACAGATAACTATCAGGGATATGTCAAATTGATGAAAATAAATTTCGGTCTTAGACTTGAAACAATTTAATTATGATGGTATTCGTATTATGATGGTATAAAATAAAGTCTCTATAAGTACATTGAGTCTTATTTATACGAACCTTTACAAATTCAAAAAATTACTAATTGTATAAATTCCTTACATACTTTATACCTATTTATTTTTTAATAGTTGTATCCCGCGACTTTGCCCGCATGTATCAGTACATAAAGTATGCGATATGCTAAATTAGGATTACCTATCCGTATGCCAAATGTGTCCCGTGTGTCGTGTGTGTGTGTGTGTGTGTTAGATTCAAATCCATTTAGTAGTTTTGCTTGAAAAAGTAACAAATACCCATCTACCGATCCATAATGTAAGAAGTAGTTAAATAAATAAATATAAATTCAGTGGTTAATATTTGCATGCCATTCGACGTGGCGAAACATAATGGATATCTTGTAAACTTAACAAATGCAACATTTTTTCTACAATGTTTCTGGCAAATACATTTTATTTCATTTCCATCCTTACAATCTTCCACATTTATAATATTAATAGGATAATAAATAATAGGGAGGAAAGTATATGCGGACTACCAGCCCAATTGCTGGCAATATACCCTGTCTGATCAACCTCTACGTAGCCCCCCCTGGAAACCATAGTGCCGAATTCCAGGTGTATTTATCACGGTGGGCTAACTGACCTGCCTTTACATTCTCATCTATCATCCCTCACTGGTGCCACGCCTGCGTATACCGCTAGCGTAGGCTGGATTATCATTACATTATCATCCATTAAAAATATAGGATTAATAGAATAAAAGCTCATACAATTCTGAATACCAATTAAGCAGACGTAAACCTACTTACCGTGTACTTTCCTTATTTTTTTTTTATATGAATGATGTTTTTAATATGAATATGATGAAACAAGAATGATCACCATTTGCCTAGCTAACCGGGTACATACAGTATAGTGAGGGATGAAAAATGATGATGAAATCAGGTCAGTTGACCCATCGTGACAAATTTACCAGGAATGAAATTAAGTTCCCTGTGGTATTAAGTGGAGATCGATCTAAGGGAGTATGGAGTCCCCATCAATAAGAATTCCCTACCTCAACCCCTGTTACTTTTAGTTGATTATACCATAACTATTAGATATAAAATCATTGCAATAGATCCTGAATTCTTTTCCTCTGCGTTATAAGGCTCTTTTTTCAAGTAAATAAATACAAATGAGTTATACGTCATTATATAACAACCAAAACGTTCCTCGGACATATTTGTAATAATCGATCTTGTATGTTTTAAATAGTTTTTATAAACCTCACAAACATACATATTGCTTGTTTTACACACATGTTATGCTATCATGAATATTGATAACCTTATGCACTCATAAATATATTAAAAAAAAACAGTACGTGATAAAAACCGCAGTGAAAATAATTACAACTTCAAAAGTTTAACGAATGAGACTAAGGGCTCCAGGAATCTACCTACCATCATCTTAACTTTAGAGGGCGCCACTCTAACATAATAACAAATATCTTTAATACGCTTTATAATAAATTGTACCTGAGCGAAGATGAAGCCAGTCGTTTGTAATACTAATGTTATAAAGAGAATAGATTTTTTTTGTATGTTTGTTTGTAATGGATAAACTCAAAAACTACTTAACCGATTTTAAAAATTATTTTACCTATAGCTATATTATCATATATATTTTATATATATGATAATATCTTTCCAAAAAAATTTAATCTCTATAAAAATTGCAAAAATTTAACCCAACTCAATTTTTTTCTAATTATGCTAATATAAAATACTAATTTACGAGCATCTTTCTATTTATTTACCCATGCGATATTCCTATTAAGAACCTACCATGGTTTATAGATTTTTTGGATGAAGATGTAATGGTAAACTCTAGCGATTTGGTTTATGCTGATAGGTACCAAGGAAGAATGATAGGTGATGATGAAGTTAGGTCAGTTAATCCATCATAATGAATTCAACAGGAATAACTACAATAGTTTTCAAGGGGAACCTCGTGGAGGTCAACCTAATAAGGAAACCGAAACAAACCTCTCCCTCTATAGTATGGTAGTGCTACCATAGATAATTTTCACGACTAATAAAAAAGCAGAATAAATATTAATGAAACTAAAATTGTTCATATAAAACTATTACAGTTATGTGCAATTTATATCTAATATCTATTTACATGAGATGACGAATAGTGAATTCTGAGGACCCACCATGAATTTTTTTCCGAAATTTTGGTGCAGAATGAAACACAAATTTGATGTAAATATTACATAATACATATCGTTTAAAAATTTTAAAGATATTAAAATATCGTTCCTTTAAATTTTTCTGGTAGTGTTTATGACGAACTAAATTTTAAGGACCATTTACTGGGTCGATTTCATTATGAATGAAAATACGAAATTCAATCCAAAATTTTGTTTAACAGTCCGTCACAAACAAAAGTTCCATCCCAACCATCTGTATGAGTTGCGGTTTTCGACCGTGTGTTTTTCCAGGCACTTTCTTTTACGCGCAACCACGCTTTAAAATCAACTTCCAGTAGCAGTATTTCGGAACCGATACGACATCGTAATCTTTTAAGAAAAGAACATTTTTCTTTTTAGAAGACCAGCAGCACACGTGCAATGTTTCTGCTGTTGCAGGTGCTCATGAGCGACGGTAGTCACTTACCATCAGATGAGCCACAAGTTAGTTTACCCCTGTATTATGAAAAAAAAAAAAATTGGCACTCAGAACTGTCTACATGGGACCTGGCGTGAAGAAGGACAAATCATGCTATGACATCACATGGTTTATACATTTTACGGCATCGATCGCTACATTACTAATTGGTTGCACTCGATATTTCGTTATCAGTAATTCCTATTTGATAAATATTTACCAGTTACGTCATCAAGGTTTAATTTTTTTATGAACTTAAATAAATGTTTTTTGGTCCCTGAAAGAACGGATTTCATTGAATTATCAAATTAAATTAATCATTAACATAATATATCTATTTTCACGCTAACTCCTTTGTGAAGTAAGCAGAGAGAATCTAAAGTCAAAAGAACAAATAAATGCCTATAATCTTTATATTAATAAACACGGAAAAAACCACGGGTAATATCTAGTTATACTCTTAAAATATGTTTAATTACCGTAAAGAGTAGAATATTTTTGAAATCATATTTTTTTAATATTATCAATCGACTTCTAAAATATTTTACATTCGACAGCTGTATGCATCTATATATTATTATCTTTGATAAACTTAATAGCAAAGAACTTGGACATCTTCCAATAGTAGCGGGTTCGATTCTCGCATAATACAATCCCTTTTATTCATAGATATATCTGTTTGTATTAGTTTAGACGTTTTCTAAATTACATGGTATTTACGAAAAAAAATATGATTTTTATATCTGAGTTACTAATACCTACCAAAATAGGTTATTTCGGGGGAAGGGATTATTAATAATGGGAAGGTTAGTCCCCATTGCCATAAATATACCTTATCAGGTTGACCACCACGCGGGTCCTCTAGAAACCATCCTGATTAATTTATGATTGAATTCGTTACGATGGGCTAATTGACCTGTCTTTTTATCCTCACCAATCATCCCCCGCCAGCGCATACCAAAAGCGCAGGCGGGGTTACCATTCCATTATCATCCTTTAAAAATAAAAACTATGTTATTCTCTAAGTTAACCCTAAGTTAACCCACTCGACCCACGTATTAAAAAGGATATAAACTATACATACTGCTACAATTACAAAACCAGTAACAGTAATTATCGCAAAATTCCCGGACAAAGAAATTAATATTGATGTTTTGACGGTGGGTACAAATCATACCTACTGCGTATGTAACAGTTTGCTCTTTCAAAAAAAAATGTACCTACGGACTCGACCTTTCTACGATTTTATTATATGTATAAATAGTGATAACTGTACCCACATACAGCATTTAGTTCTCGGGCCTACTAGCACTAATATCTCTTGTCAACCTTCGCTGGGGCTCGAGTACTAAACAACTTCACATCGCAGTCGTGCGGCGTCGCTTGACCGGACCGCTGGCTTTCGTCTATATTACCAATCAATTTTATCAAACAACAACATGTCTCAACAAGGCCCCGCTTTCGACGTGAATGCTATGACCCTTACAAGATGGGTCTTAGCACAGCAGAGGAGCGCCCCAGACGCCACTGGTGACCTCACACAGCTGCTGAACTCGATCCAAACAGCTGTGAAGGCGATACAATCAGCGGTCAGGAAAGCCGGCATCGCTAAACTGTACGTATTCACTCTTTATTCTTTACTTACAAAAAGAAAACGAAAGTGTACGATGAGTTCGTGTGGAGGACATTCACGTCCATCAATGGGTGTGTTTCTACGTCATTTTCAATGTCATAGTTATAGTATTTATAAATTTTATCTTGTTTTCATAGTGGCACGATAACTCGATAACTTAAAGTGTAAAGTAAAAACAGAGGGTGCGTCTAATATATTTTTGAGTTAGTGTTGTTACTTCAGTAACTATTTAAAGTATTTTGATATAAGAAAAGATATACAGAGTTTAAATTCCTTCAATTACAAGAATATAACTTTCAGTTTTAATACCAATAAAGGTATTTTCATTCTTTTTTTTTTAATTTATGTATATATTATATCATTTTCATATACAGTACCACTATAAAATATAGAAATGAAAACAAAGACTTTAAAACATTAATTAAAAATAAAACAATTTTAACTTTCAGTTTACAACAAGTAACATCTGCTTTACACGCGGTCTTGTTTGGTTCGACGAAAATAAAATTGTTGTTATAAAAAAATATTACATATTTATGTAATAATCTAGTTATATTAATAAATTAAATACATATGTCTTTAACAACCATCTATCATATTTAAAAATAGCTTAGTGCAATGATCTCTCGTACGTTGACTTAACTATAGTTAATGTATATTAAGCGGGAATTAAGACGAGAACTAAAGTTTATCATTTCCATACGATGTCTCTCAGCTTTAATTAAATACGTACTTAACTATTTATATTTATGCAATGAGAACACTTGTACTGTTCCACGTGTTTCTTTTATAATACCTAATTATTATTAATTTTATGATCTACTTAACCGGTTTAGCTGTAAGTACTAGGTATTATCCTTTTATGTTAGTTTTTAATATCGTGATAAAAAATGGTTATAAACGTGGAAGAAAATTTGTTTATTACCTTTATGTATGCAGGATAAAAGATAAATTATTAGTTCTTCTAATAAAACTGAAAATTGTTCTTAAAAATTATGGGTGGAAAAATTAGAAATTAGGAAGTCGTTTTTTTACTTATTTCTATTTTTTATATTTGATACCTCAGAACTCCGTCATTTATAAAGCTACTTGGAAAAATATTCTTTTATCTAAAAGAATATTCATTCGGATTTGTCCTTTATAAATTCAAAATATAACGATTAAGGTTGTTAGTTTTTTATGGTACAAAATGTACTTCTTTATCGATCTATGTTTCGGTCATAACAAGTTCTTAAAAGTGAACTACATATTCCTTCAGTAACCTCAATCAGCTTTAAAAATATGATTCTTTTTTTATTATTTTTCTGTTTTAAATTCCTACTCTACTCTACTGGTCGGTGATTATTTTCCAGGCATGGAATATCCGGCGATGTGAATGTCCAAGGCGAACAAGTCAAGAAATTGGATATATTGTCCAACGACTTGTTCGTCAACATGCTCAAATCATCGTTCACCACCTGCCTTCTCGTATCTGAAGAAAATACTTCAGTAATTGAGGTTTGTACCATGCATACTTATATTGAAAAACAATTATATTAAATTTATTTACCATTAATTCTATATTACTAATATAATAAAATAACAAGGGTAGAATAATCTCTGAAATATACAAATAAATCAATGGGATTTTTTCGGAATAAACCTATCGATTTATTTTTCGACAGTAGGGAGGCTAAAAATAAACAAAACCTAAATATTTTTATACCTGTAATATATAATCCGCTAATTTTTATATATATAGACAAAATTAATATAGAAACGAAATAAAGTTTTGAACTTAACGCTTAATTGTCAAATTAGCTGACTCTTTTTTTATTAATGTTCAATATGCTTACGCATACAATGTATCTTGACGTATTATTTAATAAATAAAATTAATATTTACCCATTAAAAATGCAGAAATTATAAGACAAAATAAATTTAGAAGTGTAAAGTAATCGCTAAACTATTTATTACGCAAAATTGTATAAAAAAGATTACCCGCTTTTTTCGGAACATTTGTATGGAGACACTATCTATATAATCAAAAACGGTATCTAGTTATGTACTTGCTGGTAAATAAACATTTTAGGTAAAGCAACGTAATCTTGTAGATATTTTGTAACATAATTTATTGATCAGTAACTAAACTGCAGTCATAACAGTCTTCAAAGAACGTTTTTTATGTGTATATACATATACACACAATAATAGACTGCAGAAAGTTTACGTTTAAGTTTGTGTGTAAATGTATCACATATCCACACAATAAAAAGCCTTGTTAATTTGAAAAAGATGAAATGCTAATGACGTCTAGCTAATTCATTGTCGTAACAGAGTAAAAAGTATCGTCGACTAAGTAAATGATAGGCACTATTCAGCCTCGATGCTTTCCAAATCTTCCTAACTAAACCTAACTACTTACACGTGGAGTAAACATCCGGGAACACTTAGTATTTTGTATACTAATAACTGTCAATATGTTGATTAATTATAGGTAAAAAAGAAATTATTTATATAAACGCTACAAAAACATTCGAACAGGCTCAAAGCTTAACAGAACATCGACAATTTAAAATTAATATTAACAACTAAGAAAACTAATATTAACAATCTGGACATCGACATATAATATTACAATATCAAAATGAATGAATAAATGTTTTATTTTCTCTTCACAAAAAGTAGTAAAAAGTAACAACTTTACAATTAAATATGTGGAACCGATTTTATGAGAGACTGGTGTCTATAGTAGGTTTTGCAAAGATCTGTGTTACAAGTCATCTGTGCCCCATTTCCATGGACTATACAATTATAAGGCAACCAATTAATGATACAATAGACAGATAATTAATAGAGAGATAAAAATTGCGAGAATAAACCTTACATCAATACTTATTAAAGTTATAATTAAGGTAAAATTATTTACAAAGTACAGTCTATTATTCATTTAATATTTTATATATATTTGGCTATTATTTATTCAATTTATTGTAAATGTAGGGGGCCAAGAAAGCAAAAGAAGTTTTACGAAAGACTAGTAAAAGAATATTTTAAAGTCCATTTTTTTATGGTTGTCTAAAGTTGGTTAAAGTTTTTTGTCTTTATAATGCTATAGATAGAGGTCAATAGCATATCATGCAGTTACAGATAAAGTAGTTGGAAGATACCTACCTACAGTTGGGTGTTTACGACTATTTTATCATTAAATAATAATAATAATTCATCTACAGTCACACTATCTGATGGAATGAGTTATACGTAACGAAATACTTAGATGTTGTTTTGCATGTTTACTATCTTGTAACATAAAAAAGTAGTAAACCTCAATAATTTAATTAATTAAAATAAAAAAAAAAATCATTGATAAACCTGAAATAAAAAAATTATGTGTCTACATTTCAACTACTATTTACATGAGTAAATTGTATTTATGTATTTTACAAAAGGAATATATCAATTATTTATTTACTTTTCTTTTAAGATACTAAGAAAAACGAATAGTAGGTAAATAATTGATCAGATAATTACATATATAAATTAATTTTACCATCTCATTTAAACAAAAAAAAAAGGGTAAAGGGTAAAATAAATATAAAATCTGTACAACTATTACATAATGAGAATTAAAAAAAAATATATTTAAAAAATTACATAATTAAAAATATAAACCTGAATTGAGAACCTCCTCCTTTTTTTAAGTCGGTTAAAATCTATACCTATTAATAGTATCATACTAATACTACTAGTATCTAATAGAAATAATATAATCAGCGGGTTTTCACTTTCAAGAGTATAACGAAGCATAGAAGTATTTATAACTATATAACAAAGCACTGAATAACTGGAAAGAACCTATAATCTATATAAAGGAACGAAATATATATTTATATTTTACGGTTCTCTTTAAGTCCATGATGTAAAAACGAAAAGATTCCAACTTTTCGTTTTTATTCCATTAAAAAAAAATACAACACTCCAGCAATGCTAATCTGTTATTCCAGCAATGTGCTTTGTTGCGGCTTATATTAATTTTAACATTAGTTATAGTTAATTTAATTTTCATTTATACATAGCTATATTTACGTAAGTTAAAGTGAATAGAACTGTTTTCCCATTCTATTCTATTCCACATTACAGGTAGAAACAGAACGGCGAGGCAAGTACATAGTCTGCTTCGACCCGCTCGATGGATCATCCAACATTGATTGCCTCGTCTCCGTAGGCTCCATCTTCGCTATTTACAAGTAAGTACACCAAAAACGTTGTTATAAAAAAACTTATTTTGCGCAATCATCTTCATCGCACGTATTATTCCACGCAAGAAACTTCCGTAATCAGTTTTTTAAAGTAGTTGATAGATATTTTATCCCCCCTCTTTCCTCTAATATTATTTTCTCATGTTGAAAGTATGCATAATTTCAATATTACATTAGTTATAGTTAAAACTTATACCCTTGTGACAGAAATTAGATAAATCTCACTATCTTCTTCTCCTGTGGGAATTTTATATTTAATTTCATAGTAAGCATCTACGTCTTCTAAAGAACATCTATACAATATTTTGTACTATCAACTTCAGTGTGTTTCGGCTTATCTATATGTATATATATATATATATATATATATATATATATATATATATATATATATATATATATATATATATATATATATATATATATATATATATATATATATATATATATATATATAAAGCTCGAAACATCACCAAAGCTTAAGAACGATTAACCCGCCTACCAAGCATGGCAACTATTGACAAAACCGTTCAAGAGGAAGACCATGTTCAGCAGTGGACAGTTTTTGGCTGATATGATGATATTGATAGGTATATATTTCAATAACTATGTCGTTGAATAAACATAAATTTTAAAAATAATATTTTTTGTTTTTTTTTAATACGATTTAATACGAGTAGCTAATGATTATGGAGATCGTCTATTTATCGTCATTTATATTTACATATATTTTACATACATTAAGAATTGTATTTGGCATTCCCCTACTACGATATTTTATAGTATACCTATCAAATTACATAACGACAATTAAATATATGTAATATATGAAACTCATAATATTTCCAGAAAAGTAACAGGTGGCAACCCTGTTGAAGCCGACGCCTTACGACCGGGCAGAGAGCTGGTAGCCGCTGGATATGCCCTGTACGGCTCAGCCACCATGCTTGTGCTCGCCATCGGAAAGGGCAACGGAGTCAACGGCTTCTTATACGACCCCTCGATCGGAGAGTTCATACTCACAGACCCTAACCTGAGGATACCTGAGCGGGGCAACATCTTCTCTGTGAATGAAGGTAAATAAATGTTTTTTTTTTTTTTTACTTCATTTAAGTATTTAAGAATTAGTAATGAGAAGGTCCTACTTAACCCTTAAAAGCCTGATTTTTTAAATCAAATTAAAATCTATATATATGGTAAGTGTACCCTTTACTGTGTTTACTAATGGGGAAAAATAGTAAAAAAAAAAATCAAAACGATATTTTTATATATTTATTTTGAAAAAACATTTGGTGTCATTTTTGATACTTTAGGCATTACGGTAATCAAAATATTTAAATTTATTTAACAATGAAACAATGCAAACCCCAGTATCAAACTTGAAACTTCAGGTATTTAAGTGTTAAGGTTAAGGAAAGGAGATATATTATAAAAACTATTAAGGTCAGAAGGGAAAATGTTAGAACACTTGATACGACACGACGAAATTATGAACATTATAATAGAAGATAGAAGGAAGGAGGGTAGGGGGAGGCTAAGACATAGTTACATTAGGCATGAAGAAAAAAGATGGTGTTTTATCGTTTTAAAATGTGAAGAGACTAGCTGAAAATGGTAGTGAGTGGCAAGAGCTCCACCGATAGGAGCACAGTTCTTAAATAGGAACAGGGAGTATTTACATCTCTTATTATTACATCTCATATTTAAATCTGATGCTGATCTGATGGGCTGCTGCGTCCCTCTGAAAACATATCTAAAGCCTAACTGCGGTTGCCAATCCGCCTGCCAAACATGGCAACTACTGGCAAACCTCCCAAGAGGAAGACAAAATTTACTACTAGGTTTAACTGTCTTCAACCCAAAAATTACCTATTGATTGCAAAAGGACTTGTGACATTCCAAATTACAGGTTCAAAATTGGTAATGTAATCGCGTAATAGTCTCGTAATATCTGAAAATTTAGAAAATTAAAATACCTCCAGAATAAAGAAGTTGCTTCAAAACTTCAGTCCCTCTTTGTTTTACTCAATTATGCTTAATTTTCTGAACAGATTGGAATGAAATTTACTACTAGCTACAATTAGAAGTATATGTTGACAATTGAAATTGATCCTTAGAATGATGATATTAAAGTGACGAAGTTTTTGAAATAGAACCGCATTGCGGAATGGAGCCACTGTTACTCTTTTTTTTTTTAATTAATTGCTATCTGTATCCCGCGGCTTTGCTCGTGTTAATCAGTGCCATGTAGTGTATGCAGTGCAGTGTAACCTACCCATATAACAAACTTTATTCAAATCTGTTCAGTCGTTTTTGCATAAAAGAGTAACAAACATCCATTCATTATTACAAATGTGTGCATTTAATACATTAATAGGATTGCCATTTATTGTGCATATAATATACTTGCGACCCAGTTTCAGTCGGTTGCAAATTTATATGTACGAACTTACCATAAAAATATCTACGAGGATACAGACGGTAACTCTATTTTTTATTATTTAGATTTACGAAAATTTCTATTGCTTTTAATTCAAATGTTTGTTCTGCTATTTACAGGTTATTTTGCAGAATGGGAAAGCGGTCTCCAAAAGTACGTGCAAGATAAGAAGGCCCCCAAGACCGGCAAGGCTTACGGCGCCCGCTACGTAGGCTCCATGGTTGCCGACGTCCACAGAACCATCAAGTATGGAGGCATCTTCTTGTACCCGGCCACCAAGTCTTCTCCCAATGGAAAAGTTAGTTTGTTTTTATTATTTTTTGCAATTCACTCTTTAAATCCGGTATCTTTACTTTAATTTAATCTTTTAATCGCACACCTGCAATGCCGCTGGTGTTGTGCGTGATCATGTTAAATTTATCCAACAGAAAACCTACGTTTATTTATATTGTTCACGAACTTATTCAATAATATATATATATATATATATATATATATATATATATATATATATATATATATATATATATATATATATATATATATATATATATATATATATATATATATATATTATATATATACTAATGAACCGCCTTTAATAAAAATTTCTATTGGGCTGATTTGTAAGTATATCCTTTCAGAAAAAAAATCCAAATCGGTTTAGAACTGACGGAGTTATAAGGTAACAAACATAAAAACAATACAACCGAATTGAGAACATCCCTTCATTTTGAAGTCGGTTGAAAATACCACCAAATAAGATTACAGTCCTTTAGAAATGACGTCATTTGAGTGGACCCTACAAATACCCCTGGAGTAGTTCTAGCATCCAGTTCATTGCTATAGGCGACGTTGCCAGGTTCCATCAGGTGCATCGTCAAGTTACTTGCCATTCGAAGTATCATAAAAAATGCCAGCAAATACATCAATACAATTGTTTACAGTTGCGTCTTCTGTACGAATGCAACCCAATGGCCTATATCATCACCGAAGCCGGTGGTTTAGCCACCAACGGTAAAATTCCAACCCTGGACATCCAGCCCACCTCCATCCACCAGCGCGCGCCCTGCTTCCTCGGCTCCAGGAGAGATGTTGAAGAATTGCTTACATACTTAAAATGAATATTGTCTGTGATACACTTTTCTATTTAGTAAACACTCATTCTTGAACGGTCAAATATAATTTATTAGAAGAACTTATGTTTTATTAATTTTTGTTATTAAGATTACTGTTTCATCATCATTCATTTCCACTGCTGAAAAGAAGCCCCCTTAGGGGGTTTCGCCAATAGTTGCCACGCTATACAAGCGAACTAGAAACTGCAGTTAGACTTTGGAGATGTTTTAAGAGGGGCGTTGCTCCCCATCCCTCGCCCCTTACGACATCCACGAAGAAGGAAGTGGCCTTTTCTACGCCGGGACACACACGGCAAAGATTATTGTTTATATTTTTCAAATTCCAGATCTATATGCTTATTCTTTATTTCTCAGAATATAGAGGATCTAGAAACAATGTACCATTCTACCACTTCTAAGTGCGACAAAATTCATATGAATATTAATTTATAAATAGTTGTATTGCCAAACGTCGCAAGTATTTCACTAAATTACAATAATAACACATGTATTGTACTAAAACAAGCATAATGAAAATCATTGAACCGGTTTATAAATGGTGAAGATACAGCATAACATACATGCAAAAAATAGATATTAAGTACTATGTCATCTAAAGTGCCATAAGAAATTTGCAAAAACGATATGGCAAAAGCTTGCAAATAAGTAAAATAGTAGTGATTTTTGCGATATTCCATTAGCGATGTAGTAAATAGAATCTTGCATTTAATGTCCTGTAGGTACAAAAATAAAACCAGTACCACCTTAAACAATATATCGATAGATACATTCTCGCTACCGTATACAGGAGAAACGAGACAGCAACATGCAACGTCTTGCTTTTTTTTCAAAACCGATAGATTCTTTGCCTATTAAATATAAAAATTAAATAAATGAACAGAGAAAATGGTGACAAATATTTAATTCCGTGACTTTAAAAAATGTTTATATATAAGCTTTATGGGAATTTACACGATGAGGGGGGGGGGGCTATACAGAGTGACGAACGCAAATCCATTGCAAGGAGTCAGTCAATGCAGGCGGCTCAGTACCGCTCCTGATGACAGTCTATGGGGGAGGTTTATGTCCAGCAGTGGAGTGATAATGGCTGAAATGATGATGGGAATTTTATGAACTTGCCATATTTATCATTTCCGACTTCATCGAAAAGTCGAAATAAAAAAATTAACATAACTTTTAAAAATAATACCTATTACTTTAGAAAAAGACACAATTAAATTACTTTCAATAATTTATTTATACAAAAATGCATAAACGTTACATACACTCTTGGTAAGATTTATTTTTCTATAATCTTGTGTAATATACAATAATAAATGTCAATCAGGTTAATAATACATCTATTTATTACAACTGATAAAATGTGGTGTATGTGTTCCTTCTGCTTTTTTTCACTTATACATACTATCTGTCCAAACTTAATTCGAACATAATAAAACCAGTCTTTTTTATGCCACACAATAGTGGGTTGAAAACTGAACAATCTAAGTGCAACTCTAATTATGAAATTACGCCGTCAGTGCGACGAACTGATGGAATACGTCCAGTATGTGCGGGTCCAGATCTTGGGTAAAAAGCAGCGTCTCCAACGTGCTGCTGTACTTCTGAACTTGTTCATGATGCTAGAAAATACAAAAAGATTAATGAATTAACAAATTGTTCTACAAAAGGGGCTTATTTAGGTTTCATCAAGGTCAACAATGCACACGTGACATCTCTGGTGTTGCAGACGTCCTACGGTAACTGTTTACCATCAGATGGACTGTATCCTTGTTTGCCACCTTCGTGATATAATAAAGATGCCGTATTCTTGTTCGTATGACGTAAATCAATATAACTAATAAGTCAGCAACCCTGTTTAGGGACCTTAAGCGTAACTAGTACCGTACTTCGCATAATGGTATTATTATCCAATTCGTGGGAACACTAATTCTACTAAATGACATTCCTTATGATATCACCACAGTGTAAGTAAAGGCCAGCAGTCCAACGACTTCTATATTTCCCGAAAGATCAATAACATGACAAATTAAGTCGAATTCCACGTAATCTCCACTGGAAACCACTGTGAATAACTCCGAATGGGTAAATTTAACACGATTGGCCATCTATTCTAACTGCATATTACTATATAATCGTCAATAACGAGTATCGCGGCAGCGTATACCGATAGCGCAGGCGGAAGTAACATTCTATATTATCCCAATGAAGAAAAACGAATACTACTATGTACACAGTAGTAACTAGAAAGAATTGGTGGATTATGGGAGTCAGTAGCATGGTGTACTCACAACTAAAAAGACCTGCTGCAGCCGGCCGATGGTGCTGCGGTACCAGTGCGTGACGGGGTCGCGCGCGTCCGTGTCGCAGCGCACCAGGTGCTCCGACAGGATCATGATGAACCGCTGGAACACGATCAGGAACAGCCGCTTCTGATCCATATGGGCCGCTTCTAGCCGCTCCTCCATGCGCTCTACCGCCTGAGTTAAAGTTATAGTTAATTTTAATCAGTTCATTAGTGGAGTGACGACCTCAGAGTCTGGATAGAGGTGATTCAGGACCATTCCTTATGGCAATCTATGCTTAGGCTTATGTTTAGGAGTGAATGGTTAACAGCTGAAGTGATGATTGCTTTACTTCATTTTATTATATTAAAAAAAACAACATAAATAACATAAATAACAATATCAACTAACACGATTAAAACTAAACTTGTTTTTTTGTACATTTTTCACTAAGACACAAATAAAAGAATAAAGAAATGAGATTATTTAAGTAGTGAATTAATGAATAAATAAACATAAACTTATAAAACTTTTAGCAATTTAGACACTTTAGTTTTAAATATAATTTTCCTTAGGTGAATTTTATAGTACCGGAGATATCCAGAAAAGTTGGCTATTTTCTGTACAATTGGCTCCATTTGGATGCGTATCACCAGCGCCTCATAGTGTTCGGATAGAAAGAGATTGATAATAATGGGAACTAAGAACCTCATTGCTAGCAATATTGCTGATGAATTTGTCACGATGGGCCAACTGCCCTGACTTCATCTTCACGCATAATTAATTTTAATTAGACAAATAATCATTTATTTTACCTCCTCAGTAGGTTTATCTTGATCTTTCTTCTTCTTGCTGCCGCCCTCGTCCTCTGAATCTGAACTGCTGGAGTCAGCTCTGGCCAGTGCTTCTCTCGCCTCCTGTAGTTCTCCGCCTATATAGTGTTTAATTAATATTAGTTATTAGTGATTATTTCAGAAAACTTTTTTTATAATAGTTTAATTTTTTTTTTAAAACATTAATTTGAAAATAAATTAATTACTAAGATTGTGTCTATTAACAACAAACTTCAATATAGAGAAAGCTTTCATTTTACAATCTATATGTTACAATCAATTGGCAATTGTGGACCAAATCTAATGATAATTTATTTATTAAGACATTTAAAAAAAAAGTATCAAAATTGAAGTCTTATCAAAATGGAATTTTTAATTAACCTTAGAAAAAAAAATGTTTTTATTTTATATTTATTTAAATCTTTATTGCAACAGAAACATAAAAATGTACAATGACAATTGAACAATTCACGTAAAATACAGTAACATAAAATAAATATTAAAATATATACATAAAAGTCCAAAAGGTGGTCTTATCGCTAGGGCAAACTCTTACAGGCAACCTTTGGTTAAAGAAGAATAAAAGTGAACAGGTAGATAATTACTTACAGGTAGATATTTACTTTACCAGAGGGAGACTTTGTACAAAAGTCGATTGCTTGGGTATCTCTGTTATTCGTGTTTCAACCGTAAAACAGTTTGCATGGCTGTTTCGGTTTGAAGGGTGGGATATGGCGTGAATTTACTGGGTACAGAGGAATAACACCTGAGTCCTCAGGAATAGCAACGCATGGGCGGTATCATGGGCGAAACAGTATACTCTGTTATGTCCATGGTACTGCTCATGTCTATAGGCAACGGTTACTTTTCATCAGGTAGGCCGTCAGCTTGTTTGCCATTCTAAGTTGTATAAAAAAAAATTAGTTTTTACCCGCGAAATTATCTGCGTGACCAGGAAAGTTGATTCAACCATAATTTAACAAGAAATAAAAGCCTACTTCCTACTCCATTCCAAATAGTACGCGTATTCATAAAGAATGATTAAGATGCAAGAAATAACATACACATATTCTTAGGTTTTGTTCCAAACTAATTTTAGAAATATTGAAGGCATACAACATTAAAGCAAAAAGTTTTTTACTCACTCAATTTGGACACGTGTTTATTCATCTTGTCTATGGTGAGGTGCAACACCTCCCAGAGGTAGCCGTGCGTGAAGTACGGCGCCATCTCCTTGGAGAAGAGCCACGTGGCGACCGCGCTGCACTCCACTATCTGCGTCTTCAGCATCTTGTCCACCAACACGCACACCATCTGCGGGTGCCGCTGCCACAGCTCCCACACGTTGCGCAGTATACAGATCTGCGCCTCCTCGGATTCCGCTAGAATCTGAAATTAGAAGAATTCATACATTTCTGAAACTTGTGATCAAATTAAAACCATTTACTTTAACTTCCCTTGTCCACCGACTTCAAAAAGAAGAAGATTCTCAGTTCGGTTATATTTTTTTAGTTTCTTTTTTATGTTTGTTACCACATAACTTCAACAGGTCTAAACCGCTTTGGAATCATTTTATCTGAAAATATGTACTTACACAAAATAACAAATAACAAACTAACAAAATAACTGGTTTTGACACAATTGAAGTCGAGTTTATTACGGAACACAATCTTTACTCATTTAAAAATCTGTCTATTGCAATAATAATTATCAAAATTTGTGAAAATAATGCATAAAAGCCGTAAAATCTTTAATAAGAAATTTGTTCATAATTGCATCACAGATATCTTTTCCTCTATCTTTCTGGTTCAAAAAATAACTAACATCGGTTGCCAATCCGCCTGCCAAGAGGGACAATTATTGGTAAAATCCCCCAAGGGGGAGGTTTATGTTCAGCAGTGGACAGTGAAAGGTTAATATGATGATGATGATGATAGTACTATAATAGTAAAAAAATATTACCTTGAATACATAATGAAACTTGGATATCGCCGCGAAACTGTGTGAGATACTCTTGCTGCCCAAATTGAGGAGTGTCTGCACGAAGACGTCAATCTTCAGCGGGTTGTGGGGCGCTGCCTGCGCGGCCGCCGGCTGTTCACCTTCGCGCAGCGGGTTCGGTAACTCGCGGAGCACGTTCAGGGCTTCCTCTGGTGTACACTTGTTACGAACGCACACGACTAACTGATGGGCTGCTTCGGTGCCGGGCAGTGAGGCTGAAATATTGATATATTTTTTTATTATTATCTCAAAGAGACTCTCATATAGATATAAACAGCACCAAAGATAACACAGAATACGCTGACATCTATAGAAATGGGTTGCCATGACTTTTTAAAACAAAAACTTTCAAATTTCCCTGCTTTTTATGTTTTACCGTAAGGTACATTACAATAATATATTTGCCAAATTTGAACCGATATTTTAATATGTTTTTAATTCGATAAATTTTTCTTCCTTCTCTGTTAGTACCAGAGGTAGACTTTGTACAAAAATCGACTGCTTGGGTACCTCTTGTGTGTTTCAACCGTGAAGCAGTTGTGTTTGCATGGCTGTGTTTCGGTTTGAAGGGTGGGATATGGCGTGAATTTACTGGGTACAGAGGAATAACAGTCCTCAGGAATGGCAACGCATGGGGGGTATCATGGACGAAACAATATTCTCTGTTATGTCCATGGTACTGCTCATGTCTATAGGCGACGGTTACCACGTTCCATCAGGTGGGTCGTCAGCTTGTTTGCCATTCTAAGTTGTATAAAAAAAAAGTCCTATATTGATTTTATCATGATAATTATGCTGTTTTTTAATAAACAAAAATCGTAAATTATTTTATTAAACTTAGATTCTTTTCTAAGTTTAATAAAATAATTTACGATGACAAAAAATTACATAAAATTAGCATTCCCTTATATGTTACCATATTTCTGTTAAAAAAAAAACAAACAATAAGAAAAAGATATTAAAAATAGTGCTATTGAACACCAAAATTACTGAGTTGCAAGAATCCATAGAGTTACTTAACATTTATATAAATGTTTTGACGACACACATTTGAAATATCCACAAAGTCCTAATCTATCTTTTCTCTATTCACTAAGCGTCTACCTATAATATCGTATATTACGAAAAATCTAAATCACGTTTGGAAATCATTGTCGATTTTACACGTTCGTGCCGGCAATTAATGTAGATTGGCAGCAGATAGCGACAGAACAATACTGTCGATTGCGCAAACTGACTCGCTGCAGCGCGCTCCTCATGGGAAACCATATTCGAAACTATAACATTATTAAATTCAAATCTCATTATATATCTACTTTAGATGTCACGGTTTCTGAGAATCGTGGCGTAGTGGTACACTAGACTTATAGAAGCTATTAAAGGTCGTATATTTAATCTGACTGAAATTGTAGGACTTTTAGAATTTACAATTAAATTTCTAGTGATGGAAGATTAGGCTATGCTCGAAGTCTTGCGTGATAGAATCCGAAACGAGGATATCTGCAAAAGAAACAAAATAACCGACATAGCCCGAAGAATAAGCTAGCTGAAGTGACAATGGTCTGGTCACATAGCTCGAAGAACCGACAACCGATGGGGAAGAGGTTTTTGAAACGCAGTGTAGGACGACCTCCCACTAGATGGAGTGACGACCTGAAATGCGTTGCAGGGAGTCAGTGGATGCAAGTGGCTCAAGACCGTTCTTTATGGCAGTCTATGGGAGACTTATGTCCAAAAGTGGACAAATAATGGCTGAAATGATAATGATGGAAGATTATTAATAAGCCGAATTTGATTTGTTGAGAATCCAGGAGACGTGGGTAGGTTCACCCTGTTATGTTGCATCACGTTTAATTATGCTCGGCGGAAAGTGCTCATATCTAACTAAATATGCTCATATATTAAATGTATATGGTATATGTAAATGCCATGTAATAAATGTAACTACATATACTACAACGGTAACAGTCTCTATCCCGTCGAGAATTACCATCGTTATCATAGTTGTTTTATTCAAATATTTATTTATTTGCGATAATTAAGAATATCGAAAAGATAAAATACAATCCAATATCTATGTGTTAATGAATCGATAACGAAACGAATGAGCAAATGCACTCTGTTATGTCCATGGTTCTGTTCATACCTATATAAGCGACGGTTACTACTTACTGTTAGGTGGTCAGCTTGTTTACTATTCAAATTGCATAAAAAAAAAAAAAGTCAGAATAACCATTTCGAACTATTCACCGACATTTCACACTACCCATCTCTTGATATACGAGAACATACTTATCAGAATAGTAAAAGAAAAAATAAAAATAAAAACAATAATTTACGAAAAAAGTATTTTCAGCACTATAGCCATAATAAGAAATTGTCTACTCTACTGAATGTATATTTTGTAAATATAACAAAATTTCATAATCTCATAATAAAAAAAAAATAAAGCTACAAGGCAATTATTCTTATTTACTCCACACAAGTATTTAAATTATACAAATATAAATGACATTACGTGCAATAAGGAAAGCTGATAGTTTTCCCCCGTCTGTCTGTAGACTAATCTTATACATACGGCGCGTGAATGCATATATCATAACACGAAACAATATTGATTGCTATTACTTTGACAAGTTCCTCACTATAATAGATAGAATGAATATCGTCTTTAAAATATATCGTTTAAGGTGGAAAATACTTATTCGTTTACCCAAATAAAAGGCAACAATTAGTGTGAAATAGTACAAATATGGTCGTTTGTTATACCACCTATACCTTGGACATCAAAATATTATTTATTATTTAAATGTTATTTACAAATATGAAATAATATTTTTTTAAGGAGATAATTTGTCATCTGATGGAGAGATAAAGGAAAGTGCTCAAAATTTAAATATTATACATATAACTACCTAAGTGACAAACTTTCGTTTTATTTCCAATAAAAACAATCTAATTTACCCTTTATTCACGTACAATTTTTAAATAACTTAAACAATAACAATAAAATAACTAATGGGAGACAGGCGTGACAGATATGTATTTATGTATGTAATTTTTAAACAATCACATTATGTCAAGCAAAATGGTGATTTCAGTAGCTGAGCGCATGTATTCTAACAGAAGTGTCATCTATTTTTATATATAATAATGATACATATTAGGAAAAGTGTTCTTTATATTATATTAATAATTCGGTCCATTTTACAACATAAAATGGTAGAAACTATATTCATCATTTTCCTTGTTATATTTTTATGCTACATATTAAATGTTGCAATTACTGGTGGCAAAATCCTCCCAAAAGTAAACTGCTATAAGGAACCGGGCCGTACCTAATGTTAACGGGACAATCGATGGGGAAACTTATGTTTAGTCATGGAAAAATAACAGTTGATTCAATTTAATTCAATTTATTGCATTCTACAATATTATTATGAAAGATGTTAATAATGGATAAAGTACATTGTAGACCCTGTCGGGCACAGCAATTAGAAGCGAGGAGGGTGTTAATCCTTAAATTTTCATAGAGATTTAAATAATTCAATTTCAATTTTATCAATTTAATTAAATTCGAACTAAATTCCAAATTAATTTAATTATTTTAACGATTTTTTTTTATTTCCATATGTTTTATTTTATTTTAATGCAATTTAATGTAGTTGTTCATATTTTTATATATTTTTAGTATCATTATCAATTTTAGTATTATTAATTAAACCAGTAATATTTATATATTATGCGTTATTTTTTATTACAAATTTTTATCATTTAAATATTCATCTATATCGTAATAACATTGTTTAGCTAATAGTTGTTTTAATTGTGATATGAATACTCTATGGTTTTGTTCATTTCGTAATGTAATATGAGGGTGATGATATAATTGTTATAACATTTAACACTGTCTACAGTATATGTGGTTACAGTTACTGTACATGACTGTCTATTAAAAAAAATACTGCGAAAAGTGTGCGAGATGGAAAGTGCACGCGATGGACTCGAGGATTTCACTCGTGCGTCCCGCTAGCGTGGCCGGCGATTTTTCAGTGGTAGCGCTCATAAAACGGATGAAACAAAACTACACGAGGACAGAACTATATTTTTATATATTATAACAATAGGGTCGACTCCTAAGATTCCCTAAACTTACAAAAAAAGTCCGGTCAAGTGCAAGTCTGACTCGCGCAACAAGGCTTCCGTACAAAGTCATAAAGTTATAAAAAAAATCCTTTGTGAAAAAATATTTGTGCTATATGACCTTGTTTCTTACCAAATTTCATGATTTTAGATCAACGGGAAGTGCCCTATAGGTTTTGGTTCCCTTTGCGAAAATCAAAATATATGATATAATCGGAACATAAACTGATGTATCTTTTCATTACGTCGATTAAGAAGCTTGATTTTTTGACTTCTTGAGACCTGCAGACCTGAGTATACGCTATTTATTTCAACTTTATAACTCCACGCGTTCCTAAGAAAAAGGGTTTTGACTGACGGACTGACGACCGGACAACGAAGTGATCCTACAAGGGTTCCGTCTTTTCCTTTGGACGTACGGAACCCTAAAAATTACAATTTTATTTTGATAGTTTAGCAAAACTACTCTAGTATGGACTATCAAAACTTACATATAAAGCAGTTCTGACGCATTTCTACCATTTATTTTATACTATTCTTTAAAACATTAACTATAATATGAAAATGAAATTTTAATTATTTAAAAAAAAATTAATAACACTTCAAAATCGACTCCAGTATTGAAGAGAGAATTGATAATTTAAGATTTTATACTACAAATAACAGACTTTTAATTTTGCCAAAATTAATATGGAACCAACATAAAAGCAAATTATTCATATATCCATTTAAAAGAAATCAAAATCGGTTAACTCATATCACACTTGAATGATATATTTAAATTAAAACAAAACAAGTAAATTTTATTGTTAAAAGTTTCGTAAATACACATAAGTTAAACCGGTAGTTAAAACAATAAAAAAATAACTAAATAACAAAATTCTAAAAATAAACGCTTTGTATTAAAAGAGATTTATAATTGGAAAACAATTCGTGATCCGCGATTCAATACTTTAAAAAAATAACTTTTCTCCGTATTGCCTATTATTTAGGACTTTCCTATCAAGATAAGAACTCGTTAGCGTTAGAACATTGTGAGTCGGTCGGTTGCATTAGTTCCCCTGTCCGTAGATGCCGCAATGTGTAAATGCATCCTGCAATTTTATTTACATCGTCTAAGTGTCGCTTACACATTATATGTACAAATACCGTTTTATACCATAATATATATAAGAATATTATAATAATAACAATATGTAATATAAACTCCGTGCGGCCCCGGGGGTGTGTTTTAAAAGGGGCACTGCTTATTCATCTCTCGACCACTAAATAATATTACTATAAAAGATTTAAAAATCCTAAACTTCTGTACATATTACCTAAATTACTCTACACCTGTTTAATTTTTTTCGAAAATTTCTCCAAAAATATCTCTAAAATTTTTTTTTTATCCAAAACATAGAAAACATCAGGCAATGCAGCTTAACTTGCCCACGAAGAGGAAATAACCGTAAGTACCGTGCTGTAAAAGGCACGGTATACAGCGAATTAAAATCATAACAATTGAGTTTTCAAGTTTTAGGAATCTTAGAATTCTCTGTCACACGAGTGGGGTGTTGTGTGCATCCAACTACTCGGCAGTTTGCGTAGCCCGGTGCATCCGCGCCGCACGCGTTGTTTCCAAGGCGTTCATATAGCAGAAAAAAAATAAAGTGGCATACGGTGCATAGTGACAGTGGACAAAGATGAAATCCGCACAGCTATGCGTTCTCGTTGTGCTAATTGTGAGTATTCTATATTTTTTGCTGCACGATTAGACGGTGCTGGAAATCGGGTCGAGGAAATTACGATCAGTCTTAATTTTTTTAATAGTGAAAATTATTGTATTTAATTTTTTTGTTTGTTTTAATATTAACATCTATTTATTAATTTGTAACTAGATACTAAAATAGGTATTATTAAAAAAAAATGACAGTCGTATTCCAATAATTATTGTATTTAAATTCTAGAATATAAAAAAAAAAATTTTTAATTTTAATAAAATCATTTAATTTTTTATATATTCTATTGGAAACAAATAATTATTTTATATATTCTATTAGAAACTAATAAAAAAAAATCAAAGGACTTAAGACGTAAAACTTATCGATTGACAAAAAAATTATAAAAATCGGTTTAGACAATTCCAAACCTATTATCGTTAAGACATCGCATAACTAAACAGAGTTTAGCACCTCCTCCTTTCTGAATTATAGTAAATTAATTGGAAACCACCTTTGGGCTGTATACGTAGATTCACTATATTCTAACACAGCATGTACAGCAGTCAAGTTAGTTTTTAAAGCTCAAAATTTTTAGACATTTTCAGATATTTCTTTGGGGGATTTTTTTTTTATAAGAATATAAATTATATTGATTTCAATTATGTAATTAAAAAAAAATTAATAAGAGGTATTGTAACAATAAAGTTATTCACTTACTATAGTTTAATGCCCCATTGTAAATTTATAATAATAAATTTGTCCCCACGTACAATATTTTACGAGTGTATTCGTAATACATTTAATTTGCAACTATATCACATGAGACTGCATAATAACGATAGACAATGACCTCTGCTCCATGTATTGTGCACAACGAGAAATTCCCACGTAAATGGAGCGACAGTATCGTAATTAATACAATACTGTTGTTATTTAGCAATGAATTATCGTACTACAACTAGGTAATATGCTATGAGATGGATTACCATTACTGTTACTACTACTAAGTGAAGGTGGCACCCTCTGATGTCAAGTATTTTGGTCAATTTACACACGAAGACTTCTGACATGGTTTACCGAGTAATGACTTTGTGGAACAACATTCAGCTAGGTTTTAAATAATATTCTAATACAGTTTATAATATCTTATTTAAAAAGCTGTTTCTTGCCTGTTCTTCTCAGCTGAAATTACATTACGAACTGGGCGGTAAATTAAAAAAGTTACTATTCAAAAATGCTTATTATTAAGTTTACAAGAATAAAAATTATTTTTATTTATTTATTTATTATGTATTTAAAAGCATAGTGATTTAGTGTAGGACATGGTGTCATCCTACGCGATGTAGGACGACCCCCCACTAGATGGAGTGACGACCTGAAATGCATTGCAGGCAGTCAGTGGATTCAGGTGGTTCAGGACCGTTCTTTATGGTAATCTATAGGTGAGGCTTATGTCCAGCAGTGGACGGATAATGGCTGAAATGATGATGATGATAGTGATCTAATTCCCTACTAGCTGTTTCCTACGACTTTGACATGAAAGAGAATATAAAGTGTCCTGTATTAAATTAAGATATAACCTACCCGTGTTCCATATTTTTAAACGTAGGTGTATTTGATTAAAAAAACATACGAACTTCTAAAAATCTAAGCATCTTTATAAACACATTCATAATAAATGTCAAATGTCATAAATGTCATAATTAATAGTATTAATTATGACATTTAACTAATGTTAATAAATAATTAATTAATTATTTTAACTAAAAATAAATTAACTAATTATTATTAGAATCGATAATGTTTAACTAATTTAAAATAAAAATTAAATATTACATCCGTGTTAGTCTATTTATATGGTGATGTTTTAAGAAAGACGCTACTACCCATTTCTCTAGCATTAAATTCCCTTAGTCAATATATACATATTATAATATTATTTCTAATACACAAATACATATATTAATCATATATACAATTATTTCACATACAACAACGAGATAAGTAGATATGGAAAGACGAAATAAATAAACAATTTTTAGGATATAATCTACTCATATAAAATTGTTTATCCTGGCTATTAACGCACATCCAAAACTACTCAGTCTAGGCGGTTGAAATTTGGAATTTACGTTTATTTTGTAACATAGCAAAAAAATTATTTTTTAAAATTTTCATTCAAAAGGGAAACAACAGCATACGTGCAACGCTACGGGCAATAGACAGTTTACAGATATTTTTTTTTTTTTTTATAAAACTTAGAATGGCAAACAAGCTGACGGCCCACCTGATGGAAAGTGGTAACCGTCGCCTATAGACATGAGCAGTACCATGGACGTAACAGAGTATACTGTTTCGCCCATGATATCCCCCATGCGTTGCCATTCCTGAGGACTCAGGTGTTATTCCTCTGTACCCAGTAAATTCACGCCATATCCCACCCTTCAAACCGAAACACAGCCATGCATACACAACTGCTTCACGGTTGAAACACGAATGATATGTATGTAATATATATAAAAAAAGGAAAAACAGATCAATACAGTAGAAATTTAGGCAAACACCAATATTTGGCGAAGACACCTTGAAAATGTGATTATCGAATTCCATTCGAATAGTATTTAGAGCAATAAATATTACGATACGACGAATCTCCACGGCGGCTGAGCATGTAGGTCTAGATCAGCACTGATCTGATAAATAATCCATAACATTATCGCGTCGTAAGACAATGGAATTGGGCATTACCCAAGATCCGTTTTAACGATTAATGTAACAAAACATTTACATATCACTGCTAGACAAATCGCTGTACAATCAGAATCGAATTACCTATACAAATTATGGTCTAGTACTAATTAATAATAATTTGCCGAGGTCTCGATTTTTGTTTTGTTTTCTGCTTTCTTTCGAACTCGCAATAAAAATATTTGTCTTATTAAAAAAACACTTGTACTGTTCTACAAATTGTTATAATAAATATAATCATCTATTTTTTCTTTATTTTTTATTAACTAAAAATCTGTCGATTATACAAAACTGCTATTGTTGTATTTTAGTGTTACATGTAAAATAAGTAAATATAAGTGACAACAAAACGCAGAAAAATAAAATTTTAACAATAAAAAGCAACAAAACAATGTAACAATAATAAAAATATTTAACTTTAATCAAAACTTTTAAAAATATTGTTAGACTTCAAAATAGAATACACGATTTCCTTCACCTAACATAGTTTAACTACTTGTATCCCACAAGCAATAATAGATTTTGTACAAAACAAAAAAAAAGCACGTATTTCGATAATGGTAAAATTAGTTATTTTGATTTAAAAAACAAACTATTGAACCGATTTTAATGAAATTTGTATAAGACCAATCTGAAAGTAAGAAGTATATCCATTAAGATAAAAAAAAAAATTCATCATAATGCAAGACCTTGTTACCTCATAACTCATCATAAAAATAATATTCTACTAATAATCATTTATAAAAAAAAAAATGTTTCCTTTCATTAATAAACAATATATTATTATGTAAATTGTAACTGATAATAAATTATTAAACAGTCTTTTGTAAACTGTAGATATACAAGCTAAATGATTGGAAACTCGGCATCGTGGGGTGGACACGCAACTGTTTCAGGCACGCTAACAATATGGCCGCACTTTCCCGCGAACCGGCATTTTACTTTCAAACGCACATTAATCGTCCAGCGACATTTTTTGCTGAAAACATAATCAACTGCCGTGATTTAATTTATACAAATATGTAATGATATGCGTGTACACTTACTATTTGTGCAATTGTTACAGGTACAGAAAGAAGGAAATTGCCTTGATGCAGACAATGAATTCAAGCCGATGCCAATACCAGTCAACAACTGGCACTATGACTATAGAGAATCTCGACTCGGAACATCACACGACACCGTCGACACTAACCACAAAACTCCAGATTCAATCATACAGCCGCGGTATTGGGAAGACGCTTTGAGACACAGTGTCTATTTAACACTAGTAAGAGATAAAATTGATCAACTAATCGCTAAAGATTCCATTATATCTCCAAACAACAAACTAGAGCATCAAGTCTCGAAGGAAGAGGATGATCATAATTTATGGGATAAAATTAAGAATGCTCCATTCGATCGAGTAAAAGATGATGAGCATCCTACTTACGGCGATGTCACTACAATGGCTAAAGGAAGATTGGTAGAAGATGGGGAAGGTTTGCGATTCATTGAAGATGAAATTTCAATAAAAAAATGTGGCGAGGAATCGTGTATGAAAGGCGTTAAAGCGTTTTGGTCTGTGAAACGTGTCAGACAGAGAGACGATAACACTTCATCAGGAAAGTATCACTATGAGCTAACCTTCTCTGTATCTCAAATACCAAAAAAGCAACATAAGAAACCATATGAAAATCATATAAGAATATTCACGGTCCGTGAAAACCCACCCGATGTTATTGTAGGAAAACCTCATGATTATCGACATTACATACCAATGCATACTCATACACCGCGCCCAGAAAGATCTGTCTGGTTTCATAAGAATCTAGTACCAAATCAATATAACCAAGGCCGTCGATATCAGCATAGTCTAGATAGAATCTTTTCATCGTTATTCTCTGACGATGATACTCAAGCTGAGCCACATAAATACAAGCCTAGTCCATATATACCTCCTGTCTACGCACAAAATTCCAAATTAAGTTATGGTGGTACGTCAGTTGAACAATATCAACAAAAAAAACCAATGACTTATTCATACAAACCTCAATCATATAAATACGCCCGTCCTCCTCTCTCAGCTCCACCTTTATCCCATTTTAGTCCACAACAATATATGGATCATGAGACACGTTTAGGCAATTCATTTATATCTACCGATCCAAGATATGTTGCTCCAAGTAATATAATTAAAACAACTAGACCTGCTGTTTTACCAACTCCATCAGAACCAATTGTAATGACAACTACTAGAAACTACAGTCTTGACCTAAATGCCAAATATAACATAGCAGAAAATACAACGAAAGATCTGGAGCCTACGATTTATCATAAAGTATATAATAATAAATCCAAGCCAACGTCTGTTAAAATCAGCTATTTTTCAGATCACATAAGACCTCCAGTATTCAATGCACCGCCAGGAGTATTTGTAACTATGGATAAAAAACCTTTTAAGCCTATGCCACCAATGAAATTGCATTCTCCAAAACATGTCAAAACCAGACCTTTAGATTTTCGACCAAGCCCTCAACTCGATGATATGCAATACTCTAACCCAGATTCTATAGTTGAATCAGCATTTAGGCCGATTCTCGTAAATTTAACAAGTAATTCCAGCAATAAAAGTAAAGAAATCGATACTCCTAATAAAGGCCTCAAGTCCTCAACGAATAATATAAGAAAACCACCAAAAAAACACGAAACCATAAAATCTCAAAAACATACTACATCTGCTCCCGATATAATTACTGTTCATAATAATCCCATTGAGGATAGTGAATCCATAGAGTGGGCTAGCATTATAGGTGCATTCACAAGAACTACACCTATGGTATCCCAAACAGAAAAAGTAGAACCTATCGAGAATATTGAAACTACGACAGAAGTATATTCGCCTACTCCTGTTATGAGAAAGAGAATTACTACAACCTTAGTTCCAGATAATATAACTACAACGACACTTAAACCTAGAAAACGCACTCGTCCCCCACCAAAATTCTCAAAACCAGAAAAAAGTAAAAAGCATAAACGCATTACATCTACAACCAAAGCACCAGAGAAAATTCAGGTAAAAAAACCGTCTGACGATTTGACACCTCAAGCAAGCTCCGCTGCTACCAAACCGAATAAATCATGGAAACCAAAAATCAGCACACTATCTACTACTCCATTGATTATTACTACAGAATCTACAACTCGAACAACAACTTTCACAACAACAACAAAGCCAACAATTACCACTGCCATTAATTTTAATAATACAACATACATAGAACATACGCTTGGAACAACACAACCGAAGAATAAAAACCGTTTCAGACAATCTACATTAGTGCAAAAAGGAACATCCGTCAAACATGACAAATGGAGTACAAGTATAAAGCAGGATCAAAACAAGACCATAGTACCACCAAAATCGAAATACCCAAGAAGAAAGGGTTCAAATTTTCATGGATATGTAACGCCATCTAGTCATAATAACGTCGATACAGATCACAAAACCGAAGACCATACTGATCATATATACACTTCACACAAATTAGAATTAGACAGCTATACTGAAATTAACAATCGAAACACATTGGAGACAACATCATCACCTTCATATGAAAATACCGCAGATCAATACAATACCAATAGCGAATCACCAGCAGAATTTGATCAAGATGTCAAGTCAGAAGAAGTATCGAATACAAAAGATACAGGTGATCAAAGCGAATACATATTTGATGTAACATCCACATTAGCAAGTGAGACTAATGAAATAAACAATCCCGAAGAAATAATAGTAACTGAAAGGACAGTAATAGCATCCTCTCATTCTGTTTCTAAGAATAAAACTAAATGTAAAAAGAAGAAACACAACAACCTCGCAGTGACAGGTGAACTTAAAGAATCGTATATAAATCGACAAGAACCAACATCAACCGCAACTACAGTCACAAATACTGTGACTGAGGTCTTAGATGACTTATCAGAAAACTTTACATATGATGATGTAACGGAAAATATAAAAAATACGACGCCTTCTAAACCGATATTACGTGAAGAAGAAAGTAAGAAACATGAAGAATATCTTCCGATAGACGAAGATTTTGATGATTTCTTTAGTAACTTAGATAATAAGAGTAATCCTGATGATAAAAATGAAGAACAATACGATTATGAAGACAACGAAAATGATCCCCAAACAGATGACTTTTCGCCATTCGACAATGAAGACGAAGACGAATCCCCTAAAGAAGCTGATGACGATACTTACGATGACTATCCTGAACGGTCGCTTAGCTTTCTAGAATTAATGGCCATGGAATAGACTGAACAGAAATCTTAAAATATTACTAAAAAAAAGGAGAGCGAATTCTCTTTGTTTTAATAGTTTGAGTGAGAACGTTATAATCATTGAACAAATTTTGCTAACATTAATCAGCATTTCTATATGTGGAACGTAGCTGCAAAATAATGACTAATTTTATATAATACTATTTTGTTTCATACAGTACCGTAAAATATTGCTCTTGTTCATATAACAATATTAAAATATGATGTATTACTGCTTTTGAGAACTAAAATTATAGTGTAGATTTTAAGAAATTTACACCTCACATTTCTATCATTTAATACTGAAAGAATGACAACACTCACAATTATGCTTTACAAGCAATATATAAGGTGGAGAGGTACCTAGTCAGGCGAAGAACTAACTACACCAACTTATATATGGATATATAAATACTAATCTATAATTATGTCTTGATTATAATTTCTCAGATGTCTTTACTTGAAATTATACCAAACATTCAAACAGACAATAAGAAATGAAGTATTAAAACATATGCATCTAATAAATCATAGCAATAGCGAAAACAAAATAACAATCATATGAAGCATTTATTTTAAAACGCATAGCTAAAATGTAATGTCACAACAGACATGTAATGTCAGTACGAGTAAAATCAGTGTTACCTAAATGTAAATATTTTCAATATTTAGATAAGACTAGACTAAGTTAAAATATTTTTGTATGAATAAAACATATAAGTATAAAAATATTAAATTATTTTCTTACCTGCACCCTCCATAGAATATTTGTAAATTGGCTCTGGTTTCAATGGTACAAATGCTGAAAATGTCTCTGGAGTAATATCCTTGATTCTTTGGTGGTAGGACAACCTGTAAATAAGAATATTAATTTTATTTTTATCTAAAAGGAAATTCAAACATTTTTGTTCTCCTCTTATTTATTAACATTTTAAAATTTAATCATAAATAACAAACATTAAATTTTATTAGTTTTCAATAATTCTAAATTCTTATTACTACTATCATCTTTTGATATAGTGAACATAAATCACAGGCAATATTAGAATATACTATAGGAGAATTCAAGGTCAAAATCCTTAATACTTATAACATTTACAAAGTAATCCCAGGTAAATTTAGCATGCTTTAAGGAATTCAATGATCTAAGTATGTTATAAGCCAGGTAGAGGATTTTTCACAAATAAAAGGGTAAGTCATTTCACCATTGTTTGAATCTAGATAGTAAATAACAATATCATTATCTTCAATTGTGTCAAATTTATTTTAAACCTTGTCATAGATACAATCCACCTAATCATATTCTCCTACAACTCAGTTACTCTTAAATGTCTAAATGAAATTGAATGAAACTTGGTAAACTGATGGGTAGAATAATATTATATATATAACAGTTTTAAGGAACAAACCGTAAACATTTTCCGAGCACCTCTCTTATGAATCTTGGTTTGGGATGATCTAGGTCTAGTTGAGTGCATCCCTCCCAGTCTTCCCAGGACCAACGATATTGGAAGTTGCTCAAATGGTATGAAAACCAATTGACAAATCTAAAACAAAACAGAATACAGTAAGTGGAGTATAAATATTTTATTACACTTAACACAGAACAGTGAAGCACAATTTTCATAATGCCAAATTATGAAGTTCAAACATCTTTCAAAAATTGGAAGTATTAAAATAGATTTTAATTAAAAATTACTTACAAAATTTTATGCAGAAAAAGTTAAAATCAAGAACAATTATATCAATACACAGTTTGTTTTCAAATCATTTAAAAATATCTTAGACTAAGTATGTCATATTTTTAAACAAACAAATACTCATAGTGAGTTACCTAAACACCTTATAAGGTCCTTTAAGAAACTTTATATATTCTAGCTTGAGATTAAAACACTAGTATAAAAATTAGACTAGAACATAATGTAACATACCTGTCAAAACAAGCAACATTCATGGTATCAATTCTCAAGAATAGTATCTCTGTAGCCTGTGCCAAGACTTGCGGCATCGAGGATGGTTGAAGCTTACATAATTCAATTAAGATAGATCCATAGCAGATCTCTAAATACCTAGGCCTAGGTAAATTGAATAGCTCAGCAAAAATAACTTCCACTATACAATATTCAAGGGGAATCTTTGCTTTATATGGAAAACAAAGTAACTGAGCTGCACACTCTTTTCTTTCCAAATGGTATGCTTCTATAATATTGTGGAGGTGTTCCTCTATTAGAAATCTCTCGATGGAATGAGCTCCAGGAAGCACAGGGCCATCGGGACAATCTGTATAATCAAACATCCGGAATATGACACGAGGCATTGGGTAAGTGTCATTATCATTGTGTGGTGGTGGCTGAAACATACAAAATAAATATCCTGTTACATATAGCATAGCAACAATGAAAACTATAAGAAATATCTATCTTAGCATATGCAGCAATATCTGTTAAACTACTATATTAATGCCCTCCCAAATTATACCAGTATGATGCAAACCATTCATGTATTCAAAGCTCAAACAAAAAGACTTTACAATATAATTGTTGTTACTTATATATATAATACTTATTCTATGTTTATATATTATATATTTCAATTTATTCTTTGTTGCTAACTATATAGCTACTAATAGCTAATTTTTTTATATTATTATTTTTCACTATTTATGTTATGCTTTATATATAAACCCTATAGATACTTTCTCCTTTCAGGTTCTCAAGGTTGACTGGAAGAAAACCTTTTAAGAGATAAGTCCTCCTGTGCACATTTTTGTTATAACCTAATATCTATCTATATTAAAAGTGAATATAAAAAAGCATATACATAAATCTAACCTAGGTATTCAATTATAAAAGTAACAGGATTTATTCAAAAAGAGTTTGTATTTTAGTAGAAATAATAAATTTAAAATAAATAATTAATAAACTCCCTTCCCACATACAAGAGAGTCCCTCTATTACCTCTTTCAAGAAGAGGTTGAAATCACATTTTCTTTCCCTTGAGTAATTTTTTTTTTTGTATTTTTCTAATTGAACTGTCAAATCTTAAAATCATTAAACGAAATTTCTAATGTAAGTAGTATATTCACTTATTTTAACATTTATTATATAAGTAGGTAGGTATTATATGTATTTATAGTATATGTATTTATAGTATATGTATTTATGTAATATTTTATTATATATTTTAATATTTTATTTATCTGTATATTTGTTTATGTATTAATAGTTATAGCACTTCAGCTGCCCGCTAACGAAATGCTTTCTTACTGTACTGAGTTGACTGGAAGAGATCTCTGTCAGAGATAAGTCCATCCTTGCTCACAACATTTATAAATAGATTATTTTATATGTAACTTACAAGTGCAATAAAGAATATATATAAATTTGTTACATTTTGTAAAATAACATGTATATATATATAAAATAAAGCAATCTTAAAACAATAAGTTTAAAAGGCAAGTGCTGAAATTCTCACCTGTATAGATGGAAGTGTATGTTGTAGCGCTTCACACAGAATAGAATCAAATGCAAGATATGGTCTCGGTATATGTTTCTCTGACCAGTTATCCTGTCTTAATTTCTTTATTTGCGCCCAAAGGCAATCAAGGTACTCCTCTTGCAGGTGAGGTGTATCTGTTGACCATACCTTTAAAGCAGGCCAGTGCTTCTTACTCCTCTTATTAAGAAATACTTCGATAGTCACAAGTAAATGCTCCAGCTGAGATTCCTTTTTCTCATACAGTTCTCTGCCAACCCATGGTAAAGCAGAAAGTACAGCAAAAACAAACCAGTCCCTTCTTACTTGTGGTACACCATCTTCATTAGCACAGTCTACTAATGATTCTAACAAAGTTATCAATGATGAAGCAGCCAGTACATGGCAATTTACTAAATCAGATATAAACCTGAGGCAATATCTGGCCGCATTCCATTTTCCTGTCTTCAGGTTTTCTTTAAAAGTTTTCACAATATAATCTACAAATTCTCCACCAAAGTTGTAGTTCTTAGCATTAAGCAGACCAACTAGTGTTGCATATATGGTGCATTTTTCGGGCATACGGATAGCGCAATCGGTCAAAATACGTAATATCTTCACGCGAAAAGTGCTTAAATCAGCCTCCAATACACTCGCCAACCCTTCCAAATTACTTTCTAAACTGGAACTGCTCTTCTCACCAACTCGCAGAATAAGCGATTCAAGTCTATCTTCTATCTCTTGATTCTCAGATACACGTCGTCGCTTTCTGTGTAATCGCTCTAAAATTAGATAAACAAAATATTTTTATTTTATTACTTACTAATAAACTCCTCAAGCTAACCTCTAAACAAGTCGAAATTACCATAACCATCCTCCTCTTCATGTGCCCTTCTGCGATTCATTATTTTACGAAATACAGGAACAACGGACGGCTATAACTTTATAATGCTATTCGCATCAATTTACCACGAATAATAGAAAAAATATACAACTAAAACAAAATACCTACACAAGTAGGTAAGTAAACGCAATTTGACATCTCCTTTTAACCATTCAAACTCTTTCAATCATATTGCTGTCATTCGGTCACAAAGCGTCAATATCACATCTAATGACTATTTTTCTCACTTGTCATTCCCGGGATACTCTTAGTCGCTGACGATCACTCACTGTAATACCGGAGAAATACAATCTTTATAACATATATTTTTCAAATGCAAGAGTTTTTATTTGCAAATTATTATCTTAACAGATCATTTACATAAAATTTACCAAAGTAAACAGCACGTACTGTGCTCGCTTTAAGAACTTAAAAGACTCGAGGACCTTTTTTACTCTTTACAAATATATTATTTCAACAATTCAAGACACCTAAAACGAAAGAAATTGAATAATATAAAAAAAAATCATTACGATAGACATGGGCTGTATGAGCATAATCTTTGTCTTTTCCTTTGAGATAAACAGAAGCAAAACTGTCAATGTCATTGATATGCCATTATTTATTTATTATAGGTACTATAAATACTTTATAAATAAACATTACTTATATAAAAAATAATTATTTAAGTAATGAGTACAACTTTTTAAACCAAATAATTTTTATTTATCATGTCCTGTAATTATGCAGAGGGATTATCACCTTACGAACATAAAGGTATTTTGGGAATTCCAGAGGTTAGTGGTATTTTGCTTAATCTTCAATTATAGATTATTTTATTCCAAGCCACTCAAGTTTGATGATTTGCAGATACAACATATTCTTTTTCGTTTCAGAAATTTGAACCAATCGATAAATTTAATAAAAAATGTGAATTACTTGCTCAATTAATTAGTAAAAGCAAGCATGTGGTTGTCCACACAGGAGCTGGAATCAGTACTTCCGCTGGTATACCTGATTTTAGGTAGGTAATTATAAATTGTCCTTTAATATATACAGATAAAATCGAAATCATTAGCATCCTTTTAAGGAAGTGTTCTACTAATAAAACAAAAAAAATTCTATAAAAGTAGGTTGAGAAACAATAATGAATAGTTAAACAATAATTTTGGTAGCACACGGCAACACATAAAGGATATCATAGGCGACACAGTACATTCATGTTTATAGGCGATGGTTACTAATTTTCATCAGGTGAGCCATCATTTTATTAGTCATCCTAAGTTACATAAGAAACACTTATATAAATCCATAAGCTACCATTTATACCAATGAACAGATCTCAGTTATATCAACGAAGCCACAGATTAAAACAGTAGGTTTTACTTGTGGCTTTGTTATTATTATAAAGAATAGTAGCCTAAAATAAAAAGCACCTCAATCCATGGAAATTAGAGTTCCATTTTGCACTTACTAAATAAATTTATTGAAACTCACTTGAATAAGATATAAAGTTTTCATATTTAAGTAGCATATTAATTAAATGACCCATTTCTCACAGAGGTCCAAATGGTGTGTGGACTTTGGAAAAGGAGGGTAAAAGGCCCACTGTTAATATATCTTTTGCTGATGCCAAGCCCACCAAAACACACATGATTCTAAAGAAACTAGTGGAATGTAACAAGGTTCATTATATTGTGAGTCAGAATATTGATGGTTTGCATTTAAAATCTGGACTCCCTAGAAAATATTTGGCAGAACTTCATGGTAACATGTTTATTGATGAATGTAATGTCTGTAAAAGGTAAGAATTTTTGTACCCATTATTAAAAAATGTCTGTATACTGCAATTTTGTCCATATGAGTTAAAATAAAAAGTATCCTATATGTTAGTCTAAGGTATGATTTAACCATATACCAACTACTAGCTATATTAATGCATACTAACTGACATCAAAGATTAACAAATTTATAGTAAAAAATACTCAGTTTAAAATTAATACTTTAAATGTTTTTATTACATAAATTTCATTATTATTATATTTAACAGTGTTTATGTTTTTGAAGTGTGGTAATATAGCAGTCAATTAAGAGATAAAAATGTAAGTTCTATGAATTAGACTATGGCTCAACAACTAAATAATAAACTATATAATCACTATATAGTATATAATATTCACTATATAGTAACTTAATTCATCGCTTAGTTGTTAAAAAGTAATATATATGACATCATCACATAAATCTCTTGGTCCTTAAGCTAGAATTTTTCTTTCTTCTAGACAATTTGTTCGCAGTCGGCCTGTAGAGACAGTAGGTAAGAAATGCAGTGGGGTACCTTGTGCAGCCGAACATATCGGTGGGCGACCATGTCGCGGCCGACTATATGATGGTGTGTTAGACTGGGAGCATAGCTTACCAGAAAATGATCTGTTAATGGCGGAATGGCATTCAAGGTATGACATTTTTACTTCCAATGATATGTATATTGTGTTATACCTGACCTGACAGACAATTTTCTCCAAATTTCATTTTATTGTTTTCCTCAAACTTAATTCTCATCTCAGATATCAATAACTGTGATAATCTTTGGGGAAAAATAGGAATCAAAATAGATCTAAATACTCTAGATTTTGATATTTAATTTAAAAATCTCAAAAAGTCTGTAGTCATAATTAGAAAAATACTCTTATAAATATTATTATTTTAGCATTGCAGATTTAAGTATATGTTTAGGAACAACACTTCAAATAGTTCCAAGTGGAAATCTACCACTAGAAACTGTTAAATATGGAGGTCAGCTAGTTATTTGCAACTTACAACCCACGAAACATGTAAGTATCTTATTAATCATTGTGAAAATTTATAATCATGGCTCAAGACGCAAAAACTATTAAACTTTTTGTATTAAATTTCGTACATGGGTTGATTATATCTTAACTTAGTACATAGGATACTTTGGATACTAATTCAAGCAGACAAATCTGTAGGATACAGCTAGTATATATAAATATATAAGTATAAAGTTTGTAGCCACTTTTTTGTTAATAGAGTCAAGCAATTAACAATTAATTTAAAATGTTTATGCATAATTAATGCATATGCATTGATAATAAAATTAAAAAAATACACACATAATATATATGATATCATAGTTATATACAATGATTTTGTTTATTTTACAGGATAATAAATCAGATTTAGTTATAAATTATTATGTTGATGATATTTTGGAGAGAGTTATGAATCTATTAGACATTGACATACCAACATATAATGAAGCAGATAATTTAACTATACAAGCCGAATCTTGTGTCATAGACTGGACTTTAGTGAGAAAAGATGTGTTAGCTCTTGAAAAAATTTTCAAAGCAAAATGTAAAGGTGTGAAGAAGAAAAAGATTTTGATTAAAAATAAAAGGGACAGTTCAGATGTTGTTTCAAAGAATAATGTGGATAATATCGAAGTTAAATCTAAAGTAATAAAACTTGAAGTAACTAATGAAAATGTAGCTAATGGAAGTATGATTAATAGTGAAATAAAGACTGAGCTTTTAGATGATGACAGTGTTATTAAATCTGAACAAAGTACAGACAGTGATGTTATTCTGGTGTAAATATAGTTTATTATGGAAATCACTGAATTATTGAATTTTGTTTTCAACACAGATCTCAATAAAATTAACATTTTAAGTTTTCTTTTTATTTTATAAAAGTAAAAACATATTGTCAATTTGTAACAATTGTAAATAAGTATAGGTATGTATAAAATACAAATAATTCCAGTCATGAAAATAATAAATATGATATGGAATCTTCTAGTATACAGCTCACAATCAATAAGTAATCTCTAAAAACAACAGTACATTCCCAGTTCTTTGGCATTTTCTTTTCAAAAATAATTTTAACAATAAGGTATATTTAAAAAAAATATTTCCATATTTATCTATATATATTTCTATGTTTAGCCTATACTTTTTATCACAATTCCAATTTAATAATTAATATTTATACTACTATAAATATATTAGTACCATAAATAAATTGTTGAATATAGACATTAGCACATGGAGGTTTGTTGTTTTCTTTTATAAACAAACAAGGACTTTAGATAAAATAATGAGATCCATAATATAACGCCATATAATCAACAGTTATAAGTGGCCTCTAAAACTGGGTTATTGGTCGACATATAATGACAATTTAAAATCTATATTTAAATCTACGGTTACCACTTTCCACCAGGTGGTTGGTCAACTTGTTTGCTAGTTTAAGTAAAAATCTATTGAAAAAATAACTACAATTTCCAAATCATATAATAACAAAATCGATTAATTTAGTTTTGATAATTCCATGATAAAGCTATAATAGAATAATAACAGATTACCAGACAAATTACATTTATACAAAAAAAATAGCACACAGTTATGCACTTGGCTTAGGCCCGTGTACACCTGTAAAACCGGTTTTAAGCCGAGATATCCTAAATTTAAAATAAAAATAATAATAATAATTCCATGATAATATTATAAGTAGACAATATTTTACTGTTTAGCTATAACGCCATCTACCGCAAAGTAGTGGCTCATAATGTTAAAATTTTTCCATTCATTCATACTAGTTTTATTTAATATTATTAAATTTTAATTAATATTTTTAATTTATAATATAATATAAGCTTCAATAGGCTATAACGTATCAGTCCATTTACGGTAGTAAAATAAATAACAAAACATATTATCTAAAAGGAATGATTAATAAATGCTTATGGAATCCTTACAGAGTCGTAAAGAGCACCTTTTGCCGATCAACATATGAACCAAGTCGCTTGGTAGGCTATGAGTGAAACTAAAGGTAGGATTAAGTTATCAACTTGATCAGTTTTCGCTTCCACTAGGCCAGTTACCGTCGCCGCCACAACTGTACGGATTAAAGCGTTGTTCCCTTGCAACAGTTCTGAAAAAATGTAATATATTGTAATTCATTTTATAAAAAAAAATATAAATATCTTAAAAATAATTAGAACATACCAAAGAGTTCCAAAGCGTAAACTGTAGCCACTTGTGACAAAATATTAAAAGCTGTGCCTTCTAATGTTCTATTACTTCCTGAAAAGAAAACAAGTATATATTCTTACTTTTTTTGTACATATTTTATCTAGCTTAGATATTTCTTTAAAGGAAACATTTTGCAAGGGCATACAAAATAGAAAAAACATGTCACACATTTTGAAAACTTTCTTCGGTTAATTCATACACATAAAAAACTAAAATATTGAACAAGGTTTTCTTTATAACTTGCGGATTTGACTACGTAAATTAGAATAAAAATATGTGTACTCATTAAATTATAGTGTAGCTGGTCTTTGTTTATTTATTATGTTTATTTTTTAATTTCAATCCATCCAATAAGTAAGCGGCCAGCAAGTCAATGCTAAGCTAAGCATAAAATATCTCGTCTGCTAAGATCCATAAGTAAATACCACTATACTATGCACCATATTACAAAATATTACCTAGAACTTATCAAAACTTGTACTATAGGTTCTAGACAACTGATAGAAATACTTTTACTGATGTAAATACATAAGTATATAGAAAACACAGATCAATACAAACAGACATACTCACAAATACAAGATTTTTTACATAAAATCAAATTTTTTTTAATGTGTGACAATGCAATGGTGAGCCCAGCCCACCCGCGCTATCGATATACGCTGGCGGGACACCAGTGAGAGATAATAGGTGAGGATAAAAGCAGGTCAGATGGCTCATCGTGACTAATTCCATAAAAATTACCCAGGATTGTTTCCAACTGAGTGGAGGTCGATCTGATAACATATATGTTACCATTCCATTCTCACTCATTAAAAAAAACTACCAAGATCATTAAGGTTACAGTAAAGAGTGGGCGAGTGATCAATATAACAATACCTGTCCATTTGTTGAAGCCGTAATGCGAGCCGAACCAGCTGGCAGCGGTGTCGCCGACGCCGATGGCCAACACACCGCTCAGCAGCTCGAGCTCAACGCCCGCATGCTGTGGCACTAATAAAAGCGGGCACGCCAGCCCCGCGTACAAGTACAAGGGGGTCATGGCGAAGCTGCCACAGTCCTGTGTGTGTACAATGATAGGTTAAATTTGAAATCATGGGCTCCCGAGTTTGTTACTAGGTACAGTAGGTGTTTTTTGGGAGAATGATAATGAAATTCAGAAGAATACCGCTTTTTTGAGGATGCTGTAAATATATTAGGAAAAAAATCCAAAAACGACTAAAACTTTTGAGATTGTAACTTAAAAGTTGGACGCGCTGTGTTAGTAGGGGGAGGTACAAAACTCTTGTCCATTCCCTGTTTTTCTTAAGGAAAAACGTTCAGTAACATTGGCAAAACATCTCCTTCAAAAGGGATCGTTAGTAATTGGGTCTAACACGACCATTGTTAACAATATATATATCAAGTCGATTTCAATTGAATTCGTTACGATGGACTAACTGACCTGTTTTTATTCTCACCTATCATCTCTCACTATTGCCCTGCTAGTGTATACCGATAGCGCAAGCCATTCTATCGTCAGTCATTAAAAAAATATGTCTCCTTCGATATCGCCCGGTATACACGTACTATTTGGAACTTCTAAACGAGGAACTTGAATATAAAATATGGAAATACTAGCTTTTACCCGCGACTTGGTTCGCGTGACCGGGACACGTTCACTGACTGGAATAAAAAGTAGCCTTTGTGTTTCTCCGTCCTATACAATATCAAATTTCATTGTGATTGGTTTAGTTGTTAAAACGCCAAGAGGTAACAAACAAACTCACTTTCACATTTATAATATTAGTAAAGATTAGGAAATAATTTGTAAACTATTATTATTAAACTATATCTGCAACAACAAACCCACCTTTTCATCACTGTACACCAAGAAAGCCGATTGCAGAGCGGAAGATATTGGTTCAATCCTTGATTTTCTTAATGCCTGATAAAAACGAAAACATAAATAGCTAGGCAAATCTAATATAGAAAAATCTGGCTTATCTGTCTACAAAAAGAACTCAACAGACTTAAATTCGCTTAGCTTAATTCTTTTTGTTTGTAAATTGTAATATTATTAATAGTATCGTTATTTTTAAGCTCACACAAAAAGTTTTTATATCTTATTTATTTTACAATTTAAAAAATTAAAGAGTTGGTAACGTGCAGGGCTGATGTTTGCCAGTTCATGATTATTGCCCTTATCGTCCTATAATTCTATAAATTTCTAGCCTTACAGGAAAACCGTTACTCGGAGGGTTCAGTAGCTCTCCAGCTATGTACACCGCTCTACCCGCTGATATTGATGCCCCTTTCCACTTTGGGTTTATTGGAACAGAACTCTTGTAGAGCGAATCTCCCTGTGTACATTTGCTTTCCACTATCATATTTCTTTATTGCCGTGTAGGTCCCGGCATAGAATGGACCACCCCTTCCTTTCCCATAGGTGTCATAAGAGGCGACTAAGGGAGCATATGGTGGAGGGCAGCAATGTCCCTCTTAAAACATCTGTAAAAGCCTAACTGCAGTTGCTAATCCGCCTGTCAAGCGGACTGACAAAACTCCTCTTATGGTGAAGGCTTATGTTCAGCAGTGGACAGTTAACGGCTAAAATGAAATTACTTTATCTATTATTTACTTTTACACGTAATTACAAGGCAATATAGCTATATAGTATACTAAAAATAGATAATTTATTTAAATAAATAAATAAAAATAGTGATCTTACTTCAACCAGCACCAAGAGTCCGAGTCCAATGCCAGCAGCGAGTGTTATCAAGTTGACGTCAAGAAGTATCCCGGACATAAACACCAACGACGCCAGTATGTGAAAAGACTTGCGGGTCACCGTATTCGCTTTTACCGCCAACTTTGTCCGGGACAGCAGCACTAGCACTGCTATGATTACCAGAGATAACCAGAAACAGAATATTTGAACCTGAAATTTAAATTTACCCATTTGTTAGGTTTTTAGCTACTTTCGCGGTTTTTTTTTTTTTACTTAATGACTAACGAAATTTTTCTATAACTGAAACCTGCCAACTCATATTCACTTATCATACTTCACTGGTGCTCCGCCAGCGTCTGCCGGTAGCGCAGGCGGGGTTACCATTCCATTGTCATCCATTAAAAAAAGATTTTTATAAATTTAAGTATAGACTAGCTGCAAAATTTTGATATAAATATGGATCCTTGAAATCACTATTAGTTGTAACGACTGTAATACAAATAGTAAGTAACTAAAATTAAAAATAAAATACATACCCTATTTTCATGCATAAAGATATAATTCCAAAACTTCAGCATAAAACTGGCACCGAGAACAGAATGTAATATGATTAATGCAAATACAGCTCCTGCACCAAATATTTTCGCCAAATTTTGGATATTCCGTTGTTCATCAGTCAATAAATACAGCAACGTAATGATTATGCCCACCGTTGACAAGACTGTCTAAAACAAAAGAATATCTTGTAGGGATGTACCTGTGATGTATTATGCATGTGTGAGTAATGAAGTATATAAATCAATAAATACAATTTATAAGATTTTTACTCAGCAAATAATCGAAGATTACAATCGTAATTAAATTAAATAAAGGATCGATAGGGACTAAACCCTATCGCAATATAAATATTCATTAATATTTGGCGTTGATATCGCATAACATATACAAAAAAATACACTTATATAAGAACCTACTTTTTGAAGCCATCAATTATGATTTTCAGAAAAATAAATTTAATAATCAATAAATTTAATGAATTGCACTCCTATTAAAACATAATTAACATGCTTTTGCATGGCTGTGTTTCGGATTGAAGAGTGGGATATGGCAGTGAATTTACAGGGTACAGAAGACTAACAATAATAGTCCTCAGGAATGGCAATGCACGGGGGGTATTATGGGCAAAACAGTATACTCTATAATGTCCATGGTACTGCTCACTGTCTATAGGCGACGGTTACCACTTTCCATCAGGTGGGCCGTCAGCTTACTTGCCATTCTAAGTTGCATAAAAAAAAAATAAGCATTATCTTCGATAACCCCGTTAAAAACAAATTATAACAAATTAATATTAATACTTTAGATCAATGGATATCTTTAGAGTAGTGCTTTTAAGACATAGTTACTTATCTACTTCCATGAGTAATAACTATATATCCTATAATATATCCGTATTGCAACATTTTATCAGTTGATATACATAATGTATGACTCACATAGATAATAACATTAATGAAATCTGTTTCCTCGTTTGTGTCATCGAGATTACTAAATAGTTTTGCCAGGCCCATTAAACCAAACAGTACGATCCCCTGTATGACTATCATGGCCTCTCCTATAGTGAATGTTCGTGGACACCTGATCAGAGCCTGTCTTAGCATGTAACTGTACCAGCTCACCACCGGCACAGAGACAACCATTAGGGAGAAAATCAAGTCTGTGAAGGAAAGAAAATAATAATTAGTAAATATATAAAATTTTAACTTTTTTAGAGATGTTACACTTTTTTATCCGAATAGCCCCAGAGGTTTTTCTTAGGTCTACATTAGTGTTTTTTTAACTGTACGTTGCAATCTCCCTTGGGATCGTGAAGCCTTACTCAGGGGGTCATGGGTAAAACAAAAAAAGCAAATGATTCTAAATCCTACACTACAATATCAGTTAGAAAACTGAAAAACCTGTATATTTTTTAAAAAAGTGTCTGTTTAAGGTCTAGGGGTTACTAGAGTTTTTTAACTTGCAAACAGGTAGTGTTTTCAAAAATTTTATAAAACACTAACCTGTATAAATGGGTTAGTCTTTAAAAGTATGCCATCTCAAAATCTCTTCTAATCTTAAATGCTTGCTGCCGATTTAAATAAAATAAAAATAAGAATATTGAAACATAAAAAAATTGTTTCCTACTTTTTACAGCACCTCAATAATCTTTAAATTATTAATTTGTTTTTATTAAAAAGTATTTATTTCATCTTAAATTATAAGAGAAATATATCATGACAGAAGCATCATTATCATTTCAGCTATTTCCTATAAAACAATATACAAATAGATGTAGAGTATAAATCAATAATATTTTTCTGAATTAGGTATTATTTTGCAGATAAAAATTATAAATCAATTATACTATGAATAAAAAATAAAATAATCACCTTGTCCTAAGAATGAATAGAGAAATAATGCTGACACAAGACTTGAGGCTACACATCCTCCATAGGTTGATTCTTTTATTACCACTGATGATATAGAGATGAAGACTATGAATAGAATTGAATAGAATAAAAGACCATATGACATATAGGTCACAAGTTTATACAGTGGCGATACATTGTATAGCAGAATGTAAAATGTTAACACAACTGGCAGTAGAAAACAACACCACAGTCCATTTGTTTTCACAGGCCTGAAAAAAATATTAATTTTTTCACAATAAAAAAAACTTTACAGGTCATGTTGAATAAAACTAGTCAGATGTGTTTGGGTGTTTTTTAACAAGTGCGGTTTCTATCTAAATTCAGTGAACTTTTTTAGTTCAGAGTCACCAGATAGCATTTTATGAAATGCTTCCTTTATTTAAAATTCCTTTAAATATATCGACTTGTTGGGGAATCAAAGTAGAAAGCATGATTGAAAGAGTCGGTCGAAGCTGAGCAGGGATCATACTTGGAAATCACACATTTAACCTCTGACTATCCAAACAAGAGATTACAATTATGAGGATATTTTTATTAACAACTAAAAGACTGGTTACTGGAAACCCTTAGGAATATTTCCAATTGATACAAAATGCAGAAAATGTAATACTTTATTTTAAGGCCAATAGTCTATATTGGCTTTACTTGTCCGTATTACATTTACTAATTGATCATATAGAAATTTCATCAAATCAGGTTAGTAGTTTGGTTTTTAAATCACAATAACTTATTTTGCCACGATTAGAGTCGATGTTATTATGGAAAAAAATCTATTATTTAAATTATTATTTTACATTATTATAAAATTATTTTAACAATATTTACATACCTAGTTTCCACTCCTGCGGCATTTAAATTTCTTGTTATCTGATCGTCCAATAGCATAATAAAATTAATATATTTAGCTTCGATCTTTTGACTTGATGATATATATCTTTTGTTATATGATTGGTTACCTTCTGAATTTTTGTCCATTATTGTAAACAATTTCAAATTTAGCTTAATTTTAATCGTAATACTATTTTATTGTTGATATTAAATTACTTATACAAAAAAGGCAATAAATCTTATACTGTATTTAGATAATTACATAGTCAGTAAATTATAATAAGTACACAAATGTACAAAATCAGAAACACGTATTTATTTCTTGGACAAAACACACTCTACAACCAACCGCAAAAAACCTTTACACAAAATATAAAATGAAACTGATATTACCTATTTATATTTAATTAGGTACATATTAAAAATTTACAAAAATCTCGTTTCTCGAATGAATACCTGAATCTACTGTCATACACGACAGATTAATACATTTGACAGTGTCGTATACACGCAAAATAGGAAATTGAATGAACAAACGAAGCCTGTAAAGAAGAGAGAGTTATATTATTATGCTTTGTAGGGAAAGAGAAAGAATTTTTGATACAGCGACATGAAGCGGCTCACGTCAAAATACAACCCGCTGGAAAGTGTTGGACCAAATGTTTAAGAATCGAATGTAAATCGATTCCATATTTAAAAAAAAATCTATTTCTAAAATCTTATTTGAATAATCATTAATACAATAAAATAGATGATAAACAATAAGACGGTTATTAATAAAAATGATACTACTGATTGTATTGTATAATCAGTAGTCACAATACTAAATTCAGGGGGAAAGGGATTGTTAGCAATGGAGTTTGACAGCCCCATTGCTAGCAATATGCCCTATTAGGTCGACCTCCACATGGTCCCCCCTGGAAACCATCGTGAACAATTCTTGTTGAATTCGTCACGATGGGCCAACTGACCTGCTTCATCCTCACCTATTATTCTTCACTAGTGCTCCGCCAGCGTATCCCGATAGCGCAGGCGGGGTTACCATTCCATTATCACCCATTAAAAAAAAAACTAAATTCACAAGTAGCGGAATAATACGGTTGTTTATAAATAATTTACTATCTCGGCTAATACGTAAATCAACTATGAAGCTAACGGGATACGCTGACGGAGCACCAGTGAAAGGTGATAGATGAGAGTGAAAACAGGCCAGTTAGTCCATTAGGAATTAACCATGATAGTTTCCAGGGAGAACCGCGAGGAAGTCAACCTGGTTGGGTATATTGCTAGCAATGGGATTCTCAGTCTCCATTACTAACAATCCCTTTCCCCATAATTATTGGTTTGTGTTTATATTTTTAAACATATTGTTCAAATCGGCTATTCCATTTAATAGATATTACTAATTTAATAATTCACAGAAATAGAAAAAATTACGCTGTCGAGTTGTACATGTTATTTGTGCCTATTTTAGCAGTACGAAAGAGGGAAGTCTCCCCATCGTGTCGTCGCCGGAGGCACGCACTCTTAGACCCCGACGATCCAATGATATTGATAAATGCCCCTCCCCTCTGCCAGGGAACATTCATCAAGCACACAACCACATCATAAACACCGTTCCCACCAGCGGGGATGAAGACCCCCAACATACTGTTCATGCACGGTCAGGTATATACCTGAGTAATACACGGACTCATTCTTCCTCGATTCAAACCAACCCTCCGTTCCTCGATGGGGGTTGAAGTGCGGTGGCCTAAGTCAAGGCCCAAGCCACTTCAGCGCTCTTGGGCGTAAACCACAGTCGAGTAAGAGGTAAGAGTCGACACTTTGTCGCTCCCCTCTCATGGATTTGGAGTGCTATCTACACTTGCTCTAGCACACGCGCCTGGTGAAGCTGTAAAGCTCGATAAAAAAACGACTTGAACAAGTACTTAACTACTTGTACGGGTATTCCACTCCAGTACTTTTTCAATTCTTTTTTGGATCTTATTGTTAATGAAAATAATAAAAGAAGTTCAATCATTTATTTTGTTTGTAAAAATGTAAATAATACCCAGTCAGTCACTCACACGTTGAGGGAACATCTGTACAAAAATATAAAATAAAATGGTCTTCATTGCATTTCTCGTATGAAATAGAGATCTAATAGTTTATATATTATTATTGAAACTACAATTTGCAATTTTTTATTTTGCCCATAATTATGGTTAATTAATTAGAATTTCTTTGAAACTTTTTGGTAGGGAACCCTAGAGATTGATAAAAAATGATAGACAGCAATTACTTGAAAAATGTACTACAATATCTTGTATAAAAATTCTGTATATTGAGTCTTAGCAGGTAATCGATTTATCATCAATCTGACTCGACACTAGCACATTACTACAGTCATATGTTATTTTGTAATTTATTTGTATTAGAGGCGGAGATATCATTGGATTCGCTTCCGTAGTTGGTATTTTATCACTTTAAGTAACTTCTCATTTTTATATTGATTACAGACGACAAAGCTTGATCGGTTTCGATTATTGAGCTAATTTTGTAGGTATTTAGTGCATTTATCAAAAAAATGTTTCGCAACATTCATAAAGTCGTAAAACTACAAAAAGCTAAATTTTCTGTGGCGGCGCCGGCTCCACAAACGAATCCCGAGATACTTTATACAGGTGTAAGTGATATATTTTGTTTTTATAATTATAACACATTCTAATGTTTATAGTGTACTGTTGTATTTTATGTAATTGTTGCTTAATCGTGAATGGAACTTGTTTATAAAGGTGAATAACCTTTACGATAAATATTTTTTTTAATATATTCATGGCCATGGATAAAACTTCCTAAGTCGCACACATAAGTAATATTTACAGCACGAACTAAATAACATGGATATTAATTACTAACTATTACTAAACTTTATAAAATTTTATAATAGTAATAAGAGAAAATTATCTTAAATTTTAGTCCCTTTTAGTTTTTACAATAAAATTTAAAAATAAATTGCGAGCTAAACTTACATTCTGACTTCAGTACCTATATAAAATAAGCTGTAAAGAGGTTGTCTTGTTTTCTTTAGATAAAATTTAATTTAATACTGAATTTGATATTATAGGTATGAGATAAAATGATTCTTATACAAATGTATGTATTGAGTTTCTTATATGAAATAAACACAATAATAATTATTATTGGTCATATTGTTGGCTTTGTTTTTGGCCATAACTGTGTGTAAAATCTAAAATACAAAACTAAGTTCGTTTGACAAGATGTTGCTAATTTCTGCACTAATTAGAAACTTCATTCTATTTTTCCTATAATATTCACTTCTACTTTTATAACTGTGATCATTTAAATTTTTTTTTGTAGTTTACTACCTTTGGAGATAAATGATAATTGTTTTTACATTATTTATTTAAAACAGTTAATTTAGTATCAAAGGTGCTATTAAAATATATATAAAAAAATTAACATGTGTTTAATAAAAATATAATTTTAACCCTTTCACATAATATTCCACTTAAAGTATTTTTTTAATAGATGACAACGGAATAGTAAACCTTGCTCATACTAATGATATACCCCATGGGGCACGAGTGAGGTGATGATTGGTGAGAATGAAAAGATAGGTCAGTTAACCCATTGTGTTGACTACACTAGGAATTCAACATGGTCTCCAGGGGGACCATATGGGGTTCAACCTAATTGGGTATATTACTAGCAATAGGGCATATCAATCCCTGCCCCCCTACCCTTACTAAAAGTTGTAGGTAAATTTTATGAAAAACACAAGTTCTCAATTTTAGAATGTCTAATACCAATTCAAAAATTTCAGATTAGAAAAACTTGTATATACTAAGTAAATATATATATAGTATAATATTTATTGCAGCTCTTCATCAACAATGAATGGGTGAAGTCATCAGATGGCAGAACCTTTCCAACAGAGAATCCTGCTACTGGAGAGGTCATAACTGAGGTACAGCAGTCTGGCAAAGCTGATGTGGATAAAGCTGTCAAGGCTGCTAAAGAAGCCTTTAGGTATATTTTCTATTTTGCATTCTTATTTACCCTTTACTACAAATATGGCAGATAAGCTGTTAGCTAATAACACAGATTTGTTATTTTTATGATAGCAATATTTTCTCTCTCTCTCTCTCTCTCTCTTGTTACAATAAACATAAATCGTAAATAAATTACGTGCCCATGTTTTATTACTTAAAACCAACATAAGTTACTTACAAACCAAAATATCTTTTATCCCACAACCTATCCCCCTAAATAAGTATAGGTTATTAAACAGAGATGGTCGATTACTGTATCCTATGGACGCTTGCCACTTTAAGGCTATCATGTGCGTATTACTGACCCGACCTTGAAGAAATCATAATAAACCCTTTTTGAAGTCACTAGTTTGAAGTTTAGTTTTAGTTGTGGGAGAATAAATTCCTTGTCAAAAGCGAGCGACCTTTATTCTTAATAGATTCGCTGTTTCCCACGACCTTGACTTACGTGAATCAGTACATAAGGTATCCTATTTTTTAGGAAATTGTTCATGTGCCAAATTTAATTCAAATTTGTTCGACCATTTAAGCATAATCGAGTAACAAATACAAAAATATATAAACTTTCCAATGTATAATGTTAGGAGGATACGATTGTTATAGAAATTGAAATTAAATATTTAAAAATAATAAAAATGAAGAAAAAATAGGGTTAATTCCGTCAATTGCTAGCTCTTTTTATTTATACCACTGAGGTGATAAACAAGCCTACGACCCACCTGATGATAAGTGGTTATTGTAGTCTATGAACGCCTGCAATACCAGGGGCATTACGCGCGCGTTGCTTACCTTGAAGAAACTTCCTTTATCCCTTTTTTAAATTTTTGCCAAATTTAAGATAAATCGGTCCAACAATAGGTAAAGCCGTTGAATTCTATATGGGCAGTTTTAACATTTGTAAATAAAGGGCTTGTTGGCTTTTTGCACCCCTATTACAATATTATGTAATTTTTTTATGAACTGATTATAAACTGATTCTGATTTTAGTTAAAGTATTTTATTAAATGGGCATTTATTTTTTATAGGTTGGGATCGCCATGGAGAACAATGGATGCTTCACAGAGGGGCGTACTTATCAACAGATTAGCAGATCTGATTGAACGGGATAGAACATACTTAGCGGTATGTAAAAAATACATACATAGTATAATTTTTATATATAGCTGATTAATTTTCTTTCTATATAATTGTAATTACTGTTTTGTATTTACATTTACATTTAATAATTCTAAAATCAGTACACCTTTATTTTGTGAAACTGAATAACTTTTTGTTTTTACACATAAATATAAAAACTATCTAAATAGTTTTCGTCCTGTAAATATATTAGTTAAGGATTTGTCATAAAACAAACGAAGTATCAATCTTCAGTACCCTTACAGTGACATGGTTTATTTATTTTATGCCTACTTTAAGTATTATTTATATTCACAACACTTTAATATGTTTTTATTACACAATGAGGAAAATCATATTTATTACACTTTATAAGCAAGTTATTTTTAGTCTTCCATTGCATTTAAACTTATTAATATAGATATAATTACAATGAAGAGTTTTCATTCTTCATTTATAATTATGTATATAATATATTTACTATAAATAAAATATAAAAATATATACAATACTAGCTGATCCTGCAAACGTTGTTTTGCCATATACATTATTTCTAGAAAATAGGTTTTTGAGTTCAATCAAAAATAGCTAACACTATAAGTGTGTTAGGATTTACTTATAACAATAAGAGGAATGAAGCGTTGTAGGCAATTAAAGTATACTTTATTTAAGTTAATAAATTATTCAAAATAATAAATACATATTAAATTACAATTGTTGATAGCTATCTATACATCAATTATAGTTTTTTTTATATATATTTCTACTAATAATTATGGCAATTAAAAAACGATTCTCAGACCTACCGAACATGCACACAAAATTTCATGAAAATCGGTAAAGCCGTTTCGGAGGAGTTTGGTAACAAACACCGCGACACGAGAATTTTATATATTAGATTATGATAATAATTGTGATTATCAGCACTTAGTGGAACTTTCTATACATATTGAATTATTAGAAAAATATTTATGCTCTTCCACAAAAATAATGATGATATTAAATTGCGTAACATTTAATTTTTTAGGGTGGCATATTATGAGTATTTTATGAAACTTGAAATGGCAAACAAGCTGACGATTCTCTTGAGAGAGGTAATTATTGCCTGTAGATTTGGACAGCGCCATGCACATCACAGGTAATACTGCGTGGTGCCCCTATTTTAATGGATTATAATGAAGTAACCCCGACTACGCTATCGGTGTACACTGGTGGAGCACCAGTGAAGGATGATAAGTGAGAATGTAAACGCCGGTCAGTTAACCCATCGTGATGAATACACTTGGGATTCAGCATGATGGTTTCCAGGGGGGACCACGTGGAGGTCGCCCTGATAGGGTATATTGCTAGCAATGGGACTGGTAGTCTACATTACTAATAATCTCTTCCCTGCAGGACTAAGATGACAACCGTATCCTGAAATGTCACTGCCATATCCTATCTTTCAAACCAAATACAGCTGTTTCACGTCAGAAATATGACTGGGACAAAAGTATCCATACAGACAACTAGTTTTATAAACTTTTTGATTTTCACGATATAATAAAATTTCATTTTATTATTGCACAGAGTTTGGAAACCCTCGACAATGGCAAGCCTTACACAGCGGCATATCACGGGGACCTGGGAGGCGTGATAAAGAATCTCCGATATTACGCCGGATGGGCGGACAAAAATCACGGCAAAGTGGTACCCACTGACGGTAAATACTTCGCGTATACCCGCCACGAGCCAGTAGGTGAGTGCCAGAACTAGTCTTTTTTTTTTTTAATATTAAACATATTCATGGTAGTCCCTATAGACAAGTGGAATACGAATCTAATATTTTCTTTTCGGTTAGCGCTCGTATGAGAAAAAACAAGACAACGTAGGCCGTCATCTTATTCTATCTCATGGACTCACTAGCAATGACGATTCTATCAATAGATTCGTTTGCACAAAGATTTATTCCTTGTTCTTAGGTTTAACACTTGTCTATCGGGGGGAAAAGGGATTATTAGTAATGGAGACTAAGAATCCCATTGCTAGCAATATATCCAACCAGGTTGACCTTCTCGCGGTTCCCCCTGGAAACTATCATGATTAATTCCTGATGAATTCATCATGACGGGCTAACTGGCCTATTTTCATCCTCATCGATCACCCTTCATTGGTGCCCCGCCAGTGTATCCCATTAGCGCTGGCGGGGTTACTACTCCATTTTTATACAATAAAAAAAAAAAAAAACACTTGTCTATCGGGGCAGAATTTGACTGTGGAAGGTATATTACTCTTCGATATTAGTATTGTCGACTCTCTCATATATTGTACAGTAAAATTGACTTCAGCTCATTTATTCTATTTTCGACCGACTTTAAAGAAAGGAGGTGCTCAATTCGGTTGTATTCCTTTATGTTTACTTCATAACTTCGTCAGTTGTAAAGTGCTGAGGATATACTTTAAGATTGGACGCGTAGAAATTTTATCAAAATCGGTTCAGAAGTGTAGTCTTTAAATTCAAATAACTGGTTTTATAACAATTGAATTTTTTTTTTGTTTTCAATCTTAAATATTCAATTTTCCCAATTTCAAATACTTTTCGCTACCATACAATAATATGGAGACTTAAAAAATTGTTGTCAAATTCCCTTATTTATTTTTTTTATTTTGTTTTTTAAATTAGTAATATTATGTTACAAGATACAGCTAATGTATAAATAAGTACAAGTAAATTACTTATTAATTATATAATATAGATTAGGTATGCAATAAGGAAAAAAGACAAATTAATAGAACTATTGAGGACAGAAGGGGAAAAATGTTGGGACACATGATACGACACGACGAACTTATGAACATTATAATAGAAGGTAATATAGAAGGAAGGAGGGGGAGACCGAGATATAGTTTCGTGTCGTATCAAGAGGTGAAGAGACTCGCTGAAAATCGTAGTGAGTAGCAAGAGCTCCACCGACAAGAGCGCAGCTCTTAAATAGATAGATAGATAGATGCAGTAAACTATAAATTATAAACGATTACATTATAATGTATGTCGAGTGGTTAACTTGAATGGATCAAATAAGGTTATCAAGAACATACTAGTTATCAGTGTGTAAAAACTTACATTGTATTTAATGTACCTATAGAAATTGTGTAGAGATAATTGCGGTCCGTGTAATCGTGTGAGTAAATAGTAGATGTATGTACTACAGGTATATGAAAGATGATGTTGACACAGGTTTTCAACCGTGAAGCAGTTGTGTTTGCATGGCTGTGTTTCGGTTTGAAGGGTGAGATATGGCGTGAATTTACTGAGTACAGAGGAATAACACCTGAGTCCTCAGGAATGGCAACGTATGGGGGATATCATTGGCGAAACAGTATACTCTGTTATGTCCATGGACTGTTTATGTCTATTGGCGACGGTTACCACTTTCCATCAGGTGGGCCGTCAGCTTGTTTGCCATTCTAAGTTGTATAAAAAAAGTAGATGATGATGATAACAAATACATAAATATCTAATCACTTAGTCGTATCATACAATTTCATATGACAGAGGGTATTCTAATGGGATTAAAAGTAGGCGTGGGTAATATGGATACCAGGAGGGAAAAGGGATTGTTAGTATTGGAAACTGAGAATCCCATTGCTAGCAATATACCCAACCAGGTCGACCTCCTCGCGGTTTCCCCTGGAAACTGTCATGGTTAATTCCTGATGAATTCATCATGATGGGCTAAGTGGCCTGTTTTCATTCTCATCTATCACCCTTCACTGGTGCTCCGCCAGCGTATCCCGTTAGCGTAGGCGAGGTTACCATACCATTCTCACACATAAAAAAAATATGGATACCAATACGATATCTATATATTTGGGTTTCTTTAAACATTAATGGTAGAAAAAAAGGTTATCGCATATTTCAATATCGCTCATATCGATCGGATATCTATTGTCGAATATGTTAAAAGTCTGTTATCCAATATTGTTTTTATTGGTAACAGACTTTTAATATATAAGTTATTGAACCAGTCTATAGATTTTTTTTTAATGGGTGAAAATGGTATGGTCACCCCGCCTGCGCTAAGGGTATACGCTGGCGGAGCACCACTGAAGGGTGATAGATAAGAATGAAAACAGGCCAGTTAGCCCATCATGATGAATTCATCAGGAATTAACCATGATAGTTTCCAGGGGGAATCGCCAGGAGGTCGACCTGGTTGGGTATATTAGCAATATACCCAACCAGGTAATAGGATTCTCAGTCTCCATTACTAACAATCCCTTCCCCCCCCCCCCAGTTTATAGATTATGTAGCTAGAATATATAGATATTGCTATAGAATACCAGTTCTTAATATACTGTGATGTCCATTGTACTTTTTTTTAAATAGTTAATATGGATATTAACCCCACCTATGCCATCAGTATACGCTGGCGGGGCACGCATCAGTGATGACAAGTGAGCATGAAGCATTCAGAGCAATCAAGCAGTTAATATTCCTAAGGACTTGAGACTCAAAATCTTTAAACCCTAACAGACGACAACGCCAGGAGTACTGGTCAACATTAATTATTGCATTCATGAGTCGCAGTGTTCGCATCAGGCGAACCGTATGCTACACAACCACCCTTGTTGTATATAATGACGATTTAAGAAAATAGTAGGTATTGAGATAATAAATACATAGTTAAAATCAAGGTAGGAACGTACACGGTTCTATACAATGTTTACTTAGAAACGAATATAGTTTGTCCAAGTGCTACAGTACTAATGAAATATGTACATTTGTTATAATTATTTTTCATATAATTTCGCAATACTGTAATAATTATGCGTATGCAAACAATGTTTCTAAGTGTTTTCAATTTCATACTTAACATAACATTGGATATTTCCAGGCCACATGGCGTATCTCCGAGCATTGAATAACTATTGTTAAATAACTAATGTAATACAATTGATAAGGCATAGAATAAGTATTATCAAGTAACATATTTAAAACAAAAGATAAAGGCATTCTTATAAATACACCTCCATTTTCAATTTTCAAGGAGGTTTTAAATTTAATTGTATTTTTTTTTTGTTTGTTATCTCATAGATCTAAACTGGTTTGGAAAATTGTTTTATCTGAAAAGATATACTTACAGATTAGTCCAGTGTTTCCCAACCTTTTTTGTGTCATGCCCCACTTGAACATTTCTAAAATTTTTATGCGGGAGCATAACTTTAACTTAAACTTTGTCGGGAAAAATTATGTATGGGGATACATAATTTTTTCCGACATACTTTACTTGACGACTCTACTCGCCCAGTTGATATTTTGGTAACGTCAAACGAAATTTTACCTAATAAATATATACAGCATTTTTTTTTATTAATTTTTTTTTGTTAAATTCGGCACCGATATCTACTCCTAGCAATGCATGTAAATGGCCCGGAGCAAGGGGGGTAAAATCGATTCGAGTACATTTTTTAATTGTCCCACTCTGGGGCAAATAACTGGCTAAATAAATGGTTTTGTCACAATCGAAGTCGGTTTTTTTTAACTAATATTTACTTAGTATCTATAATTAAGGATTGGTTAAAAAAGTAGTAGGTAATAGTGATATTAAAATGGTTAAAGGTTGATATTACTGGTATCTGGATCTCATAAATAGCAGGCAATGATGATTTAAAATAATGAAACTCGCGTTTAGGTTTTTAATAAAATATAAACAAACATGCGGTGTATTCGTGAAGATAATGTGTGATAAACAACCGAAATAATTGTCGTATCATCATTAAGATAATATACATAAATGGCTACATTTATCTTATTACCTAATTTACTTATTAATATCAACGTATAGGTTTGTTGCGATGTTTCGATGTTTGTTACTTACAACTGAATGACTTTGAATAAGTTTTATGGTTAATTCTGAGAGATGGAGCTTATCTTACATTAACATAATGGATAATTTGTATGTTAATTCATGCAGGCAAATTCACGGTATACAAGCAGTTATTTATTGGTATTTTTAGCAATATAACAAGAAAAAAATAAAGCAAGCACTGAAGTCCGTCCTTCAAATACCTGCCTATGTTAGTCTTAACTGCCAGGGCTGTCACCACCCACCATTGTTATCATAATAATTATGAAAATTTTTAAAACATATTTGGATTTTTTTATTCTTTATTGTACACAAAAGGGAATTGTATCAGAAAAACAAATATAATAACATCTTTATATATTTTTTTAGATTTTCGGGTTTATCTATACTTAAATATACTTTAATTTTTAAATTTAACGGATTATGTTACGATTATTTAGAGACGTTATTACAACCCTGCGTCAACTCTAGCGAAATGAAACCGGTTTATCAACATTCTCGACTGATAGTCATGGCAATGAGTTTGGTGTACATAAAATTTTATAAATAGAATCGTAATAAAAACATTTAGAATTCAAACTAAATTACAAAGTATTAAGAATTCTATTACTATTTCAAATAAAATTTATTAATATATTTATATATAATCATATAAAAAAATAATGTAAGTTAGTAATATTTAAAAAAATCTTATTTCGATTTTCGAATGGAGCAAAATATATGTTCGATGTATGATAATAGGAACGCAAATGCCAACAACTGTACAAATAAGGAAATTTATATCAATTGTATAAATGAAAATGAGCGTGAAATCTTTAATCCGTATACTTACTGACATTATAAATGTGAAAAAGACTATATCCACTGTAATATATTAATGGTGCAGTATATAAAGTTTCCTATGTGCTATGTTAGGATATAACCTGCCCTTATACCAAATTAATTTTCAAATCCGTTTAGTAGTTTATGCGTGACAAACATCCATCCATCTGTCCTTACAAACTTTCGCTATTACAATATTAATAGGATAGTAATATTTGTCTACAGGTATATGTGGTCAAATCATCCCATGGAACTTCCCGTTGCTGATGGCTGCGTGGAAGCTGGGGCCGGCGCTGGCGACGGGCAACACCGTTGTGATGAAGCCGGCTGAGCAGACACCCCTCACCGCTCTGTACCTCGCGCAACTTGTCAAGGTACCATTGACCATTTCCTTGGCGCAATAGTAGGCACATTGCTAAATATTGCTTGGAGGGAGATGAATAGTAATGAGGTATATCAGCCCCATTGTCAGGGAGTGGGGAGAGATTGTAGGTAAGGTGAACTACCAGTCCCATTGCTAACAATATACCCTGTCAGGTCGACTTCCACGTGGTCCCCCCTAGGAATCATCGTGGTGTATTCCAGGTGTATTTGTCACAGAGGGCTAACTGACCTGCTTTCATCTTCACCTATCATCCCTCACTGGTGCCCGGCCAGCGTACACTGTTAGCGCAACCGGGGTTACCATTACATTATTATCTATTAAAAAAAAAGCAGCCCCATTGCTAGCAAGATATCCTAGCAGACGATCTTAATGCAATTCCACGTGGCAACCGTCGTGGTTAATTCTTTTGAAAATATCCCTAGGTAAACATAAGGCCGATTGTTCTGTAGCATGAATTTTTAATCATATGCATCATGCATTATGTACGAGTCTCTGTCTGCATTGTTTGATAATAGTTAATATACACCTGTTGTATTTTCGTAGGTATTGAAGAAATTTATTTAAATTATAGATAACAATTTTATGTATTTTATAGCGGGGCAATTTTATTCGAGTACTAGTAAAATTGTTCGTACAAACATATTTTACTACATGTTGTTTCCTACGGCTTCGTCAACGTGAATAAAGACAAAAAGTTACCAGTGCGCTAAGGGGGAAAGGGATTGTTAGTAATGGGGAGGTTAGTCCCTATTGCTGTCAATATGCCTTATGGAGGTCGACCTCCACGCGGTACCCTCTGGAAACCATCGTGACTAGTTTATCGTTAAATTCGTCACGATGGGCTAACTGACCTGCCTTTTCATTGGTGCCCCGCCAGTGTATACCGATAGCGCAGGCAGGGTTACTTAGGAGTCAGGGTTATTCTATTTTTATCCATAAAAAAATGTAAGTTACGATACCAAGTGTAGCATATTTCATTCAAATCTATTCAATAGTTTTTGTGTGAATTAATAACAAATGCAAATCCTTACAAACTTTCACATTTATTATATTAATAGGATATATTTTTCGAAGTCCGATTTTAAACATAGAAAAGTTATTAATTAGATTGTATTTTTCTTAATTGATATGTATTTATATGTTTTATACGAGAATCGAACCGGCGATTATTCTAAGATAAGGTGGTGTGTTAAACCGCTACACCAGAAGCGCCAAGTTTGTCAAATCTTAATAAATCGTTAAATTGTAATAAATGAGTAAATAAATATTTTTTGGCAGGAAGCTGGTTTCCCACCAGGTGTGGTTAACATGCTGCCAGGATACGGAGACGCCGGCGCTGCCATCGTCGAACATCCCGATGTGGATAAAATTGCCTTCACTGGTTCGTTACCTTTTAAAAAGTGTAAAGGTAGAGAAATGAAAGGCTATAGTTTTGTTGGTTGTAACTTGAAGAGATCGAACTAAAAGCCGATAAATCAAATATATAATGTTACAGTGGAGTTATTATCAGATAAATTGTATATTGTCTGAGAGAAGAGTCGAGGTTATGAGATGGGCTGTCAACTTCTTTGCCATTCTAAGCCATTATCATCTCCTTCCCTTATCCCGATTATTTGGGGCCAGCATAATGTTTTTATTCATGTTAGATAAGGTTTTTGTTATTGGTTTACCACCAGCCGCCTGCCTGGCGTCAACCCCCCGTGGTAGGGACTAAAAGGATTGTTAGTAATGAGGTATAACTGCCCCATCGCTAACAATATATTCTGTCAGACGATCTATACGCGATTCCCGCTGAAACCCATCGTATTTAAAAATTGTTGAATTCATCACGATTGGTCACTTTTATCACTACCTATCATCCTTTACTAGTAGTCCGCTTGTATATACCGACAACACAGGCGAGGTTTCGTTTTTGCACATTAAAAAAAAACTCCTTGGCAATACATTTGTTGGTGGTATCCGCCACCTACGGTATAGAGGAAAGGATCTTGGAAAAAGGAAGGGTACCCTTTTTTTTAATAGATGACAATGAAATGGTAAACCACGTCCGTACTAACGGTATACACCGGCGAGGCACCAGTGAGAGATGGGAAGTGAGAATGAAAAGACAGTTCAGTTAGCCCATCGTGATGAATACATCTAGAGTTCAGCACAATGGTTTCCAGGGGGATCACGTGGAGGTCGACCTGATAGGGTATATTACTAGCAATTAGGCCTTTACTCTAACAATCTAATTTATAATCTTAACAATTACTAAGAATCTTTTATTTCCGGAAGGGACGTTAAGTTATATTAAAGGAAGTTCTAAAATTCTTTGCCATTCTAAGTACCTGTCCTAAAACAAAGAACAAATATCATATAGGTTCAACGGAGGTGGGCAAGCTGATCCAGCGCGGCGTGGCGGACAGCTTGAAGCGCGTGACGCTGGAGCTGGGCGGCAAGTCGCCCAACATCGTCCTCGCCGACGTGGACCTCGAGCGTGCCGTCGAGGCTGCCCACCACGCGCTCTTCTACAACATGGGCCAGTGCTGCACCGCCGGTAACTTACTACCATTTTGGGTTTACTGGAAAAAAACTCTTAGATAGTTTTTTTTATGGATAAAAATGGAATGGCAGCTCCACCTGCGCTACCGGTATACGCTGGTGGAGCACCAGTGAAGGGTGATCGATGAAAATGAAAACAGGCCAGTTAGCCCATCATGATGAATCCATCAGGAATTAACCATGATAGTTTCCAGGGAGAACCGCGAGGAGATCGACATGGTTGGGTATATTGCTAGCAATGGGATTCTTAGTCTCCATTACTAACAATCCCATTCCCCCCACTCTTAGACAGTTAGGATTGCCTTTGTACATTCGTTTTCTACCACTGTTCTATCTATCTAGTTTTAACATGAGCAATAAAGTATATAAGTTGTGTGGTTCTGGTAATAGATTGGTCTACCCCTTCCTTTCTCGTGGGTGTCGTTAGAGGCGATTAAAGGAACTTAATGATCAAGGAATGGATAGCAGCGTCTCTCTTAAAACATCTCCAAAGTCTAACTGCGGTTGCCAACTCGGCTGTCAAGCGTGGTAACTACTGGTAACCAAAGAAGAGATTATGTTCAGCAGTGGACAATTAAAGACTGATATGAATAAAGTATATAAACTTACTATTTAAACAGTATTAATAAATAACAAAGTTCTCAAGTAATACATAAAAAAATAACCTAAAAATTGAGAAGGTTCTCCTATTTTGAAGTCAGGTGAATAGTAAAAGGGTAATGTTTTATATACAACTTATAATGGCAAACAAGCTGACGGCCCACCTGATGGAAAGTGGTAACTGTCGCCTATAGACATGAGCAGTACCATGGACATAACAAAGTATACTGTTTCGCTCATGATACCCCCCATGCGTTGCCATTCCTGAGGACTCAGGTGTTATTCCTCTGTATCCTGTAAATTCACGCCATATCCCACCCTTCAAACTGAAACACAGCCATGCAAACACAACTGTTTCACGGTAGAAACATGAATGGGACAGAGGTACCCAAGCAATCGACTTTTGTACAAAGTCTCCCTCTTGGAGGCTATGGCGCTACTAGTTCCGACTAGTAACAACAATAATTCCTGATGCCCTGAAGCCTTACAATCAGCAGGGCAGGGAGGAGGAAGTGTTAATAATATGGATTACCAATCACATTGCTAACAATATATCCTATCAGGTCGACCTCCACGTGGTCTCCATGGAACCCGTCGTGGTGAATTCCAGTTGTATTCGTTACGATGGGCTAATTGACTTTTTATATTACCTATCACCCCTCACTGGTGCGCCGCCAACGTATACTGTTAGTGCAGGCGAAGCTATCGTTCCATTGCAATGTATTAAAAAAAATTCAGCAAGGCATAAAAAAATATTTAAATGAATAAGTGTAAATTATCGTTGCCTTTTTTTTTATACAACTTAGAATGGCAAACAAACTGACAGCCCACCTGATGGAAAGTGGTAACCGTCGCCTATAGACATGAGCAGTACCATAGACATAACAGAGCATACTGTTTCGCCCATGATACTCCCCATGCGTTACCATTCCTGAGGACTCAGGTGTTATTTCTTTGCAACGCAGGTTCGCGTACATTTGTTGAAGATAAGATCTACGACAAATTCGTGGAGTTGGCAGCGGAGCGAGCAAAGCGCCGCGTGGTCGGCGACCCGTTCAGGCCCGACGTCGAGTCCGGGCCGCAGGTACATGCCGCTTCTATTTACATCACTCAGTGTTCGGTTCCCCCCGGAAACTATCCTGGTTAATTCAAGTGGAATTCGTCATGATAGGCTAACTGAATTGCTTTCATTGTTAGCTATTATCGCTTACTGGTGTCTTACCAGCGTATACCGCTAGCGCAGGTGGAGTTACTATGTTTAGAACTATAAAAAATTTTCATCGTGCCTCCCACCAAATTGTTTATAATTACTCCTCTCCATCCAAAGGTTGCCTGGAAGAGATCGCTCTTAGCGATAAGGTCGCCCGTTGTTTTCTCATTGTGATTATTTCTTGTAATTATTTATATTTATAATAAGTTTACTATTGTAATCTTTTGGAGGGAACAATAAAGAGTATCTATCTATGTCATTATTACCTATAAAAAATGACAATGATAATAGTTTGTGAAAATGAACATAAATTATAATTTGTACAAAGAAGAATGATTATTAATTAACTTGTACAAAGAATTCATGTAGTTCTCTGTGGATATCACTAGTAATAATTTTGTACGGCTGAAGTAACAATATACGAACAGGGCAGGACAGCATTTGAATTACTTGTAATAAAATACATATACATATTTGGTATTTGTATTTAAATTACTTCCTAAAAATGTAATTAGTAATTCAAATACCAGGTGCTCAGGTATTTTGTAGTTAGTATTTCAAATAATTGTGGCTTTAAAATATATTTTAACGCTTCGCTTTAACTGATATAAATGGATGCGTTCTGTAGAAAATAACGTTCGATATTTTTCGTAATAAAACATCATATTCGTGAAAGGAAATTTTTTTTACTGATTAATATACTGAGCTGGATTACTTCAATTCTATTTACATTATCTAATACCTAAGTTTTGTACTTTGTATTTTAAATAAGAATAATTAAAATACTTATTTTTTATACAACTTAGAATGGCAAACAAGCTGACGGTCCACCTGATGAAAAGTGGTAACCGTCGCTTATAGACATGAGCAGTACCATGGACATAACAGTACACACACATACTGTTTCGCCCATGATACCCCTCATGCGTTGCCATTCCTGAGGACTCAAATGTTATTCCTCTGTACCCTGTAAATTCACGCCATATCCCACCCTTCAAACCGAAACACAACCATGCAGACACAACTGCTTCACGGTAGAAACACGAATGGGACAGAGGTACCCATGCAATCGACTTTTGTACAAAGTCTCCCTCTGGTGGTATACTGTATTTTGTATTTCAAATATATGACTTGAAAATATTTTGCTTTTCGTATTTTCATCCGACTTCAAAAAGGAGGTTCTCAATTGGGTTATTTTTTTTGTTAGTCACCTCATAACTCTGTTAGTTATAAACCGATTTGTAAAATTCCTTTTTTTTTCTAAAAGGATATACTTACAGTTTGGTACCATAGATATTTTATATAAATTGATTCAGCAGTTTAATTTTGAAATCAAGATAATTGGTGTTGTCACAATTCAAGTCGATTTTTTTTGGAAGCCAATCTTTAATATAAAAATTACACGAGATCGTATTTTGTAATTTTTATTTCAATTAACGCCGAGCATGTATTTTGCCCAGCTGTGTTTACTTATAAAACTTATTAACATTTAACTTATAATTTGAATGGAACTTCAGTTCTAAATTTGAATATAAATAACTAATTCACCGTAATTCTACCGCAGATTAGACATAGTCCATCGCATGGCAACTATATAAACATAACAAAATCTTTAGAATTAGGTCTTACCCCCTTGTTCGCATAGACAACAAATGGCTTATAAACCTATTTTAGTTATTGAAATGTGTTGTTTTTTGGTTCTAATATTTAGAAGTTTTTATTATGGTCATAGTACAATATGGCGGAAATTCTGTCAAATTTTTTTCATTGCATTGTGTAATTATTCATGTAATTTTTAATCCTCCAGATCGACAGAGAGCAGCACGGCAAGATTCTAAGTTTGATCGAAAGTGGACGTCGCCAGGGAGCGCGGCTAGTGGCGGGCGGAGGTCGTGCCGGCGACAAGGGATACTTCGTGCAGCCGACTGTGTTTAGCGATGTACAAGATGACATGGATATTGCTAGGACCGAGGTGATTATAATAATTGTCTTGTTTAAAGAATCATCTATAAATTTACATAAATTGTAATAAAATCAATATGAGAGTAAATTCTATCGATTTAGTTTTTACTCAACGAAGATGCTAAATAAATATGTGCCGCATCCATGTGATGGTAAACGATCACTATATAATAGCCTATGTTGCCGATCCTGAAGGAACTTTAGTACGTCTTGAGACGAGGAAGACTGAGATGCTGAGACTTTTTCCTATTACTAAATTCCTTTTTAAATTTTTAAAGCATATTCCTTTTTAAAAGACTGGCAACACCTGCAATGACTTTAGTATTCTGGGTGATCATGGGCGACGGTAGTCACTTACTATCAGGTGAGCCGCATGCTCGTTTGCCCCGTGTTGTAAAAAAAATCTAGTTACCCACATAGTTAATATCCCCAATAATAACACTATAATAACCCAATAACATGTGAACGCAGATCTTCGGGCCGGTGCAGCAGATCATCAAGTTCTCGAGCCTGGAGGAGGTGGTGGAGCGCGCCAACAACACGGTGTACGGGCTCGCGGCCGCCGTGTTCACTAAGGACTTGGACAAAGCCAATTATCTGATACAGGTATAATTGCACATATTTCATTAATCCCATTTACAGGAATAGAAATATAGAGACAGAGTAAAACTATAATACATTTGTATATTTTTTTTTATCTACCCACGTCATATGTGTTGAATTACGTTCAGTGTAATTTACCAGCGAGATATATATACAAAGTTATGTCATAAATATCTTTTTATTATATTTTAATGGATAGGATATAGTAGAGAAGTTACCCATAAAATCTTCATATTACATATATTAACAATTTGCGAATCTGTGGTGTGGTAAACACCCACGTTTTATAATAGATTTCGAAGCTCGCTTATCAAATTTTACACAAAATTGTGTAAAAAAAAAAACGTTAATATCCGAGAAAATATTTGGAGTATGGCGTCGTCAAACTATCTAAAAGTTGTGTATTCACGAAAAATCCATTTCACAGTCCATCCGCGCGGGCACAATATGGGTGAACGACTACAATATATTCGGCAACCAAGTACCATTCGGCGGATTCAAGCAGTCGGGCATCGGCCGCGAGAATAGCGAGTACGGTCTGCGGAACTACACTGAGGTGAAGGCGGTCGTCGTCAAGCTAACGGAGAAGAACTCATAAATGTTTTATTTAGACTGGCAATTAAAATGGTCCAATGACAATTATTTTACTGAACTGTAATATTTCAAAAGGACATACATGGAACTCCAACATAAGGGGGTTACCCCTTTATGTTGAGGTTCTATGTATATCAATATTTTGTTGACATTTAATCTTAAATATATCTTATTATATTGAAAATAAGTATATTTTGAATATTTAATTCCAAGATTGTATTTTTGTAAAATGCATTTTATAAATTGTGTCATATTTTTTAAAAGGTCACATTATATATTTTATTATTTTACTAACTTAATACTTGAATCTGATTCATAATATATTATAGAAAAAAAAATGTGAAACTTCGCTCACATCAATACTTAAGATCTATAAATGGATATTAATAATGTACTTAACATATATTGTCTATTAATACTTTTATAAATTGTAGCAACTTAGTTGCGAATGTGCGATAAGTAATGTGCGATGGTTTTAAGCATAATAACTAAATTTGTTTTTAGAAATTTGTAATATTAATCCTCTTTTGGACTAAATTAGCATGATCAGTGCTCTCATTCTGATTTAGAATTTACGCAATGTAATCTGGCTAGATTTTATTTACAGCAATAATTTTCTCTTATATATTTTTTCTTACGTTTAATTAAAAAAAAAATGGAATTATACTTTTAGTTAAGGAGCTGACGTCTTAAATATTTTTAACATGTTTAAAAGTTGTTATACAAGTTTAAAATAAAATCTATTTAGATTATCCCATTTTTGTTTGAATAGTTTCCTTTGTATTGCACTCGGAATGTTTTTTAATTATTAATAATTCTTTCATTTAAAAATGTCTTCCATTATATTAGAATTAAAAGTATTTTTCTTGCATTTAAACTTCTATACTACTGAACTCAATACTTTGTGCCATTTGTTTTACACTTTGGTGTAACATTAGAAATGCTATTAATATTTTATAAGAGAATATGTATATATTTTTTTAATAAAACACAATTGTTAAGTACAAAGTTTTATTTCAACGATTAAGTACTTCTAAATCAACTATAAAACTAAACAATAGATACATCTAGTTCTTTTTAAATGGATACTTTCAAAATTAACGTGATATAACATTTAAATACATACTTTGGAAGGTAGTAAAATGGATACCAAGAATAAGATCACTAAATAACCTTTGGTTTGTGATATTATAAAAAAAAAATTGTAGACAAAGTAAAAACAGACTCTTTTAATTAACGTGAGAATATATTCTAAAAGATAAAATAGTGTGAATAAAATTAACAAACCTTCAAAAGGTGTAGACTATTCTATAAATCACAACAGTGGAATGTACCGTGCCACTTAATCTAATAATCACATAGCCTTTGCGTAAATCTAAAATTCTAAAAAAAAAACTATATAGTAAGCTAAAATAATACAAGAAAACCTAATAACATTTATCTTTGGGTTTCCTAAATGCTGAGTGTAAGGACGGAATAAATAGCAATTATGGTAAACTGGAGCAGATTATGAAATGTTATTCTTGGAAACCATCTCTAAAATTAATTTACTTTAGAGATAGATAAATAACATTTCACAGTATAGTGGGGGCCAATATTGAAATAATCATTTACGTTTGCTAATTTTAGATATTAACATTCTAAAACCTACCACGCTCTATTATTTAAGATATCCCATAAGATCTATCGTCAAAATATGGTATTATTTAAATCGACAAATGACGCGCACTGCGCTAGACCTATATTTCGTCTCTTTCTCTTGTAGATATCGATTTTTAATATGAAAGTTAATAATTGTATTGCACAATTAGGCAGGCACACAGTATTTTGTATTATGCAGTAATCAATTATATAATTTTTCCGTTAATTGAAATTTAAATTAACGGAAAAACAATATAAATATGAGTGGCGTATTATGGATTATTACTTTGTACTTGTCATAATAAATCTAATCGATTAGATCCCATGACTGATGACACATCAGCAATCAAATAACAAAAAAATATATACCAACTCAGTGGTATCGCTCTCAGTAATTGATATATAAACAAGATCAAGACTTATTGTACTAATTATGACTGATCAAATGTTTGTTAAATCTCTTAAAATAGGACATTAACAATATTCTTCTGAATGAGGTTACGATATTAGAAAAATATTAGTGTAAAAATTTTAACTGACAATATGCCATTTTGTTTAACGTCAAGAATCAATCTCTATCCGTCATTTCTTCGTTTAAAACTGATAAGTTTTCCTCGGAGATCTTCTCCAAACAACCACACGTAAGGGAAGATAACGTCCCATTGGCCATGTCCTCTTCTATCTTCCTTTCTAGCAGCTCGAAATCGTCATTTTCCGCCTGACATTTGAGGCATTCCTCCGAAGACGAGTCTTGGTAACACATAACGTTCTCTATATTGACTTCTACCTCATCGTTATTGTCATCTTTTATTAGCAGAGATGGACTGCTGTTACTCATAATTCGCGATTCTTTGTTAAGGTTTTGTACAAAAATCTCTGACTTAGGTCGTATTTTAACACTATCTACATTTCTTGTTTTTACCTTTTTAGCTGTGACAGGGGTCTGTGATCTTTTCTCTTTAGGAAATATGCGTTGTATCCTTTCTTCGATCAGCGATATGCTCCGTTTGAAGACTACAGTGTCCTGGGGGCCCACACCACAGCCGTCTATGGCGTCCCGAGATTCAGTATCCGAGTTGTCACACCTGAAATAGATTGTGTCACAGCCGTTCTCCTGCTTTACCTTGATCAGGCAGCACTCGTCTTCTTTCTCGCAGAGTATTTCGTGCAACGAACCGTGTAGAGGTATCAATTTCACTTTGCCGCCGAAATTCTCCTGCATTTGCGTCGAAAAATCGTCATCTATGTATAAATCTTCAGTGCTTCTAGCTTCCTGAAATATTTAAAACAATATTTATAATCTTCATCTCATATTATTATATAATAAGGGAAAGACAAGAGATTGCTTGGGTACCTCTATCCCTCCATGTTTCAATCGTAAAGCAGTTGTGTTTGCATGGCTGTGTTTCGGTTTGAAGGGTGGGATATAGCGTGAATTTACAGGGTACAGAGGAATAACATTGAGTCCTCAGGAACGGTAACGCATGAGGGGTATCATGGGCGAAACAGTATACTCTGTTATGTCCATGATACTGCTCCTGGCTATAGGCGACGGTTACCACTTTACATCCGGTGGGCCGTCAGCTTGTTTACCATTCTAAGTTGTATAAAAAAAAAATTAATTCATCAAACATGCATTATAAGTCTATATTATTTTGTATGCAGTCATAAATATTTTTATTTATTTATGTTTAACAAAATACAAAAAAATAATATTGATTAAACCGTACGAAATGAGTACAAAGGTGAAATATACATTCTCCGATTATAAGTACCTATCTGTATGCATAAAACTAACAGATAATTTGAAGGATAGCGAAAACATTGCATTACTATAAGACAAACAAACAATACATATATGGCACTTCTAGCATTCCAGGTATTGAGGTTACACAGACGGCGTAAGCCGTGACCATCGCCTGGGTCACTGTTCAAAACTAAAGGGGCCAGGCGCAGCGCGGGGTGTTTTTTAGCCAAAGAACCACAGAATTATTTTTTAAAACCTTTTTTCGCGTTACCAGAGTCTCTCGCGTATAATACGCAAGACTCTTTAGTGACGCAAATTATGACTTTCTTCCACAAAATACTGACTTTAATCGTAACAAAACTAGTTATATTAATTTAATAACTACTGAACCAATTTTCTATGGGACCAATCTGGAAGCATATCCTTTCAAATAATAAACCAAATCGGCTAATTAATGACGAAGTTACAAACATAAAAAAAACAATCGAAATTGGGATTTTTTTTAAATCGATGTATCATAATTAAAATGTATCTTGCCTATATCCAATTCAGAGCTTTTGTGCAGGATGTATTTCGCCCAATGAATGTCCTGCCCCGCCACTGTAAGAATATGCCTACTTTTATTTTTTACGATATAACAATTACCTGAATAGCATTGAAAGCCTGGCATCTCTTCAGCGAATTCACATGATAGTCGTCGCCGATCAGCGTGTCCTCCATAGACTCGTTCAACTTTTTCCCGTTGTTTGTATCACATATAGTTACGTTCACACAATTGTCCAGCACTTGCAGACTGTTTTCACCGCAACGGCTGAACGTTATCTGCAAGAGCGGTTTATTGTTCCCGTTTATTTTCACTCTCGAAAATGACTTGATAGTTTCTTTCTTTGCCGTTTGTTCCGAATCATCGCCATTCTTCAAATTCTCCATTATGTTAGCGACGCCCTTGTTGAGTGCATCCTCTTTGGGGAGCGTGGACGAACTGGTGTTGTCGTCCGACATCTCTTGCAGTAAATGTTGGAACTCCTTACGTATTAGGTCTCTGATGAACTCCTCTATGCTGTTCGTCTCAGTTGCTTGATCTGTCATTCCCATTTTTATACCATTATCACTTTTGTTATCCTCTTCGATTATTGTGCTACGAAATAAAATAGATAAATAATTGAACATTTCTTACGGCGGCAATGACCATGTGAATCGGTATATGAAGTATCCTTTAAGTTAGGATGTAATCTACTTGTGTACTTACCTAATTTTATTCAAATCTATTCAGCCATTTAAGCGTGGTTAAGTAATAAATAACCACAAATGTTTACAAAATTTCACACTAATAATATTAGTAGGATTATATTTGATGCGTTTGAACGCCAATCAGGTCTTTGGCCTCCAAACATTTGATTATGAGGTAACAAATACAAAGAGAAACTCTTTGTTTTTAAAGTTGGTTGACATAAAATATGAAGGTAGCGTTTATACTATACCATTTGTCCACATCCTTTTTCCACGTGAAGAATCGTTCGGTGTCTCGAGTGGGGAAATTAATATTCTTCGCTATAATATCTCGTGTCTGGCAGAATTGTTCCCAGTGGCCACCTGAATTGACATCATGAGATATAAGTACAGTGACACTAAAATAACAATACATAATAATGGATTAGTGTTAAGGGTAAAAGGGATTGCTAGTCATCGTTAATAAATTGTAATACAAGATTTAAATCTTATTTTAATATTCTACTAAAAACTTTTTATATATTACTCAGATAGAAGAAGTTTTTGGTAGAAGGTTGATGACAAAATTTTATTTTTTGCGTCTATGGTCATTCAAAAATTATTTTTAATTATTTGTTTTAATTTATACAATAACCACCTGATGGTAAGCGGTTACCGTAGTCTATGAACGCCTGCAATACCAGAGGTATTACGCGCGCGTTACCGACCCTGAAGAAACCTCTTTACCCCCCTTTTGAAGAACCCCATGCTGTAGTCTCTTGGGAAAACCTCGGCAGGGAGCTCATTCCATAACCTGAGTGTTCGTGGGAGAAAACATGTCTGAAACCGCGTTGTACGCGACCATTTAGGCTGTAAGGTATGAGGGTGAACTCCCTGTCGATGGCGAGATAATTATTATAGCTATATATATAAGGGCCCACTGCCTTTGTCATTCGGGATACCGGGATTGTATTCTCTATCTATTGTTAACAAAATACCCTGTCAAGTCAACCTCCACATGTCTACACATCCTTTGGAAATTATTTTGGTTAATTCTTTATTACACCACCACCGACAATGTGGCAATACTAAACCAATATTTAGATCAAGACATTGCATGTGACAAAAAAGGAGAAGAAAACATTTAAAAAATTATACTAAAGAAACAATATTTACCTTGTTGAGCAGAATTGTAAGCTGAACAGCGAAAAATATTAAAATAACATGCAAAAGTTTCAATTATTTATTACAATAATACAACCAACACCAAACTACTAAACAAGAACCATCACAACTGTTAATTAAAGCAAGGATGTAAATCAGTTTTCTAATTTCGGTGCATGTTATGAAAATAATAGGCATATAAACTATTCAAATTAAACCTTATATCAATGATTTAAGGTTTACTTTGAATGGGTCTTACGAACATGCTTTGTACGCCAATATTGCTTGCTTTGTGTTGTACTCACAATAAAATAATAAAGATACATAACACATGTTATTTATTACAAATATTTTTAATAATAACTCTTTTTTACACATTGTTGCAATACGGCCTATTAATTGTTAACCCATACGGCAAGCGTAAAATTAAAATTAAATAAAAAAAATACAGTCATAGTACGAGATATATGAAATACATATTAGCTAATTTAAAACATTTTTAAAAACAAATGTGACTACAGTTATTTTAAATTGATGTAATATATTTTAATGTTGTTACTTTCTATACCCATATTAACAGGGTTTACAAAATATACACCATCTGCCATCTTGTAGCGTCAGCCATTTTGAAAATATTGCACATTAGTATTATCACCAGACCTACAATTTTTCGGAAGTATTCCTCTTATACCCTGTATTTATTAACAATTATAAAATTCATGAACACTGACCATTTTTCCCAACATTGGGAGACACGGGTCGAGTTCGGTAGGACTTGGCGGGTCGCTTTACACTGAGCTGAGGCAGAGACTTCTGTAGTGTGTCTACACAGTGGGACGCTGGCTTTACGGCTTGAGTCTGCAATCTACGATTAAAATTGTACAAGAGTCGCAGAAAACATCTTAATGCTGAATTTAAATGTTTTATTTACGTATAAAAATAAGTAGTAGGTTTTAATATTTATTGTCAATATATAAATGTAAAAAAAAAAAAACTATGAAACAGAAAAAGAGATAGGTAAGTCAAAATAAAATACAAGGTATTTTATAAATGCCAATTAGGAAGTACTGATATTTAAGCTATTTAATTAGTAAAATATAATATTAAATCTTCAATTAATGAGGGCAATACGGGAGTAAATAAAAAGTAAAAAAATATTTTACCTATACAAGTGAACCTGTTATTCGGTAAATTACATAAGATCTACGTGTATAACTAAACGGTTTAAAATTTTTCTCATCAGAGGGCGCCACTAGTATTACTTACTTATTATCCTCTGGTAAAGACATAGACCGGCCAGTCTTCTTGTTAGCTTCGTATATCCACCTCTCGTGTATCGCGACCAGCGGTTTCACACTGAGGCCCGCTAACAACTCCTCGTCAATTCTACTTTTCGTGTTACTGTGCTCCGGCGATGACTTGTATGACCAGGAGTTACTCCGCTCTCTACTCAGTTCGTCAGGGTCCGATGTAGAGTTCCGTGTTGGCTCCGTACTGTAACAAAAAAAAAACTACGTTGTATATTGTATTTTTGAACTCTGCCTGATAATATAGACTGTGTAATATGTAAGTCTCTGGGTTCTTTGTGTACAAATGTGGGGGTTTGCCAGTAGTTGCCTATAAAGGTTAGTAATAATTCTGACTACCCCGTATAGAACATGACCTGAATACATAACTTACCTTTTTAAACTATTTCTCCTTGTATCCAGACTATCAGGTGTAAATGGTTTCACATTATCTAATGTTAAATTTGGTTGGCTTCGGATCGAAACATTGTCTTGATCTTTTTCTATGAAGCTATTAGTAGAATGTACCGACGTTTCCGGTGAAGACTGCGTTTTATATTCTAAAACAAGATTGTAAATATTAAAAAGTTAAAATATAACTGCAAAAAAGCCAACGTCACGCGGTGTTCCCAGGCGGTCACCCATCCAAGTACTGACCGCGCCCGACGTTGCTTAACTTCGGTGATCGGACGAGAACCGGTGTTTTCAACGTGGTATGGACGTTGGCGACGATTCATTCGAATAACTCAATCATGATATCTAATCGATTTTATATTTGATACAACACTGATGAGTCTCACTTTTATATACTGTTAGTTATTATTAGATAATGTTGTCTTGATCTAATTAGGACAAAACCACATGCAGTTAAATTGCAAATGATAAAGTTATTCTATGGGTCTCAACCCATTATCCAAAATCGACTACTGTAAAAATATTGTAACAGATATAGTCACGCATGTTTCACATTAGGATAGTATAGATAGTATGTTATGTTTATATATTTATAAGTACAGATAATGTAATAACTTTAATATAACGATAATAATTTTCATATTCAAGTATAGATAACTAAGTTTCACAAATAATAATATGAATACAAGTGTCAATTTAAACCTATTTCTATTAATATCTATTTTGCTGATTATCAAAAATTTGCTAGGGATTGTATTCACAAATATTGTATTAGTTGTTGTTATTCGATTGATCTGTTGCCAACGTCCATACCACGTTGAAAACACCGGTTCTCGTCCGATCACCGAAGTTAAGCAACGTCGGGCGCGGTCAGTACTTGGATGGGTGACCGCCTGGGAACACCGCGTGACGTTGGCTTTTTGCAAATATATTTATTTGTATTATACATATTAATTAATAATTTTTTTTATCTATTACAACGTTGATCAAAATCAAAATACAAAATTTAACATAATATTTTTTTAAGTATTGAATAATGGTTTTTTATGTATTCTCTAAGTAAAAGGAAGATAAATATATAAATACAATGAATTTAAAATAAAATATAATCGTCAATTCCATAATTAACTTTTATAAATTATGTTTATTACTGTTATTGATTTTTTTTTAATGTTTTAATCCTTAATGTATTTCAAAATATTGTCTTTTTTTTTATAATATGGTTTTAAATTTAAAAAGATTTGCACAATGTCTCATAGATATAAACACATTTCTGTAGCCACCTATTGGATGTAAAAAACAACACAATGTAAATCTAAAATGATCACACTTATATGTACATGATTATATTAAATGATCAATAGATGTCGCTATTAGGTGATGTGAACAATTTTATAATACGTATTACAAAATATAAATTTTATTCATTTTATTATTTTATCATTATAGAATGTACCGACGTTTCCGGTGAAGACTGCGTTTTATATTCTAAAACAAGATTGTAAATATTAAAAAGTTAAAATATAACTGCAAAAAAGCCAACGTCACGCGGTGTTCCCAGGCGGTCACCCATCCAAGTACTGACCGCGCCCGACGTTGCTTAACTTCGGTGATCGGACGACAACCGGTGTTTTCAACGTGGTATGGACGTTGGCGACAATTCATTCTAATAGCTTAATCGCTAAACAAATTTGCAAGATCATTGAGGTTAAATATAAAAAAATTTTGTTATTAATACTTATGACAAAAATTTAATTTTATAATAAAAATTAACTGAATTTTTTTTTTTATAATTGTAACATACCCTAAGACGCTGGAAGGTAGAGTTTAAAAATTTAATTTAATTAAATAAAAGACAAGTGACAGAATGTCTTATTAACTACATATAATAGGATTAAATTATAATATTTTCAAAATGCAAAGTAGCTTTGAGAGTCTAGCATTAGCGTCTTAAGGATTATTTTTCAGGGGATGTATCAGAACCCTTAAAAAGGCCGCATTATGTAGTGTCAGAAATGTTTTTGAAATGCTTTTCTCTCAACCAGGAGTAGGCATCGAACAAATCTAGGGTGAGTACGACTCATTTTGGTATTAAAAATAATTATAATGAATTTAATAAAAAAAAAAAAGAATTTTAAAATCGGTACACAATTGACGGAGAAATCGGTGAACATACATAAAAAAAAATACAGTGGAACATAGTACCTCCTCAATTTTTTAAGCCGATTAAAAATAAATTATTCTAGGTAACTACTGTCAAATACATTACCAAAATTTTATGATTAGCTTTGAGATCATAAGATAGGTTCTATATCGATCATGAAAAAAGGTAAGTTAAAAAGTATTAAACACTAAATACAATAAATACTGCAACAAAAAGCCAACGTCACGCGGTGTTCCCAGGCGGTCACCCATCCAAGTACTGACCGCGCCCGACGTTGCTTAACTTCGGTGATCGGACGAGAACCGGTGTTTTCAACGTGGTATGGACGTTGGCAACAATTTATTTTAATAAGTCTATCATAAATGATCTCTAATTGCACGAGATTTTATAAATATGTATCTACAATTTGCTTAAAACCATATGTTGTAGTATGCTTGTTTGTCACCTTTGTAATATATACAAAAAAAAATATTAGGCATTTTACACCAACAGTATTTAATTTTTTTTATTGTTATATAAAAAATGTTATTATATTGTAAATGTTGCTGTATTTTTATTATTATAAAAAAAACAAATACCTTGTTCGTTTAGTGTCTTTCTATCAGATTCCTTCAATTTTTCTGTACTCCGTTTCGTCACACTCAAGTCGCCTGACAGCCAGGCATTCTTCCTCAACTTGTTACTACGAGCTATCGGCGTAGTTGGTAAACTATAATTCTTTATATCAAAATTGTATGAGGACCGTTCATTTTCATTTTGATCCTTAACTAACGCTTTAATAGAGTCCAAATTAAATTCTGGCACTTTAATGTGTAACGGCTTATACGATTTGGGTGTGAAACTACGGCTTAGTTTAGCTGTTGGTCGTTCAATCTCATTTTGATCTTTAATTGTTTCAGGATTAAGTCCAAAATTGACTGTGCGATTTGGACTTAGTATACTGCAGTATTCGGTGGAATCGCTTCTGTGCAACGCCCCTGGTGTACCCATGTCTTTATATTTGGCTTTGATTTTTGTTATTGGCGTTGAGCAAACGCTGGAGTAATCTTTTTCTGGGAAATGATCGTATTTAATGGTAATAGTGTTACCGTTATTACCTATAGGGAATTTTTCCGGAACTGCGTAAGTATTGCTTCTGATGTTTGTTATAGTTTCATAGAGTAGGCTATCGTCACTTTTTGGCCAATTTTCGCTTTCAGTTGACGTGTCTCTTTCATTGTGAACTACTGCTTTATGTTCAATGTTAAGGGGTGTTTGAGAATCGGAATCGGTGGGCGAGGTGGTGTCCCATGCCGCTGAACTGAACGTGGATTTCTTTTTGGACAGCTTTGCTGGTATTATTATGTATTCTAGCTCGTCGAGGTTGCGCTGAAATGAATAAAATTTATATTTTGTAATACGTATTATAAAATTGTTCACATCACCTAATAGCGACATCTATTGATCATTTAATATAATCATGTACATATAAGTGTGATCATTTTAGATTTACATTGTGTTGTTTTTTACATCCAATAGGTGGCTACAGAAATGTGTTTATATCTACGAGACGTTGTGCAAATCTTTTTAAATTTAAAACCATATTATAAAAAAAGACAATATTTTGAAATACATTAAGGATTAAAACATTAAAAAAAAATCAATAACAGTAATAAACATAATTTATAAAAGTTAATTATGGAATTGACGATTATATTTTATTTTAAATTCATTGTATTTATATATTTATCTTCCTTTTACTTAGAGAATACATAAAAAACCATTATTCAATACTTAAAAAAATATTATATTAAATTTTGTATTTTGATTTCGATCAACGTTGTAATAGATAAAAAAAATTATTAATTAATATGTATAATACAAATAAATATATTTGCAAAAAGCTAACGTCACGCGGTGTTCCCAGGCGGTCACCCATCCAAGTACTGACCGCGCCCGACGTTGCTTAACTTCGGTGATCGGACGAGAACCGGTGTTTTCAACGTGGTATGGACGTTGGCAACAGTTCAATCGAATAACAACAACTAATAAAATATTTGTGAATACAATCCCTACCATAATTTTTGATAATCAGCAAAATAGATATTAATAGAAATAGGTTCGAATTGATACTTGTATTCATATTATTATTTGTGAAACTTAGTTATACTTGAATATGAAAATTATTATCGTTATATTAAAGTTATTACATTATCTGTACTTATAAATATATAAACATAACATACTATCTATACTATCCTAATGTGAAACATGTGTGACTATATCTGTTACAATATTTTTACAATAGCAGATTTTGGATAATGGGTTGAGACCAATAGAATAACTTTATCATTTCCATCTTAACTGCATGTGGCTTTGTCCTAATTAGATCAAGACAACATTATCTAATAATGACTAACAGTATATAAAAGTGAGACTCATCAGTGTTGTATCAAATATAAAATCGATTAGATATCATGATTGAGTTATTCGAATGAATCGTCGCCAACGTCCATACCACGTTGAAAACACCGGTTCTCGTCCGATCACCGAAGTTAAGCAACGTCGGGCGCGGTCAGTACTTGGATGGGTGACCGCCTGGGAACACCGCGTGACGTTGGCTTTTTGCTGTTATTTTTTCTTTTTATTGTTATCAGTCAAGTTAATTTTATCACGTTTCGCGTACTTTTTTCTAACATAAATCTAATTCATTCATAGAATTTAATGAAGTGGTACCCCAAGTATTGTTGAAATTATCAAAGAGACACTCTAATAAGTAAATCAAAACATTTAAACAATAGGTGTCCATAGACTGTGGTAACCCCGTTTACCATCGGACGAGCCGTATGCTTGCGTGCTCCCATAGTATTATAAAAAGAAATATTTGTACTACTTACTATTGGACGTCGCAGACTGTAGATTGTCATTATGGTCAGTATTAACTGCGCTGGTAGGAGGGAAAGGCAGCGGTAAAAGAGAAATATGATAAAGAGGCTTACCAGTATAGTTTCCTTGACAAGACGTGCATAAGAAGTCAATCGCGTTAGAAATGACAGATATTGTCACGCATGTCTCCCATTAGGATAGTATATTTCTATTATTTTAAAAATGTAGTGTTTTAATAGAATTTAATAAATATGTAAACAAGTAACCTGACTGTTGACGACAAACCTCTTTTTATATAAGTTTTTACCTTTTTAAATTTTATATTTTGAATATATCTTTTGATAACTCTTTTGTATTTCTAACGCGATTGACTTTTTATGCACGTCTTGTCAAGGAAACTATACTGGTAAGCCTCTTTATGATATTTCGCTTTTACCGCTGCCTTTCCCTCCTACCAGCGCAGTTAATACTAACCATTATGACGTTCTTCAGTCTGCGACGTCCAATAGTAGTACAAATATTTTTTTTATTATACTATGGGAGCACGCAAGCATACGGCTCGTCCGATGGTAAACGGGGTTACCACAGTCTATGGACACCTATTGTTTAAATGTTTCGATTTAAGAACCGGTGTTTTCAACGTGGTATGGACGTTGGCGACAGTTCAATCGAATAACAACAACTAATACAATATTTGTGAATACAATCCCTACCAAATTTTTGATAATCAGCAAAATAGATATTAATAGAAATAGGTTCGAATTGATACTTGTGTTCATATTATTATTTGTGAATCTCAGTAATACTTGAATATTGTTACTTATTACATGTTTTTTTTTGTATCGGGTGTTAATGAAATGGTAACCCCACTTGCGCTATCGGTATACGTTGGCGGGGCACCAGTGAGGATGAAAGCAGGTCAGTTAGCCCATTGTGAAGAATTTCATAAGAATAAACCACAACAGTTTCCAGGGGGAGCCGTGTGGAGGTCGACATGATAGGTACATTGCTAGCCATGGGGCTGTTAGACCACATTACTAGAATCCCTTTCTTCTCACTTATTACATGTTTGGACAACTTTAACACAACTACATTTTGTTCATAATAATTTAAAACTCTGTTTCATAAAAAAAAACATTGCCTTCAATTGTGGCAAAACCAGTTATTTTAATTTAAAAACTATCGAATCGATTTTGATAAAATTTCTATGTTACCAATTTGAAAGAATATCTTTACAGATATAAAAAAAGCAGAATTATACTAATTGGTTTATAAATGATAGAATTACGCGGTAACAAACATATAAAATATATCACTCGACTGAGAATGTCCTCCTTTTTTTGGATGTCAGTTTAAAAAAGTCGTTTTGTAGATTAAAAATACTATAATTTAGAATACGGAATCTCGTGTCTTCTAGTAGTTTACTTCGTAAGAAAAACAGTACTTTTAATCATCATAAACTTAATATGGAACCAAGACAGTCTAAAACTTATCGGATGCAAAATATTTTTTTTTATATGAACAAAGGTGACAAACAAGGATTGTGATAATAAATTTAGAATTGGTATCAATCGATATTTTGGAATCAATATTTTTACAGTAGTCGATTTTGGATAATGGGTTGAGACCCATAGAATAACTTTATCATTTGCACCTTAACTGCATGGGGTTTTGTCTTGATTAGATCAAGACAACATTATCTAATAATGACTAACAGTATACAAAAGTGAGACTCATCAGTATTGTATCAAATATAAAATCGATTAGATATCATGATTGAGTTATTCGAATGAATCGTCGCCAACGTCCATACCACGTTGAAAACACCGGTTCTCGTCCGATCACCGAAGTTAAGCAACGTCGGGCGCGGTCAGTACTTGAATGGGTGACCGCCTGGGAACACCGCGTGACGTTGGCTTTTTGCTGTTATTTTTTCTTTTTATTGTTATCAGTCAAGTTAATTTTATCACGTTTCACGTACTTTTATCGCGATTGACTTCTCATGCACGTCTTGCCAAGGAAACTATACTGGTAAGCCTCTTTATCATATTCGCTTTTACCGCTGCCTTTCCCTCCTACCAGCGCAGTTAATACTAACCATTATGACAGTCTTCAGTCTGCGATGTCCAATAGTAGTAAAAATATTTTTTTTTTATTATACTATGGGAACACACAAGCATACGGCTCGTTCGATGGTAAACGGGGTTACCATAGTCCATAGTCTATGGACACCTATTGTTTAAATGTTTCGATTTACTAATTAGTGTCTCTTTGATAATTTCAACAATACTTGGGGTACCACTTCATTAAATTCTAAGAATGAATTAGAATGTTGGAAAAAAAGTACGTGAAACGTGATAAAATCAACATAACTGATAACAGTAAAAAGAAAAAAATAACAGCAAAAAGCCAACGTCACGCGGTGTTCCCAGGCGGTCACCCATCCAAGTACTGACCGCGCCCGACGTTGCTTAACTTCGGTGATCGGACGAGAACCGGTGTTTTCAACGTGGTATGGACGTTGGCGACGATTCATTCGAATAACTCAATCATGATATTTTTTTTTTTTTTTTTTTTTTTTTTTTACAACACAGGGGGCAAACGAGCATGCGGCTCACCTGATGGTAAGTGACTACCGCCGCCCATGATCACCCACAACACCAGCGGCATTGCAGGTGTGCTGCCGGCCTTTTAAAAAGGAATATACTCTTTTCTTGAAGGTTATGTTGTCGTATCGGTTCGGAAATACTGCTGCTGGAAGTTGATTCCAAAGAATGGTTGTGCGTGGAAGAAAGTGCCTTGAAAAACGCACGGTGGAAGACCGCCACTCGTCCAGATGATTGGGATGAAACTTTAGTTTGTGGCGGGTTGTACGGTGGTGAAAATCAGCAGCAGGTATCAATCCGAACAATTCCTCAGAACACTCCCCATGATAAATTCGGTAGAAGATGCACAGAGATGCAACATCTCTGCGCAGTTTCAATGGGTCAAGCCGGACAGTAAGGCGTTGACTATCGATAATTCGAGCCGCCCGACTTTGAATGCGGTCTAACGGAAGGAGTTGGTACTGTGGCGCTCCTGCCCACAGGTGAGAACAGTATTCCATATGCGGCCTGACTTGGGCTTTATATAATTTCAGGCGGTGTTTTGGCATGAAATATCGTCTCACCCTATTGAGCACTCCTAACTTTTTGGAAGCTATCTTAGCCTTCTCCTCCAGATGACCGCAAAACTGGACGTCGCAAGATATATCAACGCCCAGAATTCCTAGACTTGACTTTTTATCAAGGGAAGTGCCCTGAAAGTGAGGAGATACGACAAACGGCGTCTTTTTTGCGGTAAACGCGCAGACTTGTGTCTTTTTGGGGTTAAATTGAACAAGATTTTGTTCACCCCAGATCGAAACTTGATGGAGTGAAGTTTCGATTTCAGACACAAGTCTATTCCGGCACTCATCGGTATGTGCCCGCGAGATCTTTGCATGACCGGTATATAATGTATCTCCTGTACTGTCGTCCGCATAGCAATGAATATTACTTATCTGTAACATATCATTGATATGCAGAAGAAACAGAGTCGGAGATAGTACACAGCCTTGCGGGACACCAGCATTCAAAGGTTTTAAATCAGAGCATGCACCGTCGACTACGACCTTAATGCTACGTTCCTTGAGAAAACTGGCGACCCAAATGCACAGTCTCGCAGGCAACCCAAATGAAGGTAGCTTTGAAAGCAGCGCTCTATGCCACACCCGATCAAAGGCCTTCGCAATATCCAGACTAACTGCTAAGGCCTCTCCCTTACTCTCGATTGCCACTGCCCATCGGTGTGTTAAGTAAGCTAAAAGATCACCGGCCGAACGTCCCTGTCGAAAGCCGTACTGGCGATCACAGATCAGCCGGTGCTCTTCTAGGTACCGGAGCAGTTGACGGTTAATGATGGATTCCATAACCTTCGAGAATAAGGAAGTGATAGCTATGGGCCTATAGTTAGCTGGATCTGAGCGATCTCCTTTTTAGGGATCGGATGCACCAGAGCAGTCTTCCAAAACTTTGGGACTATGCCCGATGAGTAGCTAAGCCGAAAAAGACGCGTAAGAACCGGAGCCAACTCTGGTGCGCACGTCCTAAGCACAATTGGAGGAATACCATCAGGCCCACTCGACTTATGGATTTCGAGGGAGAAAAGTGCTCTACGCACTGAGCTATGCGTGAATTTAATATCAGGCATAGAGCTCCTACAACACGTGATGGTCGGTGGTGGTTTCTCCCCGTCATCCAATGTCGAGTTTGACGCAAAGATGGATCCAAGAAGATCGGCCTTTTCTTTAGCGTTCTGGGCCAACGAGTCATCCTCCCTGCGCAAAGGTGGAAAAGATGACTTACAGAAATTCCCTTGTGCAGCTTTGGCAAGAGACCAGAAAGCTCGAGTCCCAGAGGGCAAACTAGCCAATCTCTTGCCAATTCTACTAATATGCTCTGACTTCGCTGTGGCTATAACTCTTTTGAAAGACCTAGAGGCAGAGTTATACTTCTTTTTAAGAGCACTGGTGTTAGGATCTCGCGACGCCACACCTTTAGCCCAGGTTAGGAAGCACTCCTGTTTCAGACGAGATGCTGTTCTATCTAATCGATTTTATATTTGATACAATACTGATGAGTCTCACTTTTGTATACTGTTAGTCATTATTAGATAATGTTGTCTTGATCTAATTCAGACAAAACCACATGCAGTTAAGGTGCAAATGATAAAGTTATTCTATGGGTCTCAACCCATTATCCAAAATCTACTACTGTAAAAATATTATTACACTTTGTGTTAATATTATTTTCTTTTTACTAAATTGCAGGTAGGTATATTACTTAGTAGAAAGAACGAATATGGACAATACAAAAAATATAATTAAAAAAAAATAGTTATAAAGGATGGGGTATTGTCAACTATTGTCCAAAATGGCATTGGACTCTATTGTATACACACCGCAAGTGAATGGGCGAAAGTGGTTTCTGGCCATACTTATAAAGCTGTGCAGATGAGACTCTTTTTCCGCGGGAGACAAAATATATGTACACTACTAATATAGTATTATATTATCTGCACTTATTTAAACATTACATTCTATCTATACTATCCCAATGGGAGACATGCGTGTCAATATCTGTCACAATATTTTTACAATAGTCTATTTTGGATAATGGGTTGAGACCCATAGAATAACATTATCATTTGCACACAAATTTGCTTTAGGGATTGTATTCACAAATATTTTATTAGTTGTTGTTATTCGATTAAACTGTTGCCAACGTCCATACCACGTTGAAAACACCGGTTCTCGTCCGATCACCGAAGTTAAGCAACGTCGGGCGCGGTCAGTACTTGGATGGGTGACTGCCTGGGAACACCGCGTGACGTTGGCTTTTTGCTGTTATTTTTTTCTTTTTACTGTTATCAGTTATGTTGATTTTGATTTTTTTGAGATTGAGTTGATTTGATCACGTTTCACGTACTTTTTTTCCAACATTCTAATTCATTCTTAGAATTTAATGAAGTGGTACTCCAAGTATTGTTGAAATTATCAAAGAGACACTCTATTATGTAAATCGAAACATTTAAACGATGGGTGTCCATAGACTATGGTAACCCCGTTTACCAGGCAGAATAGGCAGATAGGCAGAAACAATGGAAAGCCGAATTTCCGATTCACGCAAACCTCTTTCGCTTCATCAATATTCATAAATATTTTCATACCCACTCACCGGTTACGAGTACTTTTAATTTGGCCCTGCTTCAGCACGTTTGCCTATTTGATCGACATATGCATATCAAGAGCGGATCCTACCTCAACATTTCCATTCATTCGTATTTAATAAATCTCTTTCGTAATTCTTTTTACACTTTCGTACTCCTTCGTAAACTTAAAAAAACATTACTCTCGTTTCTTTGGCAATCAGTTAAAAATGAACACTTACTTTGACATTTTGTAACATATCCTGTAGCGTTGTAACGTCAATACGGTCAATGCGACGCAGCTTCAGTCCATCTTGGAGCAACGCTAAGAGACTCCCCGGATATGTCCCGTCCTGGGGCAGAGGCATCCCAGTAGTCCATAGCGTATACTGCTCCTTGAGCTTGTCGTATGTATAACTCCTCCATGGAATGGCAGCTGTATAATAAAGTATAAAGTATTTTTCATGAAATAGAAAGGTCTATGCTAGGGGGTGTTCAAGTTCAAGTATTACGTAACGCTATTTGAGGGGAGGTTTTATAACACGTTACAATGCGTTACAGTAGAACAATGTGTTATGTAACATAATTTTTTATTAAAAAAAAAACTAGGGAATTAAAATGTTTCAAATTAGCAACCCTTCGTTTATGTTTACGGGGAATCCCTAAACTGTATGTATCCCATTTTTATTTTATTAGTTTTCGTTGTCAGTATACCTTAGTGTTGGGACTTTTAAATAAAAAGGGTCATTTGGGCGGTACGTAACGTTGAGGGGAGTTACAACAAAATATTACAACGCGTTACATGGTGGGAGAGAGAGTCTAAACTCTTTAAAAATCGCATTAGGTAATACTTAAACGCTCCCTTATCGGTATATGTTGGCGGGAAACCAGTGAGGGGTGATAGGTGAGAATGAAGGCTGATAAGTTTGCCTAGTGTATAGTAATGAATCGATCAGTAATAAACAGAGAGCAGGGGCAACCTTAAATCATCTGGCTTCCTCGGGTAGATCCAAAATGCATTTTTTATTTTGTGAAACACAATTTTAAATTATTTAAATATAAATAAGTAATATATAAACAGGGGGAGGCTTATGTTAAACAATGGACAATAATTGGCTGATATGTTTATGATGACGTAGTACCTATGTACACGAGCTTTGTTGAGAAACAGCGTAATAGCTTGAAGCATCGTGAGGTCACCGACCCGCATTTAATATGATAAATATTGTTTATTTTTTTTAATGTTGTACAATATAAAAAGGCTTTAATGAATACAAACAGCCTCACAGGTATTTACTGTTAACTTTTTAAACACCATCTCGTAATAGTTACTGCAGGGGGGAAAGGGATTGTTAGTAATGGAGACTAAGAATCCCATAGCTAGCAATATACCCAATCAGGTCGACCTCCACGTGGTTCCCCCTGGAAACCATCGTGGTTAATTCTAGTGCAATTCATCACGATGGGCTAACTGACCTGCTTTCATCGTCACCTATCATCCCTCACTGGTGCTCCGCCAGCGTATCCCGTTAGCGCAGACGGGGTTACCATGTCATTTTCACTCATCAATAAAAAAATAGTTACTGCACAAATATTATAATAAAAATATTGTCGATGGACAAAATGTCCGCCGTCTGTACACCCTTTATCTATTTATTTCACAATTTATAAGTAATAGTGGTAAGAAGCCATCAAATATGCTTATTAAGGGTATTTACACTGACCGTTACAGCTTTCCCACAGTACAAGGCACAGGGAGTACACATCGCTTCTGCAGCAAGGGTGGACGAATCCATCTTCGTTCGGTTCGAACAACTCCGGCGCCTGCCACCGGTAATGTTCCGAATTGCAGTACACTTTGTACGGTTTCCCGACTGCGTTTGTCAAGAGGTAATCTTCTGATGAACGGTTCGATAGCAAAGGTTCGCAGTCTACCGACTTGGATTCACGTGTGTCTGTATGGGAACATAAGTATTACAAATTAATATTTATTATTATTATTTACTAGCTGTTGCCCGCGACTTCGTCCGCGTTTCCGTTGTTTTTTGTAAAATAAGTAGCCTATGTCCTTCCTCACGGTTCAGTGGTTTTGATGTAACAAACACATTTCCCTTCACTGATCTGCTTCAATTGATCGTAGCGTGATGAAAAGTATGCCCACCTGCTCAGGAGTATGAAGAATAATTGTACCAAGTTTCGTTAAAATCCGTCGAGTAGTTTTTGTTTCTATAACGAACATACATAAATTTTACTGACTGCATTTTTGGGATCAGTATCGATCACTAATCACCCCCTGATAGTTATTTTGGAAATATTATTCATGTACAGAATTTACCTCTCTACAGATTTATTATAAGTATAGATTATACCACTCGTTAACTGTCCACTGCTGAACATAGGCCTCACCCATAAGGGGAGTTTTGCCAGTAGTTGCCACACGTGGCAGGCTGGTTGACAACCGCGGTTACGCTTTAATGATGTTTTAAGAGTTTAAGTTTAAGAGACCTCCACGTGGTCCCCCCGGTAACCATCGTGTTAAATTCCAGGTATATTCCACACGATGGGCTAGCTGATCTGCCTTTTCATTCTCACCTATCATCTCTCACTGATGCCCTGCCAGCGTATACCGTTAACGCAGGCGGAATAACCATTCCATTGTCATCCATTTAAAAAAATATATTAGTAAATAAACATAAAGGCTTAATAAATTTCCACGTATCATGATTAAATCTAAGGATTGTGTTTAAGTACTGTTTAATTTGGTAAACTAATGTTAGATCTAGATTAAAAATTACACAACTTCAAAGTAACAATAAAAAACCCACTTGAGGAATATTACGTCATTTTCCCGAGACAAAAAGTAGCACTGCGTAATTTTCAATTCGTCACAATGAACTGTTCGAATTAATGCGGGCTTCATGAATACTTACATACGTTTAATTTATCGCGAATAGTAGCAAAGCAATATTCAATTGTTTAAATACATTAAGAAAGATAAATTAGTCCCAATTATGTAGGAATTCCCGTGTGGTCTCGGCATAGAATAGGCCACCCCTTCCTTTCCCGTAGGTGTCGTAAAAAGCGACTAAGGAAGGATGAGGGATGGGCAGCAGCGTCCCTTTTATAACATGTCTAAAGCCTAACTGCGGTTGCCAATCCGCCTATGAAACGTATCAACTACTGGCAAAACTCCCCCTTCGGGGAAGGCTTATGTTTAACAGTGGACAATTAATTATATGATGGTGATGTAGTGTCTATATACACGTGCTTTGTTGAAAAACAGCGTAATAACTAAAAGCGTTGTGGAGGTCACCGACCCGCATTTAGTGTGATACATATTTTTTTTATCTTGTACAATATAAAAAAGGATTTAATCATACAAACAACCTCAAAGGTATTTACTGTTCACTTTTTAAATACCATCTCGTAATAGTGTACAGACATTATAGTAAAAATACTTAAAGCATCAAATCTCAAAAACGGATCAACTTTTTGTTAGCTAATTTGAAAATTAGCCGACTCGTTTTTTTTTATCAGTGTTCTATATAGTTACGTATAAAATGTATCTTGACGTATTATTTAATAAATAAAATGATGTAGAAGATTACATTACACAGAAGATGCATTAAAAAGATGCAGAAATTATAAGACAAAATAAATATAGAAGTTATAATGGAATCACTCATGACTATTATATTTATCACGCAAAATTGTATGAAAAAGTTGACGCGTTTTTCTCGAAGCATTTTTATGGAGACATTCTAAGTAAAAATATTATGTCGGTGGACAAAATGTCCGTCATTTGCACACGCTTTATTTATTTTACAATTTATTGGACCCGTTACTTAATACAACTCATGGGTAACATACCTTCAATATTGACGTATTGTGGTTCGGGCGAGTACAGATCGTAGTTTTTCTCCGCCTTTTCCTTCACCCTCGGCAGTTTCACACAAGGACCTAGGTCGGCGAGCTTGGCCGCACCATGATTGGATATCATGATGCTGGCGCTTGTCAGGTCCGTGTGGATGTAGCCTTGCATACGGAGGAACACCAGAGCGTTGGCGATGTCCAGTGCGTACTGCACTGACGTCTGAGCGCTCAACATTCGGCCCTGGGATGAAATTAAAAACAAAAAGGGTATAACTTTATTTTTAATGTTAACGCGCATGTGACATCACTAATGTTACTTATGGTAATCGCTTACCATCAGACCAACCATATACTTTGCCGCTATCGTTGCTTAAAAAAAAAGTTTAATGGACGTCTGACGTTTTTATGAATAACTATTTGCTGATTTTATTGTTAAAAGTTTTGTAAGCACACATTTTATTTTAATGTAATAAGTAGCAATTAGGCTCACGCTCGCGTTACAGCCGCTCATGATGACGATCACGAATTGATCCCGAAACTAGTCGAGCTTTTTCGATATAATTACACGTAAGTTAAACCGGTAGTTATTACATTGAAACTGTTTGATGGATTCAGAAAAAAAAAACATTTCATTTCAACATACTCGTACATGTAGTTACGAGTTTATGACACTTTTTATTTACATAGGAAAGATCATTATATCTTGTTAATTACACACATGATAGCAAGTAAACATTTTATAGAGGATAGAACACGCTTCTCACGCATATTAAATTATACCGAGTATTTGCATAAGGAAACAAACATAATTACATGGTAGCGACAGTATCGCTACATCACAATCGCATGTTAGACGCATGATTAATGGAGTCAACAAAAAACGTTCAGACTTACCTTGCACCCTAAAGCCAGTTAGACATATAATAATAATTAAATTATGTATTACAAATTTATTGCATTACAAAGGGATTAAAATATTAATACTTTAAAATTTATTTTCGGAAGTTAATGTGACATGATTTTGCATTGTAATAACACTGACATATTAAAAAAAAATATAAGATATTAAAATCTAAGTACTATTTACAGAAAATGTAATTCAATAATTACATAAATTCAATAAGCGGATTCTGAAGCGCCATCGTAAATATATATAAATCTTAATCTAATATTTTTATTCGATAAATTCCAATTATATTAATTTTAATTATCTACAAATAAAAACCGAGTTCAATTGTGGCATAACCAGTTATTTTGATTTCAAAACTTCTGAACCGATTTTGATAAAATTTCTATGAGAAAAATATGTAAGTATATCCTCTATCAGATAAAAAAAAATCAACAATTTCGTTTAGAACTGACGGAGTTATGAGGTAACAAACATAAAAAACCAAAAGAATTGAGAACCTCTTTTTCTGAAATCGGTTGAAAAACGGTTCATTTTTTATGTTCTTTAAAGTAATAAATGATGTAATTAAACAATGTTAGCTAGAAAAGTATTCTATTATATTATTACATTTTACAATGACTGTCACTGTGAAAATAATTAAATTAAGAAAATGTATTTTTTTATGCAACTTAGAATGGCAAACAAGCTGATGTCCCACCTATGGAAAGTGGTAACCGTCGCCTATAGACATGAGCAGTACCATGAACATAACATTGTATATTGTTTCGCCCATGATACCCCTATGCGTTACCATTCCTGAGGACTCAGATATTATTCCTCTGTACCCTGTAAATTCACGCCATATCCCTCCCTTCAAACCGAAACACAACCATGCAAACACAGCTGCTTCACGGTAGAAACACGAATGGGACAGAGGTACCCAAGCAATTAACTTTTGTACAAAGTCTCCCTCTGGTTTAAAATATTTTATATCCTTACACACATCATAGGATTCATCCAGTAACGGCCATAAAGGAATGTTTGATGGGAGGCGTCTAGATCCAAGGATCAAGAGCCACTTATCAGTAAAGTGTTGCATCATTAATTTGATGCAACACGTTGATACTTTCGACTTACTTTAATTATTTTTAAGGCGAAAGATTTGTTTCAGAGGTGCCAGAAAATGCCGGCCCCGGGTTCCATACATTTACAGAAAGATCGCGAACTTCCAGATGATTAAACTAAAGGTTAGGAAAATAGATTCAGTCTTACCTGAATATGTAATATACCGTACAGCGTGTCAACACATCTCTCGCAGATTAGTTGTATGTCGTTGTGCACGTCTGGGTACAGTCCCATTAGAAGTATTATGTTAGGGTGGCGACATTTTCTGTAAAAAATTGTAACGTATCATTTTTACGCAAAAAAAAAAATTCAAAAATCATTATAAAAAATTATTGTGTGAGAAAAATAAAAGAATTTTCAACTACCTATTTATTATCTGAGTTCAACGCAAATTTTCGGATCGAGAACTACTTGCGTAGACTAGGAACATTTTGCCTGCAGGCAAAATTGCCCTTTACATTTGCCTCATCTTCTCATGCTTGAGACAACTCTCATAATTAAAACACTAAAATTGTATGGTACTATTGTGGAACACTTGAGGGAAGGGGGGAATAAATAGTAATAGAGAGGTTAGCCCTCATTGCTATAATTTTTTCAATGAGTGAAAATGGAATGGTAACCTCTGCGCTATAATATATCTCATATCGCTCGGATGATAAGAGCAGGTCAGTTTTTTTTTAATGGGTGATAATGGAATGGTAACCTCGTCCGCGCTATCGGTATACGCTGGCGGGACATCAGTGAAGGATGATAGGTGAGGATGAAAGCAGGTCAGTTAGCCCATCGTGACAAATTTCACTAGAATTAACCACGATGGTTTCCAGGAGAAACCGCGGGGAGGTCAACCTGATAAGGTGTATTGCCAGCATTACTAACAATCTCTTTCCTCCGAGCAGGTTAGTTAGCCCACTGTGACGAACTCCATAAGAATAAACCACGATGGTTGAAGGATAGTGGAGAGATGGCGATGAAGCAGGTCAATTGCTCTATCAGTGAGAGATCGTGGGAAGCGATGCTCGCCTTCTGCGACGCCGTCATATCGCAGAAGGAGGCGGCGGAAAAGGAGCGGGAGAGTGCCACTCTCGCACCGTCAATCCGCCGCAGACGAGTCAGACGCAGAAGGAGGGGCGTGCCCAGTTCCGCCCCTCCTCCTTCCCCACTAGGGCCGGGGTGATACCTGTGGGAAGGTATTGTCCCAATGGTCCTGGGGGATGTGCTAATATACCGGCGCATCCTCCGAGTGGTAGGGTGAGCACGCCATCCACCCTATCTTGAGAGAGGAGACCTGTTCTTACCATCAGGGGGCGGGTCGCTGCCGTCGGAGATGTGGTGAGTACGAAAGCGAACCCATGTCTTCGACATATGGCATCTCGAGGATATATCGTCTGGTTTTTAGTGGGTACACCCCCACCTTACGGGGGGATTCCCACAGTACCCATTCACCTCCCACAAGGTGTATGGGTCTGCATAAAGCATTTTCCAGACGTTAAAAAAAAAATTATGGTCATTAAGGTCGACCTAATAGGGCCTAAAAATGAGTCTGTTAGATATTATTACTAAAAATCCTATCCCTCCTCATTGCTATCATTGCTGATAGGGTATCAGGTTAACCTTCCCCGATTCACCCGAAACGAACGTGGTTATTTCCTAGTGAATTCACTACGATGGACTAACTAACCTGATTTCATTCTCATATCACTCACTAGTTCACCGCCAGCATATAAGCAAACCATGTAGCGAAAACTAACTAAAATGTAGCGAAAACTGCTACATTCCATTTTTATTACACTAAAAAAAACACATACACATGTCGTAGAGTGCGATGCACTTGTACACAGTTTCCACAAAAGAAGGCTTTAACCAGTACAACAAAATAAAGATTATGATAAAATAAAGTTTTTTTTTTATGCAACTTAGATTGGCAAACAAGCTGACGGCCCATCTGATGGAAAGTGGTAAACATCGTCTATAGACATGAGCAGTATCATGGACATAACAGAGTATAATATTTCGCCCATGATACCCCCCATGCATTGCCATTCCTTAGGACTAAGCTGTTATGCCTCTGTAAAGTTTGCAAAAGCTTGCGTATTAAATCAATAAAACGTTAAAATTACTACATAATTAAATTATGAATTTCAAGTGGATGCAAGCAATACCAAACGCGTGCTAAATAATTCCTAACTAATGCGATATACACACGGAATCTCATTCAGTTTCGCAGTACGCCTCCGTTGCGTGAAGGCAACCTCTCGTGCAACCAATGGTCAATGTTTATTCACTGATTAATCTATTACTTTTCATTGGAAACACCAGCATTTTTATGGTAAATAGAAAAAGAAAAAAAATGCATTTACAGAGTTATTTGTTTGTATGTATGTAGTAGAGTTAATTATTACTTTATTAGTTATTCTGTACCAAGATTGTCCGAAACTTTGGTATCCCAAATAGTTGAACATAGCCTTCCTCATAAGAGGGGTTTCGCCAGTAGTTGCCATGCTTAGCAATCGTAGTTTGGCTTTTTTGTAAGGTAAGGAATTGTTATTAATGGGGACTAATGGCTTCATTGCTAGCAAGCCCTGTCAGGTCGACCGCGTGGAGGTTTCCTCTGAAAACCATCGTGATTAATACTTGTTGCATTCGTTACGATGGGCTAATTGACCTGCTCTCATGCTCATCTATCTACCCTCACTGGTGCCCCGCCAGTGTATACCGATAGCACTGGCGGGGTTAACATTTCATTACCATCCATTAAAAAAAAGTGGAGTTTATAGTCTAAATTAGTATTTGGCATAAATTGAAACCTAAAGGATCCGCTGATACTTAATCTATGTAAAGGATATGACGACAGTGTAGATTCCGAGCCGCCATGTCTCTAAACTTATTTGTAAAATTGAAATTAATGCTCGATATCACAGCGGAATCTTTATTATAAGGATCAATATGAACTCATTTTCTAATAGATTTAAGTTATAGTTATTGTAATTTTAATTTTTTGTTTTTTTTTATACAACTTAGAATGGCAAATAAACTGACGGCCCACTTGATGGAAAGTGATAATCGTCGCCTATAAACATGAGCAGTACCATGGACATAACAGAGTATGCTGTTTCGCCCATGATATCCCCCATGCGTTGCCATTCCTGAGGACTCAGGTGTTATTCCTCCGTACCCAGTAAATTCACGCCATATCCCAGCCTTCAAACCGAAACACAGCCATGCAAACACAACTGCTTCACGGTAGAAACACAAATGGGACAGAGGTACCCAAGCAATCGACTTTTGTACAAAGTCTCCCTCTGGTTTTAGTTTATGATGGTTCATAAAACAGTAATTTCGCGAAACTCTCAAATTAAAATATAAGGTTAAAAGATAGATTTAGAGAAATGACACATTAGAATCGAGCCCATGAAGATTCAGAACCGAGCCGAGGAATCAAGCTGTCAATATCATCAGTAAAAAAAATTGATACGGATGAAATATAAAATATACATATATATATATATATATATATATATATTTAATGAAGCGTTTTGTCCGATTTTTTGTGACGATCTTTGCTGCCCAATAATATAATTTAAAAGAAAGTGACAATCACACTATCAAAATATATTTATTGGTAATAGTTTTTATTAATAAGATGTTACGCATTATCAGTTCCTCTAAATTCACTCAGCCGAAAACAAGGGCAAAAACAAGTACCTACTTACAGATTACTAAAAAAATATTTTTTACGCAATTGAGTAATCAGCAGCAAGTCTTTTTATAACGTGTTTAATCATTGTACCTTAAAATATTTATCTCCGTGTTGCGTTTCCTTTTGACATGCTCTATGGAGACTCCCGTTAGCCGCTTTATCTGAACTGGTATAACGCCCCATTTGCCAAGGTTCCAGCACTTCTTATGGTCTATGGTTATGTCCAAATTACTTGCGCTTGCAATAGGAAGACCATATGCGCTTGCGTCGCTCTAAAACAAATGTAGGAAGAAAAATTATATACAGATAGGTAAATATTACGTTACATTTTCTTACTTAGGTGTCTAACTTAAGTATGAAAACTGGTGGTCTACCATGAAATAAAATTTCAAATTTTCGGGTTAAAATTCGTGTTTTTGTTCGTACCAAAATCGACCCAGTAAATAGAGCTTAACATTTTGTTCATTATAAATCCTATCCTAATAGTCCAGAGGAACGATATTTTAACATTTTTAATAATTTTAAACGGCATGTATTATGTAATTTTAACATCAAATTTCTGTTTCGTTCGTCCCCGAAATTTTGAAAAATATTTCATGGTAGGCCCCCTGATGTAACATTAAAATAGCGGAGACATTATCACACACAGATTAAGAACTTGATTGAATTAAACAATCGCAACTTTCAATATTTCAGACAATATATGTATTAAAGACACAATCGGGACTTAACGCGATGTAAAAGAAGTCCTGTCGTGGCCACGATGTGGTACAATCCACGTCGAAACGTCGACAATAAAGAAGCAGGTATGTAGGTATTATTTACCTGTAAAAGCTTTTACATCGAGTCCCGATTGTGTATTTAAAATATGTGTAAACAAAACGAAATTTATAGTCGGCTTCAATACAACTTAATTAAAAAATTAACTCTATTGAATTATCACAGTTTAACATTCTCTAAATGAAATTAGTGACATATCGAAACATTTAATTCTTTTTTTACTTGCACTACTATTGGATATCAGTAAACTGTCTTTTGGTCGAGTCAATTATTCGTTTGCTTATATATTTATTAAGATCCATTGAAATAGATTATATAAGCAAAATATAATAGACTTTATATAATTAAAGAATGTGAATCCACAAAAAAAGACTTAAATTTTGCCAAAACCAGTTTTTTTTTTAATTCTAAAACTAAATTACTGAAGTGATTTCGATAATATTTCTATGGGACTAATCTGTAAGTATATACTATCAGATAGAAAAAATCCAAATCGGTTTAAAACTGATGCAGTTTTGAGATAAAAAAAAAAAACATTTAAAAAATACAACCGAATTGAGATTTTTTTCAAGTCGGTTGAAAACCAAATTTATCTATTTAAATGATACGTTACTTTATTGTCCTCAGATCTGGTTGTATTTGGAGACTGCACTAATTGCTCATCAGCCCACCGGTCCAATTTTTTTAATTCGCTCATGACTTCCCAAAGTTTGTCTTCACAACCATCGTTCCTTGCGCACTCAGACGAACTCTGACTAGATACTTTGAGATCTCCAGCTAGTTTACAGCTCTCGTCTCCGTCGTCACTTCTCGATCCGTCCAGAAAGTTCTTTACATCGAAAGGTAGAGAATTGTTTTTGTAAAATTTTGGCGAGTCCACAAGATCTTCGTCATTAAAGTCTAACTGTTTGTGAACAATGAAATCCGTTTCGGGCGATCTGTACACTGTTTGCTGTGTTTGGCGTTTAGACTTCGGCGGTTCCGTGTATGACGCCCCAAACAGATCCCCGGGCATAAATACTTGGTTTTGAAATAGGAACTGTATGTTTGGGACGCCGTCTTGGTCTCTTTCCTCAGATGTTGCACTACGGCGTTTGGATTGGATTTTCTGCTTGTACTTCACACCTGATTTCTTTTCATAATTGAAAGAGTTGTCAAGATCTGCAGTGCAATTTGTGCACGAAACAGGCAAGGAATGTCTGCCACATTTTTTCTTCTCCGGAGTTATTTGGAGCTCTTTGTTACCCACGGATCTCCTCGCCTGGAATTCGGCCAAGTCTCGTTTGTATTCTTCTGTCCGGATGGTGCCCACTTGAGTTGCACTTTGTGTTTGTTGTTCTTCTGGAGTTGTAGACTCGGGAGGGACGTTATGACGAGTGGTCACAGTTACTCGTTCCCTGCGAACAAATTAAAGCCATGAAGTATGGAGCTAGTTATTGTAAATATATTTCCATTCAAATACTATAAAAAGATTTGTTTGTTTGTTATAAATATTGTGTATATTGTAAATATACTTAATCGATTTTAATAATTCTTTCACTTATATAAAGCTACATTATCAATGAGTAACATAGTCTATATCAGGAGTAGCCAACCGTTCGATCACGATCGACCGGTCGATTGCGACTATAAATCCAGTCGATCGTGGCAAGGCAAAAATATAATATTTTGCTAATCTAATGGAAAATGCTTGGACACAATGCTTACACTAATAAAAGAAAGTTGTTACTAAGAATAATTTTCAGTTTTATGTTTTCCCTCTTAATAAAGTAAAAACTACTAGAGTACTACATAATTGTGTAACTACGAGTATGCTGTTTCAAGTTTGTATGAGATTTCAAGAAGTATTAATTGGTAGATTGCACAGGGCTTAGTCAGTAGACAGTAGATCTTGGGTTTAGTCAAATTGGCCACTCCTGGTCTATATATTCGAAAATTCTATCTACCCATGTGAAGTCGGGCCGGATAGCTAATTTACAATAAATCTATATTCTCGCAAATGACATTACTCGTTACTGATATTTGGTAAGTTTTACTCTTGTAATACTAACTACGAGTTTGTTTATTTACATTTTATCTAAGAATAATTATAATGTTTTAGTTAAGTAGTTTGATAAATCATAAAGAGATAAAATTAATGTTTTCCCTTCTACTTCCTACCAATAATATAAAGTAAAAGACTGTAAGGATGTTTATTATTCAATCACGTTTAAGCGGATGCACGAATTTGAGTGAAATTTGGTCGCTGGAAAAAGTCAATTATAAAATAAAAGATTATAATCTTTGAATGGTATCCTTTATTTCAAAGTATCTGTTTCCGACAGTTTAATATCTTCTATCGATAGCCATATAAATAATACCCATAAATCTTCGTAGCTACTGTAATTTGTGCGTCATCAATACACATAATACCTATGTTTACCGTCTGTTAGATATTTTACTTACGACCCAAGCGATAGAAAGTGGTAACAATTACCTATAGATATCAACACCATGGACATCTACCAGTTCACTTGGATACACAATCAGAATTAACATGTGTATATGTCTTCCCCTTTAAACCGCAATTAATAGGACCTACTGTGGTGCTCATAAGGGGGCATCCATTAATTACGTGAGCTCAGAATAGGGGGGGAGGGGTCTAATGAATTCTCACCAAATCTCATTTAAACCGAGGGGGGGATAATCAAAAATCTCACGTCAACTTCAAAAAATATAAAATATTAAAGATATTACTAAAATATTAAAGATAAACGTAGACGTTTCCAGTGATTGTCTTCCTGCACTACTAGAAATCCCAGATGATATGTGTCCAATTATTTCGATTGAAAAAATACACGAGTCTTCATGGATTGAGTAAAAATTTAAAAGAAAGTGTTGTTTTTATATTTTTACTTTGAATTTTATTTTAAATAAATTTATTATAGTATACCTGAACGATTTATTATTTTCTCGAATAATAAATATAAATTAAGGTTAAAATATTTTTTGCGTCAAGGGGGGGGGGGGGGGGGGGGGTCAAGGCAAATCTCATTAAATCTCACCGGGGGGGGGGGGGGGGGGAGGAGTCTAAACTGATCGAAAAAGAGCTCACGTAATTAATGGATGCCCCCTAAATGGTATCTACACTCATCCCTAGCAATTACTGAGCACAATGTTATTGTCACTATGCCCTATAATTATACTGCCGTATCCCACCCTTCACACCGCAGCTCAATCACGCAAGCACTATAAGTAGGATAAAAGACTACTTTTGTACAAACTCTTTCTATGGTATATTTATCGAGTCCAATAAGAAAAGTAAAGAATTTTAAAAGCTGTGAAATTCTTGTGATCGGACTATGACTAACAGCACCTAATGACCGTTCGGACTGCATTCAGGTGGCTAAAGCGTGGGACTGTCGCGGTCGTGGGTCAACGGAGCGATACACTTGACGGCTTTTAGTAGAATACTTTTATATTGAATACTTGACATGGCGCTCTTAAATGAGGAAGTTATTAATATAACTGATCGATTATATTATCGATTAATTATTTTTTAACTTCCTATTTAATTAGAATAAAATAAAATGTAATAAGGATAAGAATATTTGTTATCGAAGTTAAAAGTTATAAAGTTAAATATTTTTGAATAGTATTTTTTTATGATTTTTGCGCTTATTCGGAGAGCAATTTCAATTGAAAAGAACGGGCAAGAAACTCATTTGTTACTTTTTAGAACAAAAGTTGATTTTACAATTAAAAATTTGTGTCCATATAAACTAGTAAACTGTCTTAGTATGTCGTTTCATCAAATAACTCGTCACTAAATTTCATTTTTTATTTCTAAATGTGAATATATGTTAGTTTGTTTTCTCTTAGCGCTTTAACTGCTTAACAAAACGTCGTGAAATTTTGTATATATATAGTATTTAGAATGGAGAAGGACGTAGGGTGTTTTTATCCCATTCGATCAACATATCCCGGTCACGCAGACGTATTCGCGAGTACAGATTAGTATTGGCTAAAATAAGCAAATAACATAACTTTAAATAATTCACCATATTAATTAATTGTACATTATTATACTTTAGTCAGTGTTATTTTTAAATATTGTAAGGGGACAGTAACTCGTCTATTTCACATTCGTACTGCTCTAAATACCACAATTCATTGACTGACCAACCACTTTTGACAGTCATCCACAGACCACAGACTGTGGTCGTCGCTGAAAATGTCGATGTTTCCTCACATAAACGCTCATGTTATATAAGATATAGGATACTATAGCATGGGGTTCTTCAGAATAAGAGCAAAGAGATTTCTTCAGGATCGACAACGCGGGCGTAATGCCCCTGGTATTGCAAGCGTTCATAGACTACGGTAACCGGTTACATTCAGATGGGTTGTATGTTTGTCTGCCGCCTCAGTGGCATAAAAAAAAAGAAGAATTTTAGTCCATATTTTATTTCACAACAAATATTACTTTCTACAGGTAGTAATATTTGTTTCTGTATTTTGTATCATTTCTCATTACAGTATTTACTATTCTATAAATGGTGCAATAAAGTGTAAATAAATAAATAAATAAATATTTTAGTTAAAAGGATAACATGTTTTATGTTTACATTTGCTAAATTCTTCATTAGTGTTATTTCAAAACATTTAATTACTGATAAAATATAAGAGTTATATATAACTTTTAAATCAGACGGGCTTTATACTTGATTGCCATCTTCGTGGTATAAAAAATAAAACAAAAAGTTATTAAATTTAGTACAAAATTTGTCATGTATTGATGATCGATCGATCATCAATATGACAACGGCAACAGTAACGCTGCAATACAAATCAATAGAATGCTTACAAATAATATTATTATAAAGATAAACTATCCAGAGGTTATATAGACTATTTCTTAAATTATTAATATTAATGAAAAGAGAAGCTAAAACCGTTTATTAATTATGCCAAGTGCTTAAAACAAATTATAAAGTCTTTTTTTAATTTTAACAAAGATCACTTTTAATGAAATACTGTGTTATATAAATCTAAATAGTAATTTTGGAAATTGGCATAAAGTATCCAAATAATATCGTTATGTTAGTGAATGTATTTAAAAAACGAAAAAATAAAACAGGAGTCGACTAGAAACAAAATCGAACAGACAAATCAACGTTCGATACACTTTTACCGATTAACAATTTGATAAAGCTGATGGAATGTTTCCAGACAAGTTAAGACATTTTCTGTAAGAATGTTTTTATAATAATTAATATGTAATAAGATAATATCATTGTTAGTTAACTTTTCTGTTATATTTAAATACATATGTATGTAGAAATAAATACTCCTGCCCTTTAGACAAGTGGCTTACAAATCCATCGATAGATATGTTATCGCTACCGTGTTCGTGAGATAGAATGAAACAGCAACCTCCGGCATTTCATTCTAAATGTATCGATCGTTAAGATTTGTTAGTCACCTGTCAAAATAATTATTGCAATTCTGATGAGAGTCATATTTACATAGGACCCATATACTTTTGGAAACCATAGTAGTTAATTCCAAATTGGTCGCTATGAGCCAACTCATGTACTGAAAGATTATTCTCACCTATCATCCCCCACTGATACCCGCCTGATGATACCCGCGATGATAAACTAATATCGCAGACCGTGTTACTGTTCTATTTTCACTTAAAAAAAAAAAAAAAAAAAACTTTTCTAAAGATCATACCGAAAGCTCAATACTCAATAGAGCGATCAAGATATTACCAGTGATAGGAGATCAAATTATAAATCCGCGATAATGTGAACGTATACAAATACAAACAATAGATTATGCAATTTTACAATTAAAATAGAAAGCATCTCGGATATCTGCCCAATTTTAAGTGACACGATGATAATGCTTACATAAATAAGCCGGCTGACCATCAATTTTGGTTATTTGGAAGGCAATAAGAAAATATCGGCCGCGATCAACAGACAACAGTCTGGTGAAAGTGAAATTTCAATAATGCTGTTTTAGAGAATGCCATGAAAGGTTTCTGATTGAATCGAGTAATTAATATAGGCATCAATCATCGTATTACATAGGAATTCTTTCATTATTTGTCGAGGTCGAGAATGTTGAGGTATTTGATTGTGGAATTACGAATATTAATGCAATGTATATCTACAGATGAGCAAAAAGAATGCATGCTTTCTCACGATAGAAGTGAAATAGGACAAAAAAGAAGCCTCCCCCCCCCCCTAATTATAAAAATGTTAAAAAAGTTAAAAAAGTTAAACCTCTCATGAACCTATTTTAGCTATTATAAGCTACTATAAGGATTGTCTCTTCTTCTTAATGTTAAATTCCTAATTTGAAAGAAAGTGACAAAACAGTGTAATAGTTAAAACAAGTTTGTAGGTTTCAGTTTTATAAGGGGGTTTATTTTTTTTAATTGGTGATAATGGAATGGTAATCCAATCTGCGCTATCGGTATACACTAGCGGGGCACCAGTGAGAGATGGAATAGCTGAGGATAAAACAGGTCAGTTGGGCCAAAATTCAAAAAGTATTAATTAAGATGGTTTCGAGGGGGAAACTCGTGAAAGTCGACCTGATGGAGTATATTGTTAGCAATCAGGCTGTTATATCCCCAATACCAACAATCCCTTTCCAACAAGGGTTTACATTTAGGTAGATATTTTGACGACCTTTTCATAACCGGGTCTTGACCACAAGATACATTCACGCGAAGTCGCGGGTAAAAGCTAGTATTATATAAAATAACTCCTACAAACTATCAATATCAGCAGTAACAAGTTGGAAATAAAAATATACAGGTATTAGCTATTGTTATTAAATATTCGACAAGCCAATATCAATTTATGGAGTTACGAGCCACTTGCATAATCTTAGCCTGCGAGATGTCAAAATATGACATAGCATTGTGTTGCGAATACGATACTATTAATCACAGTTTAACTTTTTGTGTCTCTGTCAGTTCTCGTTTTGTGCCGTCTAAACAGATATTGTCATTACAGTTTTTTTTATGAAAAAAAAAAAAGTAAATTGTGTTTCCAAATTCTGGTACCCTTACTAATATTATAAATGTTAAAGTGAGCGTTTGTTATCTTTTAGTGTCTTCACGGCTTAATCAATCACTATGAGATTTGGTATACTATAATATATAAGATGGAAAAGGATATATAGACTATTTTTTTTATCTTGGTCAGTAAACACACCATGGTCAACGCGGGTGGAAAGGGATTGTTAGTAAGAAAATTTAACAGGACCATTACTAGCAATATACCCTAACAGGTCGACCTCCGTGCGGTTCCCACTGAAAATCATCGTGGTTAATTTTTAATAATAATGATTGATCACGATGAACAAACTGACTTGCTTAATGCTCACCACTTGCTTCATGCACATCCCTCACTGGTGTCTCGTTAGCGTATTCTGATAGTGCAGGGGGGGTTACCATTCCATTATTGTCCATTAAAAAAAAAACACGGTCAACGCAGACGAACACGCGGGTATAATTGTGATATAATTTCTTCATTATACTAATTTGTTTTTGGTTCGAATCATAAATACTCGTATGCTTAACTATGTTATCGATAATGATTCGTCTTTTGTATATACATGTTTCACATAACTGTTTTTTTACGCAACCTGGAATGGCAAACAAGGTGACGACTCAAAGTGGTAACAGTCGTCTTTGTGTCATTGTGTATTGTTCTTTTTGTCACCTCTTACGACATTCGGGGATGAAAGAGTGATGACACAATGTTTTTTTTTGATGTTGAATAATGCGTAGTTACTGATACTGATAATATCTACCTATTTAAATCGATGGGGGCAGGGAGTCAAAGGTCCTTACCTAGTCTAAATACCTTGCATAGAATGTCTGGCGCCGGATAATTTCGTGCCCTTGCAACTCTCACTTAATTTCCCAAGACAAAGTATCTCGAGAGATGTCAAACATTAGGAGTTGCGAATACGAAAAAAGAACCTCAAAAGTTCTTTTTACCCATCGAAGTAAAACACGCGCGTAATTTAAAATACAAGCCCACATACACAAACTTGCCAACATTTATAAAATCGATACCTTTACGTCTTTTACGTCTTGTTAAACCAAGGGAGGCCAGAAAGTTCTTTGTGAGATGTTATTAGTCCGTTTTCTACTACTAATTACGTGAAATTTTAATTAATTGTTTATTTCATTTGCTTATTTCAATTAAATAAAAGAAAAAGTTGACATGACAAATTCAAATCTGTTCTCTTTGTGAGATTTTGTCAGTCAGTCCCCAAACCCCATCAACCATTCTATTTTAAATTTGTATAATTAGAGTGTGTCCAAATACCTAAAATGACACAAAAAATTGACATTTTGTAACTCAATTGACATCATAAAAACGAGACTAATTAATTTTACAAAATGTAGTTGAATTAATGAATAAAACTCTTTATTATTTTTATTTATATTATTATAATTATGTATTTATAATTGAATGTTAATAATCATAAAAAGATTAAAATACAACATTTGACAGAAATAAATATAATATTTGGGATTGTGTTGTGCAAATTGCCAAAAATTACTTGTGAATTCTTTTGTTTAACAGACATTATAATGTGGGGCAAGGTAAATTGTTGTAATGAACTTGCAAACATGTGAATATTCAAATTGAAAACAATGTTACCTATATAATAATAATAATAATAATGAAGAATATTTTAATTGGAATCTCTGTTAGTTGATTTTACATTGATATATATAAAAAAATCTCATTCATTGGAAAAATAAATGGTTATATCTTATTGGAAATTAAGTTAATAAATAAAATAATATTATTTAATAAATTGCAGAATATAATTTTGTTTAATAATAAATAAATATTGGAAATAAAAATATTTTAATCATATTTTAGTTATTTACAGATTCTAAATTTGCATGGTAAACTGTATTTTCACTTAATTTTATATTTACTATATTTGGGTGTCTATTTTTTTATATATTTGATTTTAAAAATAATTTCATGAATATATTACAGACTATGACTTAAGACATATTTGTATATCCTTGATGCTTACAAACTATTTCTTTAAATATAAATATTAATTTGCTTAAATGTTATTAATCTGCATTCCCATTAGCATTATATTATCTGTGCCATTAGTCATACTTTAGAATTATTTCATCTATAAGACCTATTGCATCTAAATGCATCAAATACACAATGGGCATGAGCAAATCCACTACAATATAATGACCTCCATGTATTGAAAGTATATAAAAAGCCCAAACAATTCTGATGGCATGGCATTTTAGGTGGAGACATTACATCATGATGGGACAATGCCTATAGCACTACATTGTTGAGTCATGGGCTAGTTCTATACAAAGAATTGCTTGGTCAAAGAAAAACTTAACATATACTGAGCTTGCATTGACAACTATATATATAAAACTGCTGTATCTAATTAAATAGATTTTATATACCCTAAGAACAGTTTATTTATATGAATAATCATGATAATCATTTCAGCCTATCCATTGTCTACTGCTGAGCATGGAAAAATATGAATATATTATTTTAAAAAACAACGAAAAATCCAAAGAGTCATGGTATTTAGAAAAAGAATGTGGGTAGGTACTTAAGTTCTTAAAAGCATAAGAAATTTTTATAAATATTAGGTATTATTTATTACATTTTACATTTTTAATAACATTTTAAAATTAAGTAGGTAGATAGGAAGTATGTGAATCTTTGGCATTTAATAGAAACGCTTTATTCTACTTTAATAAGTTCTATAAGTACTTACCGGCGTAGCCACTTAAAAACTCCCATGTCCTGCAATGAATCCACTTTTCTATCCAAAATTATAGCACTACATCAAAACCAAAAAATTACGGCGCTTATTAACAGTACTAAAGAGTATATAAACAAAATATTTTATAACATGAACTTAGAACAGACAAGACGAGCACGCGGACATTACCGGCACATTAGAAGTCCGATCGTTATAAAAAACGACTAGCAACAATGACCACCGATATATTGTGCGGTCAGACAAAACATCATGAACAGCACGCCATTCGCAATGAGCTGAATTTAGTTTTTTGTACAAATTACTTTTCGTCGCGCTCCGTTGATCCACTTCATCCGCGCCGGTCGTGCTCGAGCCTCGCTTGTCTGGTCTGCGGTCACAGGCGTTTCGTCAACCGTACAAAACGATACAATTTTAGAATAGAATTATATCTTAAAACTGTTTAAAAATCTACTATATTCGTAGGTAGTTTGATAAATGAGATTGTTATTGAGTTTTGTTTACAAATGTTTATTACCTATTTGACATTTGAGTATTCGTTATACTCCTAGCTTTGTATTCTTTTAAAAACTTTTTCATTACTAAGAGGATAAAATACTTTTCATAAAACTAAAATTAGAAAAGTTACTTATTAATTAAGTATAATAAAATTACTTGGTTTTATCAAATTCAATTAATTATTATTGTAAATAAAATGAAACGAAAATCAAATGAGATACAAAGAAATTGTCAAAAATATCAATTAAACTTTTAAATATTTAAACTAAAGTTTAATAGCACAAAAATAATAGAAAGATATAAGTTAAATAAATGTTTTCTTTATAATATATATTGAAAGTATTTAATACTAGAAGATTGTATTTAGTACAATAATATAATATTTTTACTTTATGTAAATTTAGTAATTGTATAATTCTCAATACCTACATTTATAATTTCCTGCGCTTTTTCGATTTCCGGTTACCTGACGTCATAGTAGTGATGTTGAATAGGTATTCGTGTATCCATATTCGATTCAAAGTTATTCGTTATGTACATCGTCTGTGGGTACAATAGATTGGATAAACATCAGATAACATAATGCTGTTGATAAATCATGAGAAGCATAAATTGCAACGTGATATGTATTCAAATATTTTAGAATATAATAATTTGAATTGTTAGTCTTGTTTTCAATACACTGCCTATGCAATTACAAAATTTAAAAGTTGCTTTGATAGTTTAATATGGCAATTTCAAAGTACTATAATCTGTCATGGCAAGTAATTGTCAAATGTCAAACTTTGATTTTCGAAAGAAATGTTTACGTTTTGTTTGAATTTAATTTTCTTAATATTTTGCTAATTTTCATAAATATTCATGGACGAACTGCGCGGTCCCAACATCCAAATAGTTCTCCATGTGAAAGAAGGTATATTGTTTTTAAGTAGAAAATTCATGCAAAAAACTCATAATTATAAAACTTGTACCTATCAATTTCAGGGCTAGGTTTTGGTTTTTTACGGACTCCATTTGTAGTAAGCGGTTCTTTGAATGGCTATATGCTGGAGACAGATCCTGTGGTCCCAACACATGCACCAATATTTGACGCTGAACTTGTTTGGGAAGCGGACAAGAGAAGGTTTAGGAGGTATGAGTGTGTAATAACTTTGTACTTATTTACACCTATAAAATTATTACACGGTTTACATTGTTGTTAATTAAGTTTATCGTTATTTTTATTACTTAATATCGTTTATGACTTTTATTTACTGAAGAGTGATAGCGTAACATTTGTCAATTTTCAAAACCAATATATTATTTTTCAAGGTTTCTAACTTATTAAAAAGTGCTCTGCCAGCGAACTCAAATGTTTATCATAGAATATATTAAATATTACTCTATCATTATAAACTTTGCATGTACTTCATATTTTGCTTACGAATTTTTTAAATACATTTTTGCTATTAAAATCAATATTTTCAGAGACAGTTTAATAAAAAAAGAATCTTACTGCATGATTAATGTTTAGTTCGCAAGTGTAGCCTTTTTTAAATAATCAGACAAAAACGTGGAAAAATGTTTAACTGTATTTGAACATTTATTGATAATTACCAGAGGGAGACTTTGTACAAAAGTCGATTGCTTGGGTACCTCTGTCCCATTCGTGTTTCAACCGTGAAGCAGTTGTGTTTGCATGGCTGTGTTTCGGTTTGAAGGGTGGGATATGGCGTGAATTTACTGGGTACAGAGGAATAACACCTGAGTCCTCAGGAATGGCAACGCATGGGGGGTATCATGGGCGAAACAGTATACTCTGTTATGTCCATGGTACTGCTCATGTCTATAGGCAACGGTTACCACTTTCCATCAGGTGGGCCATATGCTTTTTTGCCATTCTAAGTTTTATAAAAAAAAAAAAAAAAAAAAAAAAAATTGGGACATTACCATATTTAGTTATAAACTAAAGCAAGTCTATGTAGTAAAAAGCTACTATTTTTTTGCTGTAGGCTTAAATGAAATGCCTTTTATTTTAGTTTGCGAGTACAAAATGTCCCAGTTAAAGTGGAAGTTTATACAACGAGTACACAGGGTCGAAAGGATAAAGTTGGATACTTATTACTTAGTCTGCTTGGTGCTCAACCTTGTCCGTCCAATAAAGTTATAGATGTGAGTATTGTTTTTATGTTATGAATAACAATTATTGACAAGGACTACGTTTTTAATAGATTTAAAAAAAAAAAACTACTCACTTTTTTTCAAATTTGGTATATCAGAATTTTACCATTCATAAACTGATTTGGAATTTTTTTTTTATTTAAAAGAGTATGTTTTCAGATTGGTTCCATAGTTGTTTAATGCTTAAATCAAAATTTGTTTGTCTTTTTTAATTGCCATAATTGAAGTCTTGTGTGTTCACATAAGTGTTAGAACAAAATCTACTTATTTATGAAAATATCAGGCAAGCTAAATAACCTCTTATAATTTAACAAATACTGCATGAACACTTTATTGTAAGAAACAGTGATACTACATAACATGATTGCTTCCTAATTGCTAGATTCATATGATACGAGGTTTGTCCGGAAAGTACGTATAAAAGTTTTTTAAAAATTTTATTTTACAATTATTCAGGTAAATCAATTTTATCCCCTTCAAAGTACTCCCCCTGTGACATAATGCACTTGTGCCAACGCCGTTTCCACTGTGAGAAGGCTCCTTGAAAGTCCTCTGGTTGTAGGTTTCTCAGCTGCCCCGTCGTAGCTTTTTTTATCTCATTTATGTCCCCCAAATGCCGCCCCCGAAGTACCAATTTGGTTTTTGGGAACAAGAAGAAGTCACACGGGGCCAAATCCGGCGAATAGGGGGGTGTTCGGTCACCGTAATGGAATTTTTACTCAAAAACTCACGGACAACAAGAGAGGTGTGGGCAGGGGCATTGTCGTGGTGAAGAATCCAACGCCCCTCTCGCGCCAATTCTGGACGAACTCGTGCCACACGAGCTTTGAGGCGTCTGAGCACATCGACGTAGAATTTTCCATCAACTGTATGGCCTGGAGGGACGAATTCTTGATGGACAATCCCCCGAACATCGAAAAAAACAATCAACATTGTCTTGACATCTCTGAATTTTTTGATTTTTTTGTGGACGTTGGTTCCTTCACATGTCATTCCACTGTTCTGAGATGCAAAAATTTCACGGCCATTCTTGCCGAGTTTCGAGAGAAACTTGATTACGACGCGCTGCTCTTCAACGGAAGCGGGCTCCATGCCGACGGGGTTTCGTTAAGAGGTAACTTCACAGATGGCGTAACAAGCCAGTTCGCACCGCACGGCGGTCAGACCAGAACTGAAGCATTGTTAGGGACATAAGGAAGGGGTCCTGCGCTTACCTGGCCTCCCCACTCCTCTTTCTCGCATTCCAGAACACTTTTATACGAACTTTCCGGACAGACCTCGTACACTTGGAGAATTCCTCAATTATTTTACTGGATTTTTTGTCCATATTGTATACACCATCTTCAGTGCAATAACTTTAATATTGATAATTCCATTTTAATCAAAATGATGTCAATGGGGGAATGCTTGAAAGTCGACCTGACAGGGTATTATTTTAAAAAATTATGTTAATTTTTTAATACAATGACAGTTATATGATGATAATATTTGATATAGCAATATGCCCTATTTTGCTATCAATGGAGTTGATAGTCTCAATTACTAGCAATCTCTTCCTCCACACTCTCATATTTAGTATGTTATAGTCTGTATATAGAAAATTTTTAATTATTCTTTCTTCTTAAAATATTTATTTCAGATTAAACACACATGGCAAAGGCTTTTGGGTGTAAAGTCTGAAGGCAAGTGTTGCCATCCACAGTTGCTGTTAAGTCTGTCTGTTGAGGACAGAGCGAACACTCCAACTCCTGTAAGTTTTTTTATGTAATTTGAAAAGATAACAAAGCTGATTGCCAACTAAATGGCAAGTAGTAGACTTGAATGACTGTGTGGATGTCACAGATTACATTGTGACACTCTTGGTACCTTACATTACTATTCTTGAGGACTAAAATATTATACTTCCATATCCTGTAATTTCACTGGCATATTCAATTTTTCAAAATAATAGCTATATAAGCATATGCAGTGGTAAAATAAACAGTGGGACAGAGATGCTACTAATGCACAAATTTTTTGTATGAAGTCTTCCACTGGTAAATGCAGATTTATTATGCTATAAGTTTGTTTTTGTTTTTAGTTTGTAGGTCAAACTATGAAAACAAATTTAATCTTTCATAATAATCATATAATTTATAGAAATATTTTCCTTAATATAAATTATTTATGTGCATCTTATACCCCTTTAGCTGTATTAATAAATTACATAATAGAATTTAAATGCCCGTCATTGATTACAGAGAAATGAGTTGAGAATGTTCCACAGCAACGAAGTGGCATACCCATCCACTTACCCTACCAGTACTAGTGTTACTGGGAAATCAGTCCTTCTGACTTTAAGTAAGTAGTTATCAAATACTCAACATTATATATTCCTCTCCAACAGAAAGAGAATCTAGCAAAATTTCAGTTGAATGAAGATATAAAAGTAAGGAGGCCAACTAGTAAAATATCTGAAATAAAAATTGAAGTAAATTAACAATTGCTAATACTGTTACTAAAAATATCAAAATTCTGATCTGAATAACCAAGCTTTATAAAGGCATGTGTATGTGTATGCAGTATTCAATCGATTTTTCTCAAAGGGCTCTTCATATGTGTAACAAATTTGGTATACTAACAAACAAACCTCTGTCCATCGCACATTTCATCTTTACAAACATTCATATTTGTTATAAATAATATCTAAACTTATGTCTAAATTCAAATTTCAATTTGATACCAAGATCACAATACTAGCTAAATCTTGTAATGTGAACTAAATTTCTGATAGATTTAAGTCGAAACTATTATAAACGTAGTTTGTAACGGTTCAGAAAATAGTAGTATAATGGAATAAAATATTAATTTTAAAGATAAATTTATAAAAGCATCTCAGAATTGGCCTCAATGTTTTGATAATTATATTATTTTTTTCTTCCCATTTGCAATTAAATAACCATAAACAATACTAATATTTGATTATTAGAATTCATATTTCAATGTTCTAAAGTTTCTTGCTCTCGTTACAATTTGTGGTATGACATTATAACATAGTTTGTTTGTTTTTTTTATTATTTAGATGAGTATATAGAAGAGAGTAAGAAGACTGTCACCTCTCCTGACCTTCAGCCAATATTGATGTGTGACGAGGGCCTCATACAAATTGGTAGTGGGAGGCATCTCTTTGTACTCAGTCTAGTTATTGGAGCTGTGGAAAATTTGGATTTGGTAATGTTTTGTTTATGGTAAAGTCCTTTTTTGTTTCAGGATTTTTTTTTTCATCAATAGTAAATGGCAACACTGATAACTCCTAGATCTAAAGTCTAACTACACAGGCGAAGTTTATTACTATTCTAATTTTAGAGTATTTACCACGTATTCTTCCTTCTATCAAACTATAGTAATGGTTACTAATGTATGACCAATTTTTGCTAAAGTTGTGCTTACATATAGCCATCACTATATTTCTTACTGGTAATACTTGAAATGAAGATGAAGCGATTTATGTTAAATATTATTTTTTTCCATAAATATCACCTTATCAAAAGTGGTTAACAAAAATTGAATATTTTAATGGGCTAAGTATTAATATATTATTTCAACATGTATAGGTACGTTCCTTGCAGGTAATTGTTTAATGACATGTACACTATTATTGGAGTTTCCCTTTTTATACTTGATGTATACATGTATGCACACTTCATATTATAGTGTTATGTTCTTTGTTTCAGCTTCTACCCAGTAGTATTTCCAACAAAAATGTCTATTGCTATATTACATATTCTGTTTTCACACATAACATCATGACAGACAGGTATGTGAAAGTTTCTAATGTATTCTATTTAGCAGTATTTAATTTACACTCGACTCCACTTCCGATGAGTGAAAGGTTGGTGGAAATCATGTAGTTCCTGCATACACATTCCAATCTGTATTTTGTAGTTTTGTAGAGATCAGAGGTCCACTTTTTTTCATTTTTATATGGTAGCCATCTGTGGCCACTTGTCTTTGAAATAAAATATATTAAACTGATGTTACAAAACCGCTTCCCAATAGAAGAGCCATCATTCTATTTTGCCATTGCTAGGGCCAGTTTTAGCCTCTGATATCTGAATAAGTTTTAGACCTTTTAACGAGGTGGTCCTGGGCAAAATTTGAACACAACGCGGTGCTTTCTCCTGATGTCGAGGATCCGCTGTAGTGTATAGTTTGTAATGTCTAGTTGTATGTCAGGGTGGGTGCGAGCGTTGGCAGCGGAAGAACGAGTGCGCAGTTTAACCAACGATCCTCGCTGCGGCTGCGCGGATCGCTACCGGACCTCGGCAGGTACTTCGCCGAGTGTCCGCACCTCGTCACGAAGGTTTGCGCCGGGGACATAAACATAGGTGTGTTTGGCAATATTTCATAAAGAGGTTTTTTTACTTTAAAACTGGCAACATTTATAAACTTGCTAAAACGCCTAAATGGGTCAAGCCTTGGCGCCAATTGGTCAACACTAGGCTTCAACCTGCAATTGATTAATTACCTGAAATTGCCTTATTTAAAGGTGAAACACTTGTCGCAACATGTGTGTGGACTTAATAATGATCGGAGATTGATGATCGATATGGAACGTCATAGGACCTCTACTTAAAGTAGTCGGTATCGCATATTAATGGTAGCGGAATTAAACTAAAGAATTCTAATCAATTGACAATCCCTTCTCTCATTCATTCCCTGATTTAAAAGAAATAAACGGGTAAACAGTCAGTGACTTGTAATACAGGTTCAACAATAACGGGTTTAATATTGTTAAAATGTTCTTCAAGTTATAGGTAGTAAGTCCTTAATTGTTTGTGGTGAGAAATAATAATAAATAAATAATGATAAATTTTAAGTAAATTAATAATTATGTATATATATTATAGGTATCTGCAGCCTGGATCTTCGTAAACTGGTGCCAACAGATGATACAAATGACTTCTTGAATAAGTTTTGTAATGCGGAGCGAGCGTTGACGATACACGAGCGATGTTTCATTCTACGCTGTGAGGGTGTGGCCAGAGAGGAAGGTAGGCGCCCGTTTGTGGACGTCGAAATGAGTTTGAAGTACGTTGGACTGCAGGATAAAGAGGTAAATATTTTGTATATAAGAATAAGTTGTCATATATATATTTACGCGTTGAAAATTACAGGTAAATAGTACATACACATCTAATTTTTATTGCCGACGTTTCGATGTGGATTAAACCATGTCATGGCCAGGACTATACTGAAGTGAGCGACGTTTTCTGGCAGACGACGTGGTGCAATCCACGTCGAAATGGCGGCAATAAAAATCAGGTATGTATATACTATTATAACGTGCAATTGTATTAAAAATATTTGTTATTAAGACATATTTGAAGCAAACAAATTTTAAAGTTAACTAACACAAATTTGTTTTACATATTTAATTTTACATAAAATGTAATAAATTTGTAGAAACCAAAGAACCTGACAGCTCGCAGTGCCACACAGCTGGACAGTAATGTACAGCGAGAGCCAGTACACCAGGATCCTACCATAGACTATAAGAGTGGCAGCTGCACCGATTTGGACCCGAATGTCGGCGGTGTGGCGTATACCAGCGTCGCTGCCAGGAATACTGCCAGGTGAGAAGAAAATAATGTTTTGTACATATTCTGTATATATTAAGGCATTATTTAACTTTATTAGTATTGTAAATAGGCAAGACGTGATTGTTTGTTTATAATGGAACTTAAAAACAAATTGAACAATTTTAAAAATTCTTTCACCTATAGAAAACTACATTATCAGCAAGTAGTATAGGCTTTACTTTCAAAAATTCTATCTATCTGTGCAAAGTCTGCTTAGATCGTTAGTGTATAATGTATTATATGTCTGATATATATAAGAGTTCGTACCCAGTAGTATGATAGCAGCAGGAATGATAAAGGGTTCTTGTAACCATGGCGGGCTTCGATCTTCCTGACGCTCCCTGTCAACTTTTTTACCCATGGCATCATGGGACTGCTTATAATGATGATAATCCAAAATACATTCACCATACTTTGTCCATCAAACCATCACTTGCCCTGTTTTTAAAACAAAGTTGCATGTGTCATGTTATACGCCCAATTTTGATAATAGGGAACCTAGTTCAATATGATTTATTTAACATCTGATGAGTTGTTCTTGACATACAGATACAAAGACGCATCGGGTGAGTCAATTATAAAATCGAACGAGATCGCGGAATTAATAAAGAAAATGTGTGACTCTTTTGCACAAAGCCAAGAGAGGTTACTGGCGTCTCGCTCTCGACCACTAACCAGCGATATGCAAGTACAGTGCGAGCCGATACAACAAGATTCACATGTGAATCAAAAAGAAGATACAAAAGTCGAGGAACTTACAAGAGAAGTTATAGATAATACAGCAGAGAATAACATTGAGAATAGACCCAGTGAGAATATCAAGTTAGAAACGAGCAAGAGTGATGCATGTACATCGCAGACTGAGAAAGGTGATTAATTTTAAAGTTCTAATATTTTTTTTATAAATTATATGAGTGACAAACAAATGCTTAGCTTATAAATGTAGTACCAAAGACTTAGCGCGCTGTCGATCTTTATAACATGAAGTACTTACTCTTAAACTTACTTTCCTTTGCTATTTTATAAAAGTTATGTCATATCTTACTTATTTGCTTTAAAAAATTGACATATTTGGAACTCACTGAGAACCACTGTGTGCTTTTTACTTAATATACTTTAATGAAAATATTACATGCTCATCTCTAAAGTTGTTCGTCGTAAAACATAAATGTTGAATGTATTTGAGTTTTCAATGGAACCCATTATAGTTGATCTATATTAATTATATTAATTTCATATGAGATTTTATAATAATGTAAAATATGATAAACGCGGGGCAGAATGTTGTACCAAAATGGAGTAAGAGGTTTTTTAGTTCACGTAACCGCTTACTTAGGCAGTGTTCTAATCTTACATGTTTTTTTTTTTATGCAACTTCAATGGTTATAATCGTTACAATTAGTTCACATCTATATGGATTTTGACAAATATTTATCTAATGGATATCTTGAGTTACAGTATCTATTTATTAAATTTACCGCCATAATTTACTTTGAAACCGGAACACAGCATTCAAGCGAGCTGCACGGCAGCTGAATTAACAGAAGAGCATTTTTGAATAATGTAATGTTTAATTGTAATAAGTATTATTATTTTTATGTACATTTTAATTGGATGCAGTAAAATTGCTGATATCGCCTACGGACCGTGACGCCATCATGCAGGGGTTTGTCGATGAACTGGAAGATTGGAAGGAGAAGCAACAGGAATTATACAAGTGTCAAGTAAGTATCTTCAAATTAATATAAATAGCAATGTTCGTTAGAAACATATTAAGATAATAGAATAATAATAAAGTATTTTTTATAAAGGCTTCTATATCTATACTAATACTAGCTTTTACCCGCGACTTTGCCGGCATGACCGGAATTAGTTCACTAACCAGGATAATAAGTAGCCTATGTCCTTCTCAGTACCATATGGTTGATATAGTACGTTTATATTAAATTTTATAGTGTTTTGGTTAAACCGTTGAAAGCAAGTAAACTCATTTTTACATTTATAAAGTTCGGATGAAGTCAAAACAGTTGTCAGAAACGATAAGCATAGTAAGTTGATAAAATTTCCCGTTTTACACATATATCTGTCCTATTTATAAACTGCGCTCTTGTCGGTGGAGCCCTTTTTATTTATATGTGAAAATGGAATGGTAACCCCGCCTGCGTTAACTGGATACACTGACGGAGCACCAGTAAAGGGTGATCGATGAGAATGAAAACAGGCCAGTTAGCCCATCATGACGAATTCACAAGGAGTTAACCATGATAGTTTCCAGGGAGAACCGCGAGGAGGTCGACCTGGTTGGGTATATTGCTAGCAATGGGATACTTAGTCTCCATTACTAACAATCCCCCCCCCCCCACCCCCAGTGGAGCTCTTGTCACTCACTACGATTTATTACAAGTCTCTTCATTTAATCAAGTCTCTTCTGACTTCGATAGTTCTTATAATTTGTCTCTTTTTCTTAACCCTAAGTAGGACTTCCTCATTATCAATTCGATCTCTCCATCCTTCTCCAGCTCATATATGTATATAGACATAACATTGATAAGGATTATAAAGAGGAAAATTTTTATTTTTTGTATGTTTATAATGGATAAACTTTAAACTACTTAATCGATTTTAAAAATTCTTTCACTCGTATAAAGCTACATTTTCAGTGAGTAAACTAGGCTATATATTATTAAAAAAAAATTAGAGATCCCTAAGAAGATTACAATAATGTAATCCAGAGTATCAAAAAATTTCTATTGAAACTAATATATAATACTAATTTATCTTTCTATCTATGTATCCGTGTTAATTTGAGGCGGATCGTTAGTATTATATAATAGTGTATTAACTCTTACAAATATTGGGAATAAAAAAGCGTCTATATTTGTATTTATTTATTGGCACCTTGGTAACTCGTTAATCTTTATGAAATTTGGCTTATACATATTTTTTGACATAGAGTAAGACATATTCTCTTTCTTGTCTTGGAATCAATATGGGATATATTAGTTACTCCGCTGAAACTGCATTCCAAATTGGACGAAAAATTCATAAAAAAAAATTTCAAATATATAAAATATATTTTTATTTCTTCATTATACTCTCAACAGCTAAAACGTAAGGAGGAGTATCACCTAGAGTTGCTGGCGAAGGAGTGGGCCAAGAAGCGGGTGGAGTTGGAGTGCAAACTCAGTCGCGGCATAGAACAGTGCCGCACTCTGGCGGCAGACCTCGCGCGCGCCTCCGACGATTTCCGCCTCCGCGGGTATCGTAACGTCGACAGGGAGAAAAAGGTAACTTTATTATAGAAATAATTATAATTATAGAAATTTTGACGATCGACATAAGTACCTCCTGATCGCTATCGGTAGCCGCTAGACCCTTGTACATTGGAATGGTCTAATATAGGTGTCAGTACTATGTAAAAGCCCTGCTAAGTAATAATATTAAATGAAAATATAAAACTGCTACGTATGTACAGCTATATATATATTATGTATATATTTACATTATTATTTTATATATTAAACCATAACTTTGTGAATAAATCTAAATAGCTGTAAAGTTTAGAAACAAAAGTCTTTAATGAGTTTGTATTGCCAGTATTAGCAATAAATATGACTCAAATATGGATATTATTTCAATATTATAAAAAAAATATGCTACAACAAATAAAAGGATTTTTTATTTTATTTCTTACAAAGACAAAAGTAAGTTAATTATTATATTATTTTAGTTATTGGAAGCGAAAAAAGCGCTAGAAGCACACTACACAGCCAAGTATCAAGAGTTGCGCGAGGCCTCCCAGAAAATGGAAGATGATATGAATCACCAGTTGAAACTGAAAGACATGAGGATCGAAGAGTTGGAACTGAAGGTGAAGCAATTGGATAAACATGTGGAAGTGCTCAAGGTGGGAAGAAATATATATTTTAAACTAGTAGTAAATCGCAGCTTTGTCTGCGTAGCTTAAGGTATCTTTACTAGGTATTTATTTCACTTGCATCTATACATAAAACTACGAGTCTAAGCTTTTATAATTTACTACTAGCTTGTACTTGTGACTTCGTCGGCGTGACAGGAATGTGTTCATTGGTCGAGTAAAAAAATTGCCTCTACTAGGTCCTTCTCCATTCAATGTAGTATGTATTTACTAAGTTTCATAATAGATCGGTTAAGCCGTTAAGGCGCTAGGAGATAAACAATACATAGAAAGCACAGCATGATATTGTCTAATTTTACCACCAGAGTTATAATAAGAGAGGATACCACACATATTCCTAAAAATATTGTTTAAAGAAAAATGATGTCCTTTTTTTTTCTTTAGTATTTCACTAAATTTCATTTTGACATTTTTGTATTAAGCCCAGTGTAAAATACAGTTATATTTTTTGTTATATTGTTTATTTAAACTCAAAAATTGTTGTTATTACAGACTAATTTGAAGAATTGTGAAAAAGATGCTGAGAATAGATACTCTGGACTGACAAAAGATCAGACAGCCAGTCTCATTCAGGAACTAGTAAGTCTAGCCATTATATAGTTTCGTTAAATAAATTTAATAAATATTAACAAACAAAGAATACAAAATAGATAGCGTAAAAAATTAGAAGTATTATTTTTATTTATTTATTTATTTAACTCTTTATTGCACCATAAATAAAAATGTACAATGACAAGTGAATAATTCAAGTGAAATACAGTAACATAAATACAGATTGAAATATACACATAAAGGTACAAAAGGCAGTCTTATCGCTAGGGCAATCTCTTACATACAACCTTTGGTTAAAGGAGAACATTTGGTTAAAATAGAAATATTAATAAATTGTATAAGAAAATAATTATGTTGGACGGTTTTTTTTTAGAATTATCTGTTTGTTCTAGCATCATTAAAAAACTAGGCATGGGTAATATGGATACCGTTCCAATATCTGTATATTAGATCTGGACATTGATGGCGGGAAAAAGGTCATCACCCATTTCGATACCGCTCATATCGATCTGATATCAATTTTCGAATATGTTAAAAGTTTGTTAATATTAAATAACTGTTTATTAATAATAAATAACTTTTTGGGTAACTGACTTTTAACATATCGTCATAGTCGTAGAATACTGACGGATCTTTATGTGTAATATTTGTCAAATCCATCAGAGAGGCCATTAATGCCTAGTTGTGGCCAAGGCTTGTATAGTACTTTTCACAAACAATGCGCGGAAATCAAAAACACAATTTTACTTTTTAAATTCAATGACGAATAACGAACAATAACAATTTTTCACGCGCCATAATATTCCTTTATTTTTTTTTCAATTCTATTTGCAAGACAGTTCGAAATTTAAATAAAACCTTGTGTACGTTACCTCCTTGGTAGCCATGTTTCGAAGTAAAAAGTCATTCCATTTTTAAATTACAGGACAGATATGAGTTTACATAGTAATTTATCTGGCCGCAAAATACGACAGATATGGATTTTCATACAACTTTTGCCGACCGCTGCCCGCATGTATCTTGGCCAGTACGGCAATTTTGATTTGTCTCTAAGAAGATTGTCAAAATAATGCTCACATTTCCAAGCATGTTTGAGAAAATATACATAATAGTGTTACCTATGGCAGACTTTTCTTAGTTAATCGCATCGTATCTTGTTACGCCATTTAGGGTCGATATTATTGGTTACTTTACATCCAAAATCTACAGCTACTAAGTTTCAGGCAATTGCTAGTAAATAATTATTATGTTTTATTTTAGCGTTGCTTAGAAGAGAAGTTAGACAGCGCGGTGCAGTCGAAAGCATTCTTCAAGGAGCAGTGGGGCCGTGCCGTCCGCGAGCTGCACCTCAGCAAACTGCACGCGCGCAAGCACGTGCTCACACAGCTGCAGTCGCACCGGCGAGAGCTTGGCGATATGGGGTCAGCCGCTTTACTGCTCCTTATATTTATATTATATAAACTATGTCTGTGGTGTTCAAAGTGTGGCCGCTGAGACAGCGAATCACATAACTTTGGAAACAACAAGTATTTGATTTTGATGTAGAACATCCATATTATTAATCTGCTGAACGTAGTCTCCTACATAAGGGGAGTTTTGCCAGTAGTTGCTACGATTGGCAAGCGGGTAGACAACCGCAGTTTGGCTTTTAGTTATGTTTTATGAAGAACGCTGTTGCCAATCCCTCGACCATAATCTCCCTTAGGATTGGGGGGAGGGGGCTTAATCTATGCCGAGACTACACGGCAATTATTGTGTATACATATATATATCTCTAGAATCATATTATAAAAGCGCCCCATTTTATTGTTTTGTGACGGTCTAATGTTAATATTTAATTAAACTTTAAAATAATAATTACTAATGAAATTATCAGTCCCATTAATATTAAAATGTTAGTTTTCACATGAAAAAACTTGGGGAATACACCTAGTCCTATTAATATTATAAATATGAAAGTTTGTAACGATAAGTGGATGGATTTTTGTTACTTTTTCGCGCAAAAACTATTGAACGGATTTGAATGAAATTTGGCACACGGCCATCTTTTTTTGGTTGTTTTGTTCACTTTCGAATATCAATTTAGGGTCCCAAAAACACACGTCTTTTATATATCATATGTTTCATATATGGTATTGTTGTTATATGTTATACGTCATATATTATCAACTAATTTTAATTTAATAACATTGTCGCTTTTAAATCTACGGCGGCGAGACATTGCTAATAGAATTTTTTTTTATACCGCTGAGGTGAAAACAAGCATACGACCCACCTGATGGTAAGCGGTTACCGTAGCCTATGAACGCCTGCAATACCTCTGGTATTACGCGCGCGTTGCTGACCCTGAAGAAACCTCTTTACCCTCCTTTTGAAGAACCTCATGCTGTAGTCTCTTGGGCATAGACATTAAAGCTAACCATTGTTTGTTTCAATTGTTGATATTATAGGTATATTACATTAATATAACACATAGGATACTTTATAATCAGTAATCATTAAATTATTATTTTACAGACTGGACACAATTCAAGATCAAGAGGAGGATAAAACAAACCAAAACAATGTTGATATAAAGAAGTTAAAAGATGATTTCCTAGTAGATATATTAGCCAATACTCCAGCATTAGAATCTCATTCTATTATTAGTAAGTAATAATATAAAACTATTATATTTATCCCCTGTGATCCGCATAGAATAGGCCGCCCCTTCCTTTCTCGTGGGTGTCGTAAGAGGCGACTAAGGAACGGCGAGGGATGGCTAGCAACGTCCTTCTTAAAACATCTCCAAAGCCTAACTGCGGTTACCAACTCGCCTGCAAAGCGTGACAATTACTGGCAAATCCCCCCAAGGGAGGGGCTATGTTCAGCAGTGGACAGTTAAAGTCTGATATGATAATGGTGAATATAAAAATATGAATATGTGGTAAGTAGAGAGAAGCGAGTGTTCTCTCTACTTACCACATAAAAGTGCTGGGGTTTAAACATCTGAAAACATTCAATGATTCTTAATATTTCTGAAAGGTAATTGAAAGATATTTGAATGATATTAAACTGTTAATCATAGTTGCACATAAATCAATCACAGATGTTACAGCATTTTTTTTTTCTTTTTATACAACTTAGAATGGCAAACAAGCTGACGACCCACTTGATGGAAAGTGGTAACCGTCGCCTATAGACATGAGCAGTTCTTTTTTTGTCACTAAAGTCCAATTTTTCAATAACAGTTAATGAGAATGTTATTTATTGCACGATTAACATTTTAGTTAACTATTTTTTATTGCGTATTTTCTTGTTTCAGGTGACTCAATTCCAGATGGTATGGACATCTTTAAAAGCATGAAGTAAGTGTATTAAAAAAAAATTACAGTGTAACGCATGGCCGTAGCTAGGGGGAAGGGGGGTATTGAAGGGCCATGCTCTACTTTAAAATAAAACACCCCAAGAAAATTAAACAGATTTGCTTTTTCGAAGTCACTTAATTATGGTTTCTGCTTTACCAAGAAGTTCTTTTGTCCTACCTTAAACATGGGTTTAGTTGACCCTGGTATAGCGATATCGTGATGTGACGTGAAACATAATGGTAGATTATTAAGAGACGTTTAAGTGTTACGTAACGCAATTTTTGGAAATTTTTAAATCTCCCTGCTCCATGTAACGCGCCCTAATATTTTATTTATACTTCCCCTTCCTAAACTTTATATAACACCCAAGTGATTATTTTTACCTAAAAATCACAACACTAAAGAATACTAAAAACGAAAACATAAATACAGTTGGGGGATCCCCGTAAAATGTAAACGAAAAGAGTTGCCAACTTGAGAGATTTTAATTCCCTACTCATTTATTTAAATAAAAAAGTTACGTAACGCGTTTTTCGTTATCTATGGTATGAGTATATCTTGTAGTATTTCTCATAACATAAGGTATTCTAATTTACGGATCCAGGCAATTTGTGTAATTTTATGTTATTACCTGCAAGAAAATTCTGTTTTCAAGTTCCTTAGATAGATGAAACCGATTATCTGCTGTTGCACAAAAAAAAAAGAAAATCACTTTGGATGTACAATTTTATCTTATAAGTTACAGGAGTGCCCCAAGGAATCCAATAAACGACAAGCTAAATGACCTCATGGCTCAAAGGGACCGGCTTATCCAGCAAGAAAATCCAGACGAAGATCACATTAAACAACTCAATTATGAAATACGAAGCATGCTGCTCAACAGTGGAACGTGATCAGAGATATAATGCTGGCTGCATGCACGCAAGAAAATATTGTCTTGTTTGGGTGAAACTAATAAATATAAAACTATGTAACCAATTGAAAATTACAACATATTTGGTGGCAAATAAATGATACCATCGATTTATTTTGAAAATGTAATATTATATATATCATATATGTTGGCAACATTGTGCCTCTTAACCAGTGCGATTAGCTTCAATTAGGTGTATATAAAATTTATTTCTTTAAATCCCCAGGTTATAAAATTGCCTGTTAATCTTAAAACACGTGACATTAGACTGAATAATGTAACATATATATTTTAAAAAATAATAAAATCAGTTTCACTTGTAATGATAATAGTTTTTCGTTGTGTATTTACAACATGAGTGATTTCGTTTTAGAAATAACTTATTGTAAACATCAGTCGTGTATTCAATTATTACATGTTATTATGTGACAAATGTATCAAATATAAGGGTGTACTCTCTAATTATGCTTCATATAAAAAAAAATTGGTTTTACACTACTACACAGAAGAAGTTTAACAAAGTGAAAATAATCTACATTTACAATTTAATTGCTTTTATTTTTGAAATCGTATATGTATTACTATTAGTATTATAAATGATAGTAATAATGATTTTATTATTTTACTAAAATGTTGTTATATTTTTGTCATATATGAGTATTCAATTTATAAATATTGTTATGAAATAAATCTATTTTTTTAAATTGTCTTTCTTATTTAGTCATGATCAAATTGTGATTGAGCCATATTTTAGCTTCCTTCTCATTATAATGATTCCTCGATTCAATCACTTTCATTAAATACGAGATATAAGATAATTAAACTGCACTGATTCAGATTTCTCTTTCATTATCTTATGTTGAGTTAAAAAACAAAACTACCACCCTTAAATATCACCATGTTTACCAAATGGCAGCACTACTTCCAATATGATCATCAAAGCAAACTAATAGACTCAAGTAACCAAGTGATTTTAGTTCATAAATCGCTCTGCAGAAGGCAAAGTATCGCACTACGTAATACAAAAAATATCAAGAATAAATATAAACAATTTCAGTTAAATTTTTGGTTATTACATTTTTTTAAATTTTATAATTCTATACTTACCGACTATAGATTTAATCTAATATTTAAACAAAGGTACGCATTGTTTGTTTTATGACATTGTTGGTTATTACTAGGCATGGACAATATCGATGCTGCTTTAATATTTATATATTGGGTTCCTCTAAACATTCATGGCAGAAAGGTCATCACCACCAATTTCGATACCGTCCATACCGGTCGAATATCTATATTAATTTCGATCGAATTCTTCAATTCGATATTAAATATTTGATACCACACGTTTGCCATATTCATTACTATGCCATTATGTAGAAATTGTAATTAAAATGTATAGATATTATTAAATATTAATCCCTATTAGTTATTAATGGAATTTAGACTTTCGTTTTATTGACCGTGTACGTAGCCATAATATATTAATAATCTATGGCATTACTCTAGAGTAAGATTTAATTAGATTGACGTTCATGTCGCATGTCCTTTTGACGTATTTATTTATTCATTTTATGGCGTAGACTTGACCTGACTCAAAACTAATTATTTGATATAGAAAACTAACTTCAGTGTTCTATATTATTCTCTATAGTGTATTCCAGGAAATATACAACCGTTTTCATGTTACAGCCATTATATATGGTGAACAATGGCCAAAACTAAAGTTACAGGCGCTACTAGTAGACTGAAGCAGGATTACCTCAGACTAAAAAACGACCCTGTTCCATATGTGACTGCAGAACCAGTACCCTCAAATATTTTAGAATGGCATTACGTTGTGAAAGGGCCAGAGAAGAGTCCTTACGAAGGAGGTTATTACCACGGAAAAATTATATTTCCGAGAGAGTTTCCCTTTAAACCACCGTCTATTTACATGATTACGCCGAACGGTAGGTTTAAAACGAACACAAGACTGTGCCTTAGTATAACTGATTTTCATCCAGATACATGGAATCCAGCCTGGTCTATTTCCACCATATTGACAGGATTACTCAGCTTCATGTTGGAAAAGACACCAACACTGGGATCAATAGAGACTTCAGACTATCAAAAGCGATGTTTGGCAGCTGAGTCTTTGGAGATAAATTTGAAAAATAAGATGTTTTGCGAGTTGTTTCCTGAATATGTGGAAGAGATAGAACAGTTGTTGAAACAGCGACAAGAGGCTATGCTCCAATCTGATAACACCAATATCAATAGTGAAAGTGATGTGACTACAGAACAGCCATCCAGCATGTATTACATTATGAATAATTTGTTTGTGTTAGTTGGCTTTATTTTTTTGGCATATATGGTTAAATATGTTTTAGTTTCAATATCTAATGATTAGGCAATGTTACTCTGTTGTTTAATGTACATATTGTAATTTATTTTGTAAATATATATTCCATTAGATGCAAATAATGTTAATTTATTTTGGTATATGTTTGCAACTCTGTTTTATTTCAAAATAATTATGTTTTTACACTTTTTAAAATTTCATTAAATTAAAATGGTGCTTAATAATATTTATAGCTCTTATTTTTTGATTTGATAATAAGAATGAAAATTTGTAATTAATATATGATGTAAATCCACAATAAATAGAAATGGCATAGAACAATTGTTTGCATACTTATATATCTTAACTCTCACTATGAAGTGAAAGTGCTATTTTCAATTTAAATTGTCAATGTACTGAGATGCAACATTATACCAAAATATTGACACATCACACATAGTGTGGAATAGACTAGTTGAATCTTAGATAAATAACTATATTCTATATTGTTATTTATTCAAGAATTAAACTTATTTGCTATTTCTTTATCTCTAAATTGAAAATATAGAATTTACTTAAAAACAATTCCAATATTATATATTATAACCATAATATATATTTTAACCATAGTACTTTGTATTGAAATGACATTGCTAAAACGAAGGTAGGTGTAGTCATATATAATTAAGGAATTTCCAAAACATTTTAAATTGTAGATTGAAATTTTAAGTGCAGTATTATATGATCAATGTACATTTTTTTAACCAATTTTGTTTAATTCTGGATAAAAAAATTGAATTGACTAAAGGTTTAATGTGGCAGGTAGTGCTTTTGTACCACTGGGAATGCTTGAAAGAATGAAAAATGTAATCACTTCATACAGATCTCTGTATTAATGGTTTGAAATAAGGAAAATAAATCTAATTTGAAATTGTAAGATGCTGTAGCATATTATTTTGCATAAATTTAACTTCCCAATTGATTTTTAATGGTGGGCCAGTATTTCTAAATAACTTAGGATTGTATATTGACATTGTCATGTGGTTTACAATACATTTTAAGAACTAAGCAATCTATTTGATTGTGTGATGTTATTATTAATCATATTGAAGTGTGGTAATTTTCTGACAATTTTCAATATTCCTGGGTAGTTACTAATTTATATTATTCCCAAAAACTTTTTATCATTCAAATTTTCATTAATAGATTCGTAAGAATCTTATTAATTATCTGTAAATGTAACTAATTAAAGTTTCAGTTCCCTATTAGAGTATTTATTATTCTATAACAATCTTTGTACTGGATTTAAATGTTTTGTATAAGCTGAAAATATAATTTTCATGTAGTAACGTTTGTAACCTGCAAGAGAGCTAGATTTGAGGAAAATCATAGTATTATTGTACCTATCACCAAGGGTTTATCTTCATGTTGGACATTAGATTAACTTCATACTTTATATGTGCTTATCCAGCAAATTTGAAAATTATTCAGGCATTTGGTATCAAATGTAACTTTCAAATAAATGGATATATTTCTATTAAAATGTAACTTAAATTATGTATAAAAAGTTTCCTAACATTACTTAATTTTTTAAGTATTGCATTTATACATATTAACACCTAATTATTTTAAATTCACTACTTATATAGATGCATATTAGCAACTTTGTGACTATTATTGTAGAGCATTTGATTTTACATAATGAAGTTATAAGTTTCAATATTATGGGTAAGTACATACATAGGTACTTCACATTTTACCTATTCTGATAATATGTACAATATATTTGTTTTGTTGTACTTGACATATTTACTTAATAAAACAAACTTAGCATATCTTTTTTTCGAAGTTGGCTATAAAAATTATTGTTTTTAACAGAAAAAAAAATTCAGACAATAAAATAGAAATGAACAAAGGTTTAAAACCTTTTTATTCTAGCTATTTGTAAGACTTAAAATTTGTTTAATAAATATGTTAAGTATATACCTAATGTACTTGCCTACAATTTGTTTTGATATTACGCTTACATAGTAAATGGTTAACATTGAAGTAAATTTAAAAAAATAACTTATTTGGTCATGTTTAAACTTGAGATTGTTCAGTGGATTGAATTTATTTTCACATATTAGCATTTGTCACAAAGTAAATGGGTGAACATTAGATGTATTGCCTAGCTACAAACACTACCACAGATATGTAGTTATTAGTACTACACTGTACCTTATTATATCTGTAAAGCAATTTGTTTAAACTGCAAGTAAAGTGTATTTTTATATTGATTATTTAGTTTTATTTAAAAAAAAAATCACCATTGTTTTTTAATTATTTATTTACATTTTTCAAGTCATAATAATATTATACTAAATCACCAATAATAAAAGCATAAGCATACCTAATATCCTACATAATATATCCTAAAATCCTACACCAATCTAAGAGTTTAAATCATATGCACCTATTGATATTTCATAGGGTCTATGTCACGTAATCTATTTTATAAACTTCGCAATTACATTTCAAATCAAAATCGACTTTATGACTTATTACAATATAATTTAGCAAACGATATACAGTGAATGCTCTATATAAGCAGCTCTCTCTTTTCATTTAACAGTTTCCTCTTGTTAGTGCAACTAATTCATGCATCTTCCAGCCAGTTCTATCCCAGGCCATATCCTTGACCTCCCTATACGACATGACAGCAGCTCATTTAAACCAAATTCAATAAAAAAGTTTCTTATTGGGAAAAGCTGCTATGGGGAAAAAAAAGGAGTATAAAAATACTTACCATTCAGAAAATATTTTTACTTATTTCTTTTACTAAGCTAAGTAGAATAAATAAAATATAAAGAATATTGCTTATATAGAGTGTCCACTGTATATATATATATATATATATATATATATATATATATATATATATATATATATATATATATATATATATATATATAGTATTAAATATTTAAAAAATAAATATATGAAAAATGACAATTTTTTAAATTAATATAATTCTATTTAATGTTATGATCCAGATTCTTATGTGCTTGTAGGTTTTTATTATACTTACAATAACAAAATTTCCAAAATATTATATAATATCAAATTAATTATCCCTGCCAATTCCATTAGGGACTTGGCATTGAATATAGATATAGTATCTAATTATCTTTAATGAAATTATACTACACAGTAGTACACATATTTGAAATGTCATTTTTAAATTGTTGAAAAGTAAATATATAAATTAAATAAAAGAATATATTAGATGTGTATTGTGATGTTTCTAGTTCGTTACACACTTTTTACATTTATATAATGTATATTGATACATTTTCTGTATACTCTTACAATTAATAAATGGTAGTCTTATATTCCATATTATCAAATTAGTTTCTATTGATAAATACTAATGTGATGTCAATTAAAATTATCAATCTTTTATACATATCAACATTATTAGACCCCTAACTTCCGTAAGTATGTATTTTCAATTAATTATTAAAATATGAACTCATTAATGAATTAATTTCGTTATAACTAAATGATTTTCATTAATAAGGCCTTTTAGTTAAATCTTAGGTTCTACTTTATATAGACAAACTGTATTAAATACTACACAACGTAATTTCACATTGTTAAAATATGCATGAAACTGATATTTAATCTTTATTTTCTTCTTCATCATCATCCCAGTCACTTACCAAGTTCTTTATGTTATGATTTTTATTTGAATCTTCTCTTTCAATAGAATTATCACTTGCTTCTGGGTTTAAGTCTGGAATAATTTCAGCTGTAATATTGTTTTCTAACAAAGTTTCATTACCATTTTCTTGTGCATGTTCATTTTCTTGCTCACATTCATTGCCTTGTTCACATGCAATGTTTTGTTCACATTTATTTTCTTGTTCACATTCATTGGTATTTGGGGTATTATTTTCCTCTTGGGAATCATTGTCTTCCCAATCATTTAAAAGTGATGTCAGTTTTTCTTGGCCTCCTTCAGCATTATTTATATTTGGCGACAGTTCCACATTAGTGTGTGCATGTGTTGTGTCATCGTGTGATGAAGGACTTGCACTGCTTTGGACCATTTCTTGTGATGAATTCACTAATTCAGTGGCATCTGCTTCAGTAGCTTCTGCCATTTGTTTTTTCATTTCCTGTTGAATATTTTCAATAGATTCTTCGAGTTCTGCTGGGTTTTCTTCAGATATTGTATTATCTGTTATTGGTTTAGTATCATTTTCGTTGACTGCACTCGAATCTTGCGTTGTTGCCTCATATTCATCTTCAGACCATTCAGATGTTAAATTTTGAATTTGTGCTTTCGCTATATTTGAAGTAGGATTTTCTGGATTTATAGGTATTATTTCTGCAATATTACTAGGTTCAGTTGGGCTGTTCATTACCTGTACAACAACATTCGTAGCATGCGTGAGAGTTGAACCATTTTCGATAGACTGCTCTACTTGTGGTTTAGTTTGTTCATTGATATTGTCAGGATAATTTTCGACAATATTAAAATTTTGTTCTATTAGAGAAACGTTTTCAGATTCCACTGCCGCCTTTGGTGAACTGTCGATTGTTGTAGCTATACTTGTTTCTTTTTCAGAGATGGTTTCAGATGGGTTATTTTCTGACGGGGTTGGATTTTGTATTTCTTTTATGACCATTTCTTGTATTGTCTCTGTATTATCTTTTTGGACAATATTTTGAATATCGATGATATTAGGATGAGATAGAGCAGTATGTATTTCATTTAATTCAGCAGGCATTTCTTTTGATGTTGGTACTAACTGAACTTCAGGAAGTTCTATAAAGGTGGTATTTGTTTCATTTTTTATTGCTTCAGAGTTAGCTTGAATAATCGTTTGTAATGGTGCTTCTTGAGTTATATGAATCTGCTCATTATGTATATTTTGTTCACTATTGTTTTGCCAAGATTCTACTACTTGTGTATCAATAACATGTGCACTCATTACCGGAGTAGATGTTGTAACAGTTTCATAATTTTGTGATATCATTGTTGATGATTGAACATATTGTGTTCCAATATCTTGAGAAGATATTATTTGATACTGTTTATCAGGATCATCAACATGTCTCACTTGGTGACTATATACAACAACAATATTTGAGTTATCTGTCACAACGGCTTCAGATACATTAAGTGGATACTCATCTTGAATGATCATCATATCATTTGATTGAGTGCTGTCCAAATCTATGGCTGTAGTATCCAATGTTGCACTATGTGGTGCAGCGAGCACTGAAAATGTTTTATTTGCATCACTATTATCAAATATTATTGAATGATTGGAAGACATAAGGGCTTTGTATTCCTCTTTATTTGAAACAACAATTTGTATAGGTTGACTTATGTTTGATTTCTTCAACATCATTTTAGGTTGTTGTACGTTTTCAGTATTTTGTAAGTCAGCATATTGTACCGACGTTGACGGTGTTATTGCATCTATAGTATGATTAGCATCTGTGTCTATAATATCAGATATTATATATTCACTTTCTCCCGTTTTAGTTTTTCTGGGTATCAGTTGATTATCTCTCATAATATATTCAGTGTTATCAATTACAACTATGTTTTCTTCATTTAAAACATTTTGAGGCAATTGAGCACTATCTTGATTATATTCATGAAGGGTGGAATGATGTCGAACAATTTTTGGTTTCTGAGTTTGTGATATTTTAAGAGCAGGTGTACTAAAACTAGCATTCAAAATTTTCTGCTTTTGAATTTGTGCTGATTGTACTCTTGGTTTTTTAGACATAACATTTACATTTCGATCTAGTCTTTGTGGAATTTGAAATTGGACATCAATTTCTTCAGATTCATTATTGTTATAAGACTCAGATTTAACATATCCATGATTTAACTTTGGCGTTTCCTCTATAGGCTTGTCATCATCAGAATCTTCAACAATACCATCTCTCTTTGCAGCTTGTTTATGATGGGTTTTTAGATGAGTATACAAGTTAGCTTCTCTTAAGAATATTTTAAGGCAGTAAATACACTGCAAATTAGATTTTTTGTCTGCACTACATGTATGACCTGTTTTCTGCATGTGTGCCATGAACTGACTGACACTGCCGAAAGATGTGCTGCAGACATTGCATCTGAAATTCTTACCTTCTGTATGATTTAATCTATGTTTTACAAGAAACCCTTCAGTTAAGGCAACATAATTGCATAGATTACACTTAGGGAAGTTGACCTGTGGTGGTGGTGTGATATCATGCTTAGTATACATATGGTGTAACATGTAATTTCTTTTATATGACTTAAAGCCACAATGTTCACATATTGTTGACACAGGTTTTTCATTGTGCACATTGACTAAATGTCTACGGAATTTGTAATATGAAGGAAAATGTAAAGCCCTTCCTGGGGTCCCACATATGAGACATATCCATGGACCTTTAATATTTTCAGCCCCCATAGCAATTAATTTTGCTGCTTCCTTTGAGTCTAAAACATCTGTCTCATAGGTATAATCTGGAGTTTCAAGTTTTGTTTTTACCTCCTTTTCTTCATTGCTTTTGGATTTTTTATTTTTATTTGGTGTATTAAGTATCTTTAATTTAATATTCTTATTACTATTCATTAAGTGTGGATATTTCTTTAGTACTTCACTAATGATTTTAGCATGATCAATGTTATTTACTTGTTTATTATCTTTTGATTCTATAGTTACTTTTGGACCATCTCTGTTGTCTAAAATCTGATCGAATAGTTGATTTGTATCTTTACGCAATTCAGCCTTTGAATAGTTTGATGAAAATATATCAGTATCATCAATTTCCTCTCCCATGTTATCATCATCAAATATGTCAGTTTTAATAATTTTTTTGCATTCAACTATATCCAAAGTTGATGTTTTATTACTAGATCTTTTTGAATCCATTGGATCACAGAATAAACCACCTTTTTTTGCTGGATATCGCTTAGTAGTTTCTGGATGTACCATTAAAGGTTTAGAAGTATATGATATATTGGAAAATGAGTTTTCAAAAATGTTATCGGTGTCTAATTCTTCTGGCAATTCATATCTGGTAGGTCGAGAATCTGCTAACATATTTTTCTTAGGACTTGTGCTTTCTTGTATGATAGATGAAGAAGCACTTGCAATACTTGTTAAGTTTAGATGTTCAGGTTTACTTGAGAGAACTTTTTTCTTCTCTTTGTAGGTAGTACTTGCAGTATTCTCAAAAGCTTTACTATACGAGCGTTTGTTTGAAGATGTTGAATGAGATGGTTGGTATGTTTGTTTATTAAAACTGTTAGGTTTAGAGCTTCGTTTAATACCACCATAACTTTGGGATGAAGCTTTCACAGGATGTATTCTGTGAGCTTCAAGTAATTTAGATAATACAGGCATATTCATAATTATTGATGTTTGATACATTTTTTCTAATGTATCCATCTTGAATTCTAGTTGGCCTGTGTACATGAAGTTTACAATAGGAACAACAACATCAGCTTGCAAGTCGTCAGGCATCACTAGACAATCTTCATACATTTCACATGTTCTCTCAAGGAGCTCGAAATACTCTGTACATGCATTAAGTACAAGTCTGTGTACTTTTAGCTGGGCATTATCTTGGAATTGAAGTGTGAGATCGCAATAATCGGTGCGATTAAAAAAATGTTTTAATCTCTGGAGGAAATATATTCCCCAGTTGTCAACTTTCACTTGCTTTACGTCGGACATAGTGTCTACAGATTGGATCTTATTATTACAGGTTATTGATGCCCCATTTCAACTACTGAAACAAATTAAATATTTATGTTTTTTATATTTAAAATTAAGCCAATATAAAACGAAATCTATAAGTATTGATCGTTTTAATGCGTTTACTACTGACATGTAACTTAGCAAAGAGTTACATTTACGACTCATAAATCTATGTTTTTTTTCGAAATGTAAATTGAATTTTCCGCCACTTTATTAGTATATATTCATGAAACTTACCAATAAAAGTACAAACACTAGTTAGTATTTCAATTCTTGCCTTCGTCACAACACAAAATTACCGTACTGCATTTACTGAATACGATTGAAGGAAGTTGACAATAGGAACGCAAGATGGCGGTGTTTGGCTGCTCTATGTAACAGCGACGCTTTCTGGTGCCGGGGTCGTTATCACCTATGTTTGACATATGAGTCAAATTGTGATTTAAATTATGATTAAATACAAAACATTATTCAATAAAATCATACATTATGAAATATAATTAATAGATGAAAATATGTATAGCAGAATGATAATAATGATTGTTTTTAATAATTAAAAAATATGAGAATTATGTTTGATTGCGCATAATGCATCAGTGCTGACATCTGCGACGAGCAAATCAATGAAAACTATTGATTGCATACTGGTACAGTTGTTCTAAAATAAGTCATGGAATCTCAAAGCCAAAATGACGCATCACGCAAAACGGTACTTCAATGCTCTATTATAGCAATATCTATTAAACGATAATAGATGGCACTATGTGGAGTTCAAAAATGTTTTTGAAAAGTATAATTATGTTTAAGATACAGTAAGAAGGTTAATTATGTTCAAATATTTAGTTGGAGGCGTATTTTTATTGAAAAATAATTTACATTAAATGTAGGTAATTAATATACTAGAATTAATATATATAATAGGTTAAAGATGTAAGCATTCTTGACTTTATCGTTGAAGGTTAGTTAGATAATGTTGAATTAGAGTACTATATTAAATTTTATAGTAAGCATCTATATAAAATAAAAAAAAAAATATGCTCATCATGTAATGTCTTAAGGTCTTATGGGATAACGCCAGACCTAAGCGTCAGATGTATTTTTTTTAATGGATGATAACGGAATAGTAGCACCAACGATATCGGTATACACTGGCGGGGTACCAGTGACGGATGATCATGAGGGGTGATGATGAAGCAGGTCAGTTAGCCCATCGTGACGAATTTAACAATAAATCAGACATGATGGTTTCAATTTTAGGGGGAACCGCGTAGAGGTCGACCTGATGGTGTATATTATTAATAATGGGGTAGTAGTAATTCCCATTACTAATATCCCTTTTTCCCTCAATTAGAGGCATTTGTCGACTATAATTGTGGAGAATTTATACTGATCCACGTAGTGGTACTTTTGGTTGTACCCGAAAAGCATTGGGGAAGAAACTTTTAATAGTCACTTGGATTAATTTGGTTTGTTAGGAATGTTTTGTATCAACGAAGAATTAAGTTATTATATGAAATCTAATTCTAATTAATTGAATAAATAAATTAAAATAGATGAATTCTAATTATAATTCTAGAAATTTAAGATTTTAGTCTCGGTTAGATTCGAACTCCAATAGTGGATGAAGTATGAATCGTTTTTTATGCGTATTACCTGTTGTCATCAGCAGGTCGTCTCATGGGCGGGCCAATTATTAGTTTATTTACATATTAATTGTGTTCTGCTGAAACAGACCAATTTTTTTAATATATGGTAATGGAATAGTAATCCCGTCAGTGCTAACAGTATACGTTGCCGGGGCACCAATGAGGGTTGATAGGTGAAAATGAAAATGCAGGTTAGTTAGGTCATTGTGATAAATACACTTGGAATTCAACACGATAGTTTCCAGGGGGGACCACTGGGAGGTCGACCTGTTATATTGACCAGATATATGTTATCAATGGGACTGCCATAATAAACCGCATTACTAACAATCCTTTCTCCTCAATACACCATACTATTAATAATTTATTTAAGTAATCGACATCAAAAAATGATTTTTGAAAATTACTTTTTTTTTTATAACATACGGGCCAAACGACCATACGGCTCACCTGTTGGTAAGCGATTAGCGCCGTCTGTAGGTACCAGCAACATCAGAGATATTTCCGTTTTTTAGAAGGAATATGCTGTTTTCTTGAAGGTTACAATGTCGTATCTATTCACTTACGTTTATATAATACTACATGAGAAGAAGAAGAAGCCAAAACAATATAGGTATTTTAGAAATTTTGTCTGTCTGTCTGATTGTTTGTTCCAGTATTATACAAAAACTACTGCGTCAAATTGGATGCAGTTTTCACCGTTGTATTTCTGAAGATTTAACTTAAAATCTAGTGTATGTTTTATATTGATGCGGTATCAAGGAGTGAATTATCTCGTTAGCTTTTTGCCCGCTACTTCATATGCATGAATTTCAGAGTTAAAAAAAAAAACCAATTAAATAAAATTTCGAGATGATGTATCATGTATACTTCTATAACAAATACGCTGCCGCGTTCTTTTCAATAATTTTTAATCAATGTTATTTTAAAAACATCTTGCCTTTAACGAAACGCACATAGTTTTTCGTTGCGATTAAAGACACTGCTCTGCTCGTTACATAGTACGGTGCATAAATGCTGTTGTAGAATTAAATATATTTGCCACACATTAGAGAACATATATTCTTTTGTAGAACAAAGTATATTTGTTTGACAGTAAGGATAAGCAAACTAAAGTGGCAATGGGTTGGTCACATAGCTCGAAGATCCTACAACCGATGGGGAAGAAAGTTTCTTGAGTGGCGACCCCATATGGCCAAACGTAGTGTAGGACAATCCCACTAGATGGAGTGACGACCTCAGATACATTGCAGAGTCAGTGGATACAGATGGCTCAGGATCGTTCCATGTGGCAGTTTATGGAGAAGGCTTATGTACAGCAATAGACAGATAATGGCTGAGATGATGATGATGTTGATGATAAGGTGCATAAATTTTCTTGTAGAGTGAAATATGTTTGTTACACATTAAAGTTTATATATTCTTTTGTTGTGTAAAATATATTACACACTAAAGCGCATACATTCTTCTGTGAAGTAAAATATATTTATTACACACTAAGGTGCATACATTATTTTGTGCATAAATATAAATTTATATGCATACGGCAAAAAGAGATTCTTTTTATGCATAGAATAAAATAAAAAAAAAATATATTAATATAAGTAAACATAATTATAAGCATTTTTTAATGAAACTGCACATTGCACACCTGCAATGCCGCTAGTGTTGTGGGTGATCATGCGCGGCGGTAGTCACTTACCATCAGGTGAATCGCATGCACGTTTGCCCCTTGGGTTGTAAAAAAAATCCTACCACCCACTTCGGAATGCAAATTCAGTTAAGAAGGTATGCAGGTAAGTTTCGTGATATCTTCGCAAATTCTGAGTCCACTTTGAAAATTATTTTTGCAATAGATATTATTTGTCTCTCTACACCTGTCCCTAAAATTAAAAATTCTTTTATTTTATATTTTAAGGACCAATATATGAATGAAATTTCTATTAAGATATTCAGTTTAAGATAGTAATATTGCATAACTATTTAATTAAAAAATAATAGGTTTAAAGTAACGGCGGCTCAGAATCGACTTAATTACTATAACAATAAGGATGACAATACATTTTTTGTTCTATGCTTTCCAAAAATGTGTGTACACATAATGAATTCGCTTGACCAAGGTTGCATGAAGACTATTTTGATGATTTATCATCATAACTACAATAAAACTACGTAAAATATTCGGATTTAACAAACTTTTGATAGTGCGAAAGTACCTACATACCATATATCAGTTACTATTTGAATGTGCTTATGAACGCAATATGAACTTGCTATGTATTATTTTCATCACAACGGTGACAGTCGAGAAAAGTATGATATTATAACAAGACATTATAATCGGGATCATGTTTATTTTTAAATTTCTACTAGCTATTGTCTGCGGTTTCGCTCGTACGTAATAAATAAAGGACAGGTTATATGGAATGGAAGTTTGCGATTTTCAGAGTAAGAAGCATAGAATATAATTCTGGTTACCAAAGAACTATACTACGGCATTTGTTTTTAAATCATCAGCTGTTAACAGGCCACTGCTGAACATAAGCATTCTCCATAAGAGGAGTTTGGCAGTCGTTGCCACGCTTCACAGGCGGGTTGGCAACCACAGTTTGGTTAGGTTTAAAGAGGAACGCTGCAGCCCATCCCTCGACCGTCAAGTTTTCTTAGTCGCTTTGGTGGTTGTTGTGGTGGTGGAAGGGGTAGTTCATTCTGTGCCGGGACCACATGGCAACATGGCAAGCAACCGAGGGCTCAAGATTTTCTTTGCACATTTTTATACATTTATACAGAGTTTCATGTTCGTCAAACTGCTATAGAAGTGCGTTTTATTTATATAAATTTCACTATGATAATGAAGTTTGTATAAAGAAAAAGTATTTTTTGCACTTCCCTATTGGTTGGTATTTATTGGTATTTTGCATTTCATTATTTGCACATAGAAATATATACTTTTATATAAAGTTTTTTTTAGCAAATTTGATCATACATACATAGTTACCCTAAAAAATAAAAATAAAAATTCGCCACTCTTTTTCTCGTCTGAGGGATAGAATTTATAAAAACCACATATCACAGAATATAAAAAATAAATATCTCTTTATTATTGCAAATGTTCATAGAAATAAAAAAAAAAAAAAACTGAGACAGGTGTAACTATATATAGTTGCACCTGTTTCATTTTTTTTTTCATTCCACTAATGACCAGTCAAATAATACAGCGCATGACGCCTCTTTTATTAAATAGTTTCAGCTCATGTTGGTATAAAGCACTTTTAATTGATACACAATTTTAATGAAAATATTTATTATTTAAGTACCATGAAACATGTTTCTATTGAATAATGTACCGAAATTGCATAATAATATACCAAAAGCAACAGCCAAGTTTCTTGTTCGTCCTTCTTAGCTGTACATTCTAAACTGCGCAGAAGATTCATAAAAAATGACTATTAAAAATGCTTATAATTAAGTTTACTTGAATAAAAAATATTTTTATTTTATTTATTTAATCGTAGTTGACGCTGGTCATTTTAAAGTTTGGTTAATGACTTGTTTAACTTTTTTACTTAATGAGTTTATATTTTGTTCTTTTTCTGTATTTAAAACTCAAAAATTTTATAAACTAGCTTTTACCCGTAACTTTGTTTAGGATTTTTATCGTCCTTATGTTTAGGATTTTTATTCGTAATATAATATTATAAATAAAAATAAATATTTTTTACTATATAAATATAACTATACTATACGATATATATATTAGTTCCACGATTGATCACGATCTCACCTGACGGAAGGCGATGACGTAGCTTATGTCCTTTTCCATGTAATAAAGTACGCGTATACCAAATTTAATAGTGATTGTTTAAGCGGTTAAGGTAATAAGAGGTAACAAATAAATAAATCAACGTGCTTACTTGTACATTTATAGTAAGTACTAGCTTTTACCCGCAACTTTGTTCGCGTAACCGGGATATATTCACTAACTGGCATTAAAAATACCCTATGTCCTTCTCCATCCCCAATAGTAATTTTATAGTGTTTGGTATTTAGTTTTTCCGATAAAGACCGGTACGTACACATCTATGGTGGCCATAGCTGTCACCATCGTATCCCACATCCTCCCACTTAGTGACATCCTATCCTTTCCTATAAACTCCTTTAAAAACCTTTTCAAAATTCACCTAAACCTTCTTTTAAAAATTCTAGTCACCAACCCGCTTATCCAGTGTTGTGATTTTTAAGCATAAACTTTTCAATGAAATGACCAATAATGTGTGAACCTCAGTGCGAAAAGTGGAAGATCGCGCATGTTGCAAGGTATTGCGGAAGACCTGTACCCAGCAGTGAATAGATACGAGTACAGGCTAAAATGACGACGGTGATTTGGTTGCGCTATTAAGACACTAAGTGGTAACAAACACTCTTTCACATTTAAAATAGTAAAGCAAGCATTATTAAGGATACATTATTATAATAATATTTGTCAGTTAAATAAAGCCCTCAGACATACATACATATGATCCTATATATTTTATACTACAAAAGTCCCTTAAAACCGAACAATGGATATGTAACAAACAGTTATTCCCCGATAAAATCTACTGGTAGCGTAGTTAAGTTTTACAACAAGTGCTAAGTAGGTTTACCGCAGCTTTACTGAAGCTTGCCCACTTAGATCAGCTGACCACTCCACTTCTTGGTAAGGAAAGAAAAGAAGTATGGAGAAGCTGATTTGCTGGCAACAGTCCCGCCCAGCGGTCGCTCCGCCTACCTCCGCTGGGCGGCTTAAAGTCGGGAAATCCGAATCAGTCGGTATTCAATCCTTGTGTAGAATACACGTCATTCATAAATTGTATCGTTGAAGTGTCATTTTCCACGGTTTTGGTGATATTCAGGTATGTAAGTAATTTGTTTTCTTTTTTTAAATGTCTTTTGTTTAATTTTATTTTATTTTACCGTTAGTAAAAAGTTGTTTTAGCCACAGTTAAAATAATATCGAGTCTTAAGTTTGTTCCAAGTACTTTCTGTTCACTTGATATTTATTCAAGAAATTATTAATTTTAATATTAAGTCAATGATTATATTACATTGATATAATTAGCAATGATTTTAATGTGTATCATATATTATATATACCTAAGTATGTGTATTTTTTGTAATAGATATAGTTTTTAAAAAACAATATTCAGTAGTTTTTATTTAAAAAATATTAATATAATTAGTAGATATCAGTTCCACCTGGGTATTTATCTATTACTACGGCAAATTTTATCAAAATCGGTCCTGCATTTTTTGCATGCAGCATTTACAGATACGATCTAGTTGCAGTTTTATAATATGTACATAAATGTAGATTTGACCTTGATTTATTTAATTATTTATTTATAATTTATATTTCTTGATCACACATTATACGATAAAGATGATGTGGTAACTAGAACGACATAGAATTCATAGAATTCTTTTGCTACGTGTATGTGAGGACTATGGTTTTATCTTTATCTATTTACTTAGTAATTTCATTTCAGTATCTCACTCTTGAAACTGATACAACAACACAACTATACAACTATGAAAGCACAAGTGCTTAGTGACAGGATTGAGACAGAGCTAGATATTGTAGTATAGGTAACTTGTCATATAAGAAAGTTTTTATTAAATAAATGTGTACAAATTTAACAGTTTTCTTTCAACCGACTTGAAAAAAGGAGTTTCTCAATTCGGTTGTATTTGTTTTTTTTTTATGTTTGTTACCTCAAAAGTTCGTCATTTAAAAACTGATTTGGGAAATTATTATTTTTTTATCTATAAGATACTTTCAGATTGGTTCTACAGAAATTTCATCAAGTCGGTTCAGTAGTTTGGTTTTTAAATCAAAATAACTATTGAAATAGATTTTTTTGTTGAACAAATCTACGTAAAATATTGGTTCACAAAAAAGCCGATTCCAATCGTGAACACATACAGACCGACGAACGACGAGATGTTTCGTATGGACGTCGGTAGGTAGCCATGGTTACGACGCAAGCAGTATTTTGCTTTACAAAATAAAACGGCGATTTTTATTTAATTTAACAAAATTAATAAATAATCAATATAAGATTAAACTCTATGGACAACTAAAACTAACTACAACTAAATTGTATGAATGGATTTAGAATTGGTAGTGTATTCGCGTAACATAATCACAGCAAGTAGATTTTACTATTTATAAAAATAAAAAACTATGGTAAAACCAGTTATTTTTATTTAAAAAGCAAAGTACTGCACTGATTTTGGAAAAATGTCTATAAGAGTAATCTTAAAGTACATATATTCATTTAAATAAAAAAGGATTTTTCTAAATCGGTTTAATATAAATGATGGAGTTCTGAGGTAACAAACATAAAAAAAAATGTAAAGAAACAGAGAATTTTTCATTTTTTTTTGGTGTCAGTTAAAACAAATCAGACGAATTAAGAATTTTCCTTTTTTAATCATGATTTTTACCTGCGTATTTTTTTTAAGTTCTTAATTGTAAGGCATAACAATTTACAACTGTAAAGATTTTGAAGACAAGTGTTAACTTAGTTAACTTAGAATGGCAAACATGCTGATGGTGAAAAGTGGTAACCGTCGCCTATAGACATGAGCAGTACCATGGAATTTGTCTATTAAATAGAATTGCCATAATTTAATCGAATCTAATGATACCAAAAAACTTATTAAGCCTTTTAATGTTTTTAAAATGAATTAAAATAAATCAGTAAATTCGCTGTGGTTTACATATAGATTTACTGCTTGCACTATCGGTATACTGTACTGAGTAGGCATGGGTACTATTGGTACCACTTCAATATTTATATATTGGGTTCTTTTGGACGTATATATTATTTTTTATTCAACTTAGAATGGCAAACAAGCTGACGGCTCACCTGATGGAAAGTGGTAACCGTCGCCTATAGACATGAGCAGTACTATGGACATAACAGAGTATACTGTTTCGCTCATGATACCCCTCATGCGTTGCCATTCCTGAGGACTCAGGTGTTATTCCTTCTATGCAAGTTAGAACCATCGTTTTCTCTTTCATGTAATTTTCTCATAATCTTTTTTTAAATGTAATTATTTTAGATTTGTTGCTTCACAAATTTCAGTGATAAAGTGGTGAAATGGCCATTTTTAATTTAGATTCAGCATAAGTAAAGAAAATGTATGTGATATAAAAATAAATAAAAATCTGTTTTAAAATATATATAAATAAATCCCTTTCGTATAATACTCTACTTGGACTACAAAATTTCGATATTTTGGGGCTACTTTTGAAGTAAGAAAATAAAAGTATTTATTCTTATATTTTTTATTTGTTTTCTGTATATTTACTCCATTTCTTTTGCAATTCAATGAAGGGCAATGATACTAAAAATTGTTCTAAATTTTAAATTGATAGCCCTTCTACTTACTGAGATAAAGCAGTATAACAGACAGACGTACAGACAAAGTCGCGCTAGTTTTCGGTATGGAATCTTAAAAATGATGTGTCATATACATAAATATCAGGCAGATATTCTGTGATTAAGACAGTTTCAAACTAGTACATCTTTAATTTTTTTTAAAGATGTTTTTAGTTAGTGTATGTGTAAATAGGAATTGAGAAATAATTTTCTTTCATTTGCACCAACTGTCGTCTGTTAATTTTGAAAATTTCATAAAAAGACCACCTACTTATACTGAAGACAATTCAACTGAATAATGGAAGGAAGCGATTCGTGCAAATGGCAAAGTGAAGCTAGTTTAAAAGCGCATTTTGCATTTTTTGTTTTGTTTCTTTAAAAGCTTTTTACTTCGTGAATTTATTATGCCGTCACTTGGAGTATAATAGCTAGGTAAATATCTAATGGATCCATCTTCGATGTAGAGGGAGACTTTGTACAAAAGTCGATGGATTGGGTACCTCTGTCTCATTCGTGTTTCAACCGTGAAGCAGTTGTGTTTGTATGGCTGTGTTTCGGTTTGAAGGGTGGGATATGGCGTGAATTTACTGGGTACAGAGGAATAACACCTGAGTCCTCAGGAATGGCAACGCATGGGGGGTATCATGGGCAAACCAGTATACTCTGTTACTCCATGGTACTGTTCATGTCTATAGGCGACGGTTACCACTTTCCATCAGGTGGACCGTCAGCTTGTTTGCCATTCTATGTTGTATAAAAAAAATCTACCTACCTACCTACTTAACTAAATATTACTTGTCGAAATTAGTAACTCATACAGATTAGGCTTATTGTGCATAACTGTTTTCATGGAATTAAAAATTAATATAGTCATGAATTATTCGGATATATCTATGAAAAAACTTTATCTGCTTTCTTACTTACAGAACAGACTTTAGACTTTCCTCAAAGTAATGTTCCTGATTTGACGATTAGAATTATTTTCTTTTATTCTGCAATGTTTGTGACTGCCAGCATTGAATTTCTACTGATAATAGTATTTAATCTTCAAATGTTGGCAGTCGCACACATACTAATGGTAACGGAATTAAACAAAATAATTCTAATTGACTATCCAATGAATTTCTGGAATATAATACCTAGTTCTGAAAAGTAATCTTCCTGCTTTATCTTCTGACATCATGTCCAAATTATATATATGTACAGATATTACAATTTTATTGGCACTAGTATAGTACTATAATACCTATTGTTTGTGGTATAGTTATGTATCATTTGAATGTGCAATGGGGCATAATAGATTCATGCTCGAATATCTGGGAGTAATATTAATAACAAAGATAAAAATTAGATCAGACGGTATGCAAATGAAGCCTGGAGCGAAATGCTAATTTCCGTGGGAGAGCCCGTCAAACTTTTTAATCTCATGTGACGTCACCCCCCGTCGCCTCCCGCACGCTCTTCCTCTCGACAACGTTGTCAGAGGGATGATTGAAAGTCCTCATTTGTGTTTTTATTACTTTTTAATTTTTCCCATTTTCTCGAGTGGTCGCGTTTGCTCACACCTTATTTTTTTCTTGGCAACTTTTAAACTAGCTCGAGGCAACAGTGAGTGCATTCATTGGTCATAATTTCGATGTCTACAGCCATAATTATTTGCAGCATTTAAAAAACCCTGTAATCCGATTTTGCCCTCTCGAATGAAGAGTAATGAATGCACCCCCGGTCCGCTTGCACCCACCCTCCATTCACAACCCTGTCATTGTTGATGCGTCAATCATTCCATGGCCACAAACTGTGTATGCAGGTGTAATATGTAAATTCGAACTTTATAAAGAGACGCATAGGGACTGGTGAATGGTCGAATTGGAGCTCGAATGTGTGTAATCTAATATCGTACACAGATGCACGTGCCAAGTGCAAGGTTTTGTCTGTAGGTAAGCATTGTTCACGCGATGGACGTTATTTTTAGCCGATTGTTGTAAAAATGTGGATAATACTTTTTGCGTATCTGAGTTCTGTAGTGCAGTGATGGCTTAAATTGTTTCATGATAGTATGAAAAAATTATAAAAGTCTATAATTTGAGATATTAGTTATATTTTGTGCACTGATTATGTCCATGTTACGTTTATTTTCACACGAAATTAGGTCTAATTAATGTCTAAAGAAATTGACTGATCAGTTATTCAAATTGAATAGTTTTTTCAGTAAATGAATTTATATCTGTAATTGATTGGGGTTAACTCATGGCACAGCTGCTTGAGGTTGTCTGTAAGACAGGTCAGAGGGAGGTCTACGAGATATCTACGAGGAAAGTAGGCCTATGCTCATCAATAGATTATGAAAAACTGAAATTAATAATTATTACGACAACCTGACCATTCGTTTTCTGGTTTTTTAATATATTTTAACATTAGTAGCTACCTAGTGTCTCGTTGGCTACCCTCAAATGCACGATACA